TAGTAGCAGTAGTAGTAGCAGTAGTAGTAGTAGCAGCAGCAGCAGCAGCAGCAGCAGCAGTTGTAAACGAATAAAGTTCTTGATGAACTTTATGCCCTACAGCAAAACGAATAAAGCTTTCCGGAAGGTCATTTTCATAGTAAGGTATATGCGGCGTTATATTGCTTACATAAGTTGCTAATTTCACGTAAATTAAATCATCTGATATTTTGGTACAATCAATATTTGGCATTATGATGTATCTGTACATTTTTTCTACATCAGATGCATGGACCACATGTATTTATACTACCCAACAGAAATTGAATCACGCGCGAGTGTGATCTGTAATAAAGATGTTGAATGTGGAGTTGTATAAGAAAAGGGTTATTATAGAAGTCTCATGGATTTAATTATGACGGATTAAACTCGGTTCTGTCTCCCCTTCATGTTCCCTTTTAAATTCAGTTGACTGCATTTATCAAAGAAAATCAACTCTCATGAAAGATATAATGTAATATGTATTTCAAATTTTAGAGAGAAAAAATGTATCGGGTCGAAGCTATCGATAACCTTTTCTATGACCGATGTGGATAACTTGTAAATTTACTCACTAAAATTAAATTATGCACAAATTGAATGAAACAAAATGAAGAGATTCATGATTACATATAATTGGATTCAATGATGTTGTAAGTAATTAACAAATTTCTACCAACATTCAAATGTTTTTTATTGCTTTATTGTTTGTACATAATTGTCTGAAATGTCAATGACACATAATCGAGTTTATAACGTGTAAACTTGTTATGTACAATAAAGTGTATAAGTTTGCTTCTTTAAAAAGAAGCATGCGAGAGGTCTTTTTGCTGCTGTAGAAGATTTGTGTAATTCGAAAATATTTTGGGATAGTTTTGCATAAACGACACAATGAATGGTTATAAATTACAATTATTTAACAAAATAGAATTTATTATATATTTTGAATATAGTATCATAATGAAAGTTTGTTTAACACTTCATTTTTTCAATTTTTTTGAATGATTATATGCCGGAGAAATGGACTATTTTTTCTCGGCACATTAGGGGAACTTTTTCTAAAAGGGAACAATTTATTGTATGTCATCAAACTAAATTTAAAATAAATGATAAACACATGTATATATATTAAAAGTAGTATCAAAATAAAAGTTTCTAATAAAATTCAATAAGCACATTTTCAGTTAATGTTTTGGTAAGTATATGGAAACATTTCCTATACATTTTCAAAAACGGGCATATAGTTTGTTAATCAAACAATTTTAAGTCCCAGTATATAAAGCTGGAAGCCTCCTACCACAATATTTGAGGAAAACCTTGCGTAAAGTTTGTGCTATTTGCGCCAAAAAATCTCCCTTGCGTTATTTAGTCATACCGGTTCAAATGATTAAGGAGCAGCACAATTTCGGTACACGGTTCGCTCGGTCATATAATAGTGCATGGTGATATTGTACCTGTGATGTTCACTGTTACTATTTATCGGAACATGAAATAGTAAAACGCTATTCAGAAAACAATACGGTAATCGATTTATACAATATAAAAGATTAAAACGGAATGAAACACCCACGTAGCGCTAAGTAACGTAAATGATATTATCCGATTTTTCTATGTACCGATTTGTTCACTTCGATGTTAATTTTTCGTTTAAGTTAAGTCGTATTTTGAAACGGAGCATGCGAAAAACAATTTTTGTAGACTGCTCCTAATGATTTTACGCTTTAAATGACATTCGTTCACTACAATCAGATACGCAAAAATGGATGCCGCAAGCAACCAGGATGAACACTGTGGAGAGGTCTGATGACCTCTCCAATAAACGACGTGAAAGTCGTAATTCGCCAGCTCGCTCTTCTTTCCATTCGCGGACTATATTAAACAAAATAGACGTAAATTAGAATCGACTGCAGAAATATGGTATTTTGCAAGCTTTTGTGACTTTGGTAGACCAAAGGTACCCCTTTTTGCATTTTTAAGCACGAGCCAGTGTCACGAGTGGGAACACCGACCTTCCGTTTGCTTGCCAGAAAGCTTCATCACATCAAAGTATCTCAAGATTCGAAAATCATCAGTTGAGTTATTTAGTGATTTGAATAAACCTCATTAGTCAAGATATAAAACGATAGCCCTGCGCCATTTTGTCTTCCGTGTTTAGGCCAATCGTAGAATTTAATATAACATAAGAAAATGCAATTCTAAGGCAGCTGCCTGGTCTATTTACAAGCAAACACAATAACGTAATGAAATAAAGGAATATTTGTTTATGTCAAAGTTATTGTTATCATTGTTTTGTATATAAAAAATTTTTTTTTTACTTCAACAGTCAAGTGTAACTCACATAACAATGTGATTTTCGCCCTTTTTTAAAAAAAATAGACAAAACACATCTATATTGTTTGAGTCAAATAAAAATATAGATTGCCTAAAATACGCTCTATACTCAGTGAATCACACCTAGTACAATTTGACCCCTCCATAGACGGTAGGGGGTGAACAAGCCTCCGTTTACAGCCCCCTTCTATCCTCCCCGCCCCCCTCCCCCAAACAGCACTTGCAAAACTTTTAGTGCTCAATGAGCTCTAAATGTTGTTATAACTATTTTAGTTATTGTTGTAGTAGTAGGTGTTGCTGTTGTTGAATTACATGCGATATGGGACATAAATCTGGGTAACAAGTTTAAAGATATTGATAATTTATTGTTTTATAAGCCCTCGATTTTAAGTCCGGCATATTTAATAAGCACATCACTTTTATTGCTGTTAAAATAAATCTGCGTCAGTATTTCGAAATCCTTTCCGAAAATTTATCGCTAAAACAGCCGTAACTGTTTGGTCATTTAATATGGCAGTGTGCATCAGATACATTTGTATAACTTGTAAAATGTTTTTCGTCGTGCAATGTAACAGGCTAAAGAATAGTACGAACGCATAAACCGTGAAGTTTAATGAAAAAGATCATTTCGATTAAATCGAATAAACTTTAAGCTGTCATATTTGGCTAAACCAAGGAAGTAATCTTATTCCTTTTTTATATTTAATTGCGACGAATATGTGACAAGTTCACTATGTATAATAGGATATATATTAAAAGTTTAACAGTTGTTTATTTCGGTAAGTAGTCTTTAAATTTTTCGTTATATTGCATCGATTTAAAATCATCAATATATTTAAATTTGAATACGTTCACATTATAGATGACAAGAGATAAGGAGCAAATATTGGATCTACAGTCTGTAGTTTCGTCTTTACAATACCTTCGTCTTTACAATACCTTAAAATACCTTATATACCAATTATCTCTATTTTTGTTTACGATCTTTTAATCTAGATAAGATCTATATTATTCATGTTAATGTACAAAACTGTAATAAGACAATATTTAACCTATCATTTAACAATACAACGGACACTTAAATAGACTACATAAACTAGCTTCAACAGCACTTTAATATACAGAGCAATACTTGTCCAATAATATTTATTCTTAACTTTTTTAATTAAAATTTTATTATTTTATTGACTCTGTAAACATGTGAGCATATATAGGCATTAAGTTTAAACATTTAAAGTATGATCGTATTTCAAATAAACTCAATTATTGCCACTGTACTATTACAGCTATACATTTTTCATAACGAGCCTTTGTCACGTTATATTGTAGGGCAGCTTATTAAGGTACAAAGGCTATATGAGCCGCGTCACGACAAATTCAACAAAGTTGGTTTGCGACAAGCATTGATCCAGACCAGTCTGCGCCTCCGCGCAGTCTGATCAGGATCCATGCTGTTCGCTATCAGTTTCTCTACTTGTAGGGTTTGTAAGCGAACAGCATGGATCCTGATCAGACTGCGCAGATGCGCAGGCTAGTCTGGATCCATGCTGGTCGCAAACCCATTATGTTTGTTTTGTCATGACATGGCTCATATATGTTTTGTTGATATTTACATTAAGACGTACACTGTAAGCGATTATTTACTTTGATGAACACTTCCTTTTCTATGAAAGCAAATTTTTGGGAAGAAAATCATCACATCAAAAGTCATGCCATGATTACATAATTATCTGGCATATTTGAGCACAATGGTTTATGTGATTTCATAGATACTTGAGACTTTTTTAACCTCATCAAACTTGATGTGACTTACTGCTGCTAGAAAATAGTATGATAACATTCAATCTTAGATAAAATGTCAATAAACTTCAAACAGAATCCAGCACCTATGACTGAAACATTAATATAAAACATTCTTCAATGCGGTACTTTCAGTTAAAGAATATGCAACATTGAAATATACTATAACTGTACACAATTTTACAAACACAATTCTAATTTAAAAATGAGATACATCCCATTATCGCCTAAAGCAGACAATTTCGAGACAGAAAATATACAGTGAATCACAACGCGGTTTAAAATGTATTGCGATAATAAGTGGTGGTAGGGATTTTTTAACAAAAATCCTAACCAATCGGCTGCTAGCAGGAAGGTGAACTGAATGACCACTCTTGTGTAAACAAACTAGCGGGGTAAAACAAACACGAACACAAGTTTGAAGAATATAATTGGTATTGTCCTAGGATGATAATTTGGTCTTAACGGTACATTGGAAAGTCCATTAAAAGGGTAAGTCTGCATATTATCCGAGGTTGATAGTGTCAACAACCATATATAGTTTAATTTTAAGAAAAATGTGTACCATCGTGATGGCTCAGGTGGTAAATCAACGTTACTGTAACTTTTAATGATTTGAACTCGTAGGTTCGAACCGTACGCACTGCCATGTTATAGTGATGTTGTGTTTATTTCTTTCCTTCCTTTTTGTCTCTTTTTTAATTCATTTTGAAAAACGAATTATTTTAACACACTGCGGTTACGAAATAATAATAATAATTCTAATATATATGGATGAATATAAACACTTTTCACATTATCTTCAATTTTTTTTTACACAAGTGCATGCCAACCTGTGTACAAAAACATTCTATCCCGCACTATTTGGAAAAATGAAAAGGATATATGAAAACTCTCAGATGTAATTGTATCTAACTATGATTCGAACATGTAAATGAATGAATACAATACAGACACGGACGTACTGCCTACTGCGCTATGAAGACACATGGAAATGTCTCGTTTAACTTTGTGTTTTATTCATAAGGCTTCAATCTGCCTTACATATTTTTCGCATTGTTAATAATCTTTATTATGTAAACAAAGGCTCAAGTTATCATCCTGGGACAGTATCATTATCGATCCTCTCAATAAGACAATGATACACTGAGCTAAAGAAAATAACGTAAATGTATCTTCATTTAAAACATAAATTGATTTATTATATTTCATGAATTACCCATGATGAATCATCATGTTTATAGTAACTACATGACATTGTATTTGACTCTGATTTTAAAATAACTTTAAAGATATACTGTGCTCATCTTAGAGTAAATAATTTTTATCCCAGGAATTAATTGAAAGCCATGTAATTCTTTCTGAATATGTCTAATTTTAATAACAGAAAGTACAAACTATGTGTGTGAAGCTGCATATCTGATTAAAAGTCAGGTAAAGTTGGTCCTTTCTTCATGTTCTTAATAAAAGCTGTCAGTTTTTTTAATGACACAATATATTCTTATTGTGTCCACCTATAGTGTGTAGTGTTTAAAACATAAGATATCTACTTTGTGCCTAGTCATTCTATATTTACAAAGAGACTGTGAAGAAATTATCAATATTTAAAAATATAACATTTAAGCATAATATATCTTTAAAGTTTTATTGGGCTAAAGGAGGCTTTTACAATCAAGAGATCAATTTTGCTTTCATTTGATCAAAGATGTTCAAATATTTGTCTGGTGTATTTGTAATTCATCCTATCACGGTAAAGAAACATTCCTCAAAGTTGGATTAAGATTATTTGGAGCTTGAAAAGGTTTACTACTACATACGTGTGACATTAATACATTTGACAATTTGAGTGTTCGTAATAAACGTTGAATAAACAATATCTTCCGGCTTACATGTAAATTTATCATAAAAAATTATTTACATTTTAGTGAATAGGTTATCCCCTTACAGGATGTAATAAATGGCAAAAACATAAATGCCAGCATGCGTTTCGATCTTAAACCGATATTAACTTCCTTCTAATGTTGTTTAAAGTGATGTGAAACTTGACTCTAACTGTAAACTCTCATAATTTAACTTCCAATAACTCATGTGATAAATGAGCTGTGTTAAAATATTCAAACTTCCTGATTAAAAGGCATTTTCGTTAAAATCATAGCTTCAAACCTAACGAATCCTGTTATTAACATAACTAGTATGTTTCATTATTAACTGAAGATTAAAAGTCATTTACGACCTTTGTACGTTTATATGATTGGTAGAATTTATTTATTCCTTAAACACTTATGTATTCATTTAGTAAGATCATGTCAGATTTTTATAAATAGTCACATGGGAAATATATATACTTTACAGTTTTTTGCTTGCATCATAAATTAGTTTCCGTAATTTAAGGGCCTTCTTGTCATATTACATCAACAAAATCTATTATTTTATTTTGCTACAATAGTTTGTACATGTATATTGTATCTACTCATTTATGCGTTTAGAGAATATCTTTATATTATTTATGTTGGTAATATTCTTTAAATTAATAAAACACATATCTTATAATTTCTAACATTTCAAACAATTTTGTAATTGTGAGTGTATGTATAACTTATGAAGTTTCTAATATAACATAAATATAATAATGTCTTGTTTATCTACTGCCAATTATTGTTATTTCTTATATTACCTATTTGATTTTACTCTGCTTTAATTTCAGCTTTACATCAAACAAGCATTTGTTTGGGGCAGCTAAATGTCACATTCGGCGATATTGCGACTATTCCGTGTACATCCAATTCAGTTTACCCGTCATGGTATGGACCAGAGATGGTAAATGGCCAGAATATACAGTACAATAGTGCTGGGAACAATGTTTTCAATAATATTCAGATTCCGATTCAGAAGAGAAATAGACTTGGGTGGGCCAGTGATTTGAAAGGTCTTGTCATGAGAAATGTATCTGTTGCTGATGAAGGACGATATGTATGTAATGGTAGTGAGACATCTCTGACTGTGAGAGGTAAATATGTTTTAATTGATTAATTGAACACATGAATCATATAGATAACAAGTGTTTGCATGTTCTGTTGCATTTACCAAGTATTGTTTTCTTTGGGTGATTTGTGTGTGTGCGTGTGTTGTTGTAGTTTGTATTTTTTGTTGTTTTTTCATTAGTATATATACACTATTAGAGTGTTTCTATAACATTTAGAACATATTATTGATCTCGAATTGCTTCGTTTTAATTTATTATCCAAACTATTAATTTCTTCCATATCCCGTCAAATTTGTGAAGATATCTATCTACAAAATCTTGTTGGGAAACATGGTTGAACCATCCTTGGAGGAACAGTCATCGAGCAAACTTATGATCATGTACTTGCAGTACTATTAAATAAGTTGAAGTTCAACCTAATTCTGCCATTTTTGTTTAATTAAATTATTTTAAATTCCTCCAATTCAGTTGAAGTAAAAATATAATGATAAAATTGTAGATGAGTAGCTGCTTCAACATTGACAACAAATACTCAATACCAATACTAATTACAACATTATTTAAGCTAGCAACTTATGGTTGGACCTTAAAATGCAGTGTTACAAAGCCCGGCGTCAATAAAAACAAAAAAAAACGTGGCATAAAGTTTGTTTCAAACAGTGACAACAAGTTTATAAATAGCACAAAAAAGGTTTCGATAACAGCTACAAATCTCTTCTAACAACTGCGCAAGTAGCGTTATACTGGTATATTTATTTGTTTGAGATTATGTAAAACTTGCCCGTGATTTTTGTTGATGCTTTTATTAGTAGTGGTTTTCCAAAGCGTAAAAGGGGCAACCCACTGGGTAAATTTAAATAGCAGTTTGCATGCGCATCCGTATTAAAGACAATAAATGTTTTAGTTTATTGATCGTACATTACATTGTATTTATAAATATAAAACGTATGTCACTTTAACGCTTATTAAACGGTAGATTGCCATCTATAAGTTTTTTCGTAAATCTTGTTGTCTTCAGTTAGACCTAGTCGGCTAACAATTGAGCAAATATCTGTTGCATCAGCTGGAAATAGAGTGGAGGTTAATTGCACCTCTACAGTCAGTAAACCTGCGGCAAATTTAAGATGGGTGTACAAAAACGAAAGCTTGCTTGGACGACAGGTTTCAGTTCTTGATAATATAACAAAGACGTATACCGTAACATCTATTTTGGAAATGCAAGCAGTAGCCGATGATAACGGACGAAGTGTTCTATGCATTGTATCGCATCCATTACTGGTAAACCAGATGCAGTCCAATGCATCTGTCGATCTTAAAATTTTGTGTAAGTTGATTATCTTTATACGTTAATTTGGACTTATCATAACCGAAGAAAAAAATATGGAAAAGAAAATTCATCCGATTTTGTAAATTTTCTTCTGTTAAGTTCAAAGGTGAAAATTCGTTTTTAAACAGCAAACCTAACTCCTCGATTCAATTCCAAAGCTATCTGCAAAAATTCAATTTGGTTTGCAAACATACAGTAATAAGGATTATACACTGCGGTGAAATTACATTTAATGCAATAATAAATAAATAACACATACCAAAACGGAATTAGATAAAATCTAGTAAATATTAAGTGAAATTTGTCATTTTTCGTTTATTAAACTTACAGAGCTAGTACTTTTTATTATTAGATCAAGAAACTCATATTTTGAATTTTCTGCTATCGGAAACAATCAAGTTGTCATGCGAACGCTCTCAACAAATATATTACAATATGTCACCTCAATACTGATATTATTATTCTGTTTAAAACGATGATAAATTAATATAAGTTGATTCAGTCAAACGTATAAAGCAATTTTTGTCTCTAGCGGCACAGTAGATAAAGAATTCAATCATCATTATCATTTTGTAAAATACAAATTCATTTCGTATTTAAGTACTTTAGTATTGTCCGTTTTTGTAGTTCCTGTAAAGCCCGCTTCCACTAAGATAACTGGCAATGAAGTTGCAAATGAACCAGGACAATCGTCACTGACATTGAACTGTACAACTGGATCATCAAATCCTGCATCCGATATAAAATGGTTCAATGGCTCATTGAACTAGAAAATGGTCAACGATACATAGAATGTCTGGCGAAAACAACGGTGTAGTAAGATCACAGATTCTTGTTTTATATCCGACACGATACATGAACGGCAATGAGATATCGTGCTCAGTTTACAATACTGAAAATTTGGAAACACCAGTCAAAGATTCCGCCAAACTCAGTATACAATGTAAGTATTTAAATTACATGTGATTTAAGATTAAGTTGAATGAACATGAAATGAGATACTTTAATTGGTTTCAAAATGGTATTTGTTTCGGTACATAAATGTTTAAACAATTTAAACAGTATTGAAACCATTTATTATTAAATAATTATTTTATTTATTTATTTATTTGCAAAGATAAAGCAATTTGTCATTTTCACCTTTATGACATCTAAATCTGAATTGTTTTTGTTATGTACAACACAAAATGTTCTCAGACTAAAAGAAATTGTCTTTCAATATACTGATTTGCCTTTCATGATAATGCAAGACAATAGTATGTATATAGTATTTTGTATCAGCCGATAACTTCGTTTTTCAGACAATATCTATTCTTCATTTCATGACCTATTATGATATTTTTATCAGTTTTGAAAAAGAATAAAATTTAAAAATGTGTATTATTAGCTATTCGAAAGTACCTTTTCAAAACTATCGAAAATGTGCCGTTCTTGCATTATGCATATACATTTTGTATTTAGTTTGTTGTTTTTATAGTACATGTATATATTTATTTGGCACGATAATTCAGAATTTGTTTTTCATCTTAGTTAAACCCCTTACAACTACCATAACTGGAAACAACAACATTATTGCTAATGGAATAACAGCTTTAACATTAGACTGCACGTCGGGAAGTTCTAATCCAATATCTGACATCACATGGACAATAAACAATGTTATTTCAAAGGCAACACAAGATTTGTTCAATCTAAGTGGAGAATATGGTGGTATAAAACGTCGACAGAGATTAATACTGACTCCAACACGCGACAATGATGGAGACATAGTTTCTTGTGAAGCTCAAAATATCCTAGGAACATCTGAAAGAATTAAAGAAACATTGGATCTAAGATGTAAGTTACTCTATCAAAGCTTTAAGTTGTAATATATTTGTTACTAATTGTATCATCGTTATCTTAAATGTTCAATAATTCAACGTACTATTTGTCTTTTATAACCCTTGTTGTCACTGTTCCGACACTGACATAAATTCAACGACCATTTTATTTTGTTCATTATGAAAATGTCTTACAATTTACGAAGAGATATTGTGACAAATGTTCATGATAGAACTACTCGATCATGGTATCATGCAATACAGTGTAAGTTACTTTTTAATAGTTGTTGCAAATCCGTATCCCTCCTAAACTTTATCTTACAAGTTTTTTATCAGATTTCAGCAATTATGTACACAATTTAAATTTTTTGTTGTTTGGTGCAAGTTAGTAAAAAGTTAAAAAAAAAAGAGTTTATTTAAGAAAAGTACGTTACTACATGATATAAACGTGATTTTTGTAGATCGTCCAATTATTGAGCAGATGTCAAATGTAGTTGTCGTCGAAGGTAACAATAGTGAGCTTATGTGTGTCGCTTCAAGTAAACCGGCGTCTACATTTAAATGGTACAAACAGGGACAACAAACACCAGTAAACCAAGGCTCTGGAGCAATTGGCAATAACAAATTACCGTTTGTTCTTATCAATGTAAGGAAGCAAGATGCTGCAACTTACAGGTGTAATGCAAATAATGGAGTCGAAGTGGCGGATGACGAAACAGTTCTTCTTACTGTACACTGTAGGTTGAAATAGCATCGTTGTTGTGGTTTTGTTTTTTAATGCATTGCATTCTGTAACATAGAACAATAACTGTGTTATTCTTTATAAACTTTATCTGTTTAAATTTATTAATTTAAATCCTACATATTAGTAATATTGTTAAAGGTATACACGTGAAGTAAATTTTTGCAAAGGTCTAAATGAACGAGCGTTTTTCAGATCCACCTGATGTCACTGTGGTTGGAAGTAACACATCAATTAAAGCTACCAATATAGTTATAACATGCAATGCTATGGGTTTACCAGGCAATAATTATAGATACGGAAAATGGGTTCAGACATGGCCGGGGCATAGCTTGCCTTTATCAGAAAAACCAGGAAGCAAAACGCTCCAACTGACTGATTTGACATATGAACATTCAGGCATTTACACGTGTTCTGCCAGTAACGGTATTAGAGTATTTGGGACAGATAAGGAATTTATTGAGGGATCAGCACAAATACTTATTAAATGTAAGTGACTTATATAGAATATATAAATTCCACGAAAAATGGGACCTGTAATTATTATCATTTATTAACTTGGTTGTTGGATGTAACCGCTACTTTTTTTAAAAGTGCATTATGTGATTCCAAATTCTCATTTTACTTTTTTATATATATTCTGATGAATTTCCAATTTATGAATTTAGGGCATGTTTATATTGATATATACTTTATATATTGATACCTGCCTTGAATCAATAATGAAAGTTAATATTAGATTTTGACTTAAATACACGGAATATTAATTCTATTTTACAATATTTCAGCATTTCCTATTGTTACTAAATTTACCAAGAAAGTAACAGCAAAGTTGAATGATCGTCTTAATATCGAACTCGAATATTACTCGAATGCAGGTGTGACGGACGTGAAGGTTTATAAAAATGTAAACGGTTTAAGACAAACAGGACCAAATTATTCTCTATCAAAGCGAGGTGTACTTGTAGACTTGCCGGTGTTTACACAGATTGTTAAGACAAATGGTGTTAAATTAATTATATCTTTTACTGTTATGTCTAAGAAAGACATTGGATATTTCGATATTGTTTTGTCAAACGAAGTGGACTCTACTTTTCAAACAGTGGAAATTGTTCCTGATGGTAACTAAGTGTTTGTTTCTGAATTATTAAAAACAAATGAGACGTGTCATGACAAAACCAACGTAATGCGTTTGCGACCAGCATGGATCCAGACCAGCTGTCTGATCAGGATCCATGCTGTTCGCTAGCAGTTTCTTCACTTGTTATAGGGTCTGTAAGCGAACAGCAGGCTGGTCTGGATCCATGCTGGTCGCAAACCCATTATGCTGGTTTTGTCATGACACGACTCAAATATTTCTGAATTATTGTAATTCTTTTGACGTCACTATCAGGTATTCGGCATTTGTAAATCACAACCAGAAAATATCGTTATCAGCATTACATTTGTTACATATACTAATGCTTACAATTCATTGCATAAATGGTACATGAAGAAAAGTGTTTGTCAATACTAAACAAATAATGTCTTGATGTATTGTTGTCCCTTTCTTACAGGCATTCGTCGGATACGTCATTTCGTTCGATGTATAGATAAGTTCCATAGATATCCTTCCATTTTCAGACATACCTTCCAAAGTTGAAAATGGAATCAATTTGCCGTTAGATTTCTTATTATTTTGAATGCTAACTTTATGACACATTATTTGTTGTAGGCCCACCAGGTGTTTCTAAAAATATAACCGTAGACAACATTCAACAAACCACTGCACGTGTTTTGTGGCAACAAGGATATCATGGTGGATTTCCTCAGACTTTTTTGATACAGCTTAGTACTGACAGGGTACAGTGGGAAAATGTTGAAACAGTTTATGGCGGGACGGATGAAAGTGAAGATCTTAAGCAAAAGGTCTTAACTGACCTCAGTCATTCAACGACATATTTCATACGAATCTATGCGTTTAATAGAGCAGGCAATAGTCCTTTCTCTCAATATCAGAACTTCACGACACATCAAATCTTAAGTAAGTATGAGATAAGCGCTAAAAGGCATACAGAGTACAATTACGGTATTGGTATCATATATTTATAGATGTTATGTGAGTTTAAATATTGCAAAATAACAAAACGAGAAAACCGTTCTTCCTTTTCACCTTGATTTTTTGAAATAATAATTTAAACAGCATTATTTCTTATCATTAATTTCGTATAAATTAAATATCTGTTATAATTATTAACATCATAGTGTAGTTACTGTCATTGTATTGACATTGGTGACAATAGTTTTTAACATTGTCATATTTAAACAACCTTAGTGAGTCTATGCGTGAAAAAAATAACTGTTCAACTAATTACGATTATGGCATTCAAATTTGGTTAATTTCTGTGCCTTAAAATGACAAAATATATACAGTATATACGTTTTTGAAATGACTTCTTTCTATTTTTTAGGGTCTGACTCCAGAAGTTTGTCTGTTGGCGGAATTGTAGGCGGAACGTTGTCGGCACTTGTTGTTATAGTCCTGATAGTGGTTCTTGTAGTACTTTTCCGCAGAAAAACAATCACAAAAGGTAACTATGAAACATGTCTTATTTTGGGGCCATACGCTGCTTTTTCAGTTCACAAGCAATGATACCTATTCAAAATTCCTATTAATTTAGTTTTGTTAATTGTTTTCTTGTTTAGTGCTATCGCATTACTTTTATTCGGGAACTATGTGCCGCTTTTCATGGAATAGCATTTACGTGTCACATTGACCGCAAAATGAACTTACAAATAAATACAGTTTGTTTTTGTTTGTTAAAATAATTTTCAATCAAGGATTTCACTGTTTATTAATCTACGTGTGTCTCACAAAATAAATCAAGATTCATCAAAAACACTGTGTAAGTTTTAAATGAATTATTGCAACTCTGCTATTAGCTTATGTCAATTAAACATAACATCTGCAAGACTGTTGATGTAAATTTCATTTTAGTTGCATCTTCATCAAATATTTGCTTATATCAGACGTTAAAAAAACATCAAATATGGTTATCATTCATTTTAAGCTCGACTTTTATAGGAAAAGAGGAAAACTATTATATTCACCCTGACATCAGCGCCGGCGACGACGACTTTTGTTTTAGTATAAGTTAGGTGCAAGTTAGTTTAAAAACTACTGAAGATAATGGGTTGCAACATCGGACACTCGATAGAGAGCAATAATCTTATAAAGTATCAATCTCTGAGAGTAGTCGGGCATGCTGTCCTTCCGACAGTTCTTTTTTATACAAAATGCTGCTTTGACTAGCAACATCATTGTAAGCAGAAACGATATAATAATTGACATTATATATGAATATCTCATAACTGGTCAAAATACCATAAGGTTTGTAAATACCTATAACTTTACATGACAGAATCAATATGAATAGAATATAATTGATTACATATTTTTCAGACGGCATCAGGACCCGGCTACAAACAATATTAAGGTAATGAAATTTGTTTCTCTTAATTAAGCATGCAATATGAATATAGCTTTGCATTGTTATACTGACATTCATAATCGATTTGTCACGTGATAGCTATAATATTACTATAGTAAACTCATTATGTAAATTACATTTATTTATAAAGGATTTAAAAAGAAGAATTTCTTTTCAGTATATCACTTCAAGCATGCGTAAAACAATACAATAAATGATTTTATAAACCTACCATGCATGTTCGTATATGTCTACTATTTCACGATCTTTAGTAGATTATGCAAGTGCATAAGTTACAATAATACTACTATAGTAAACTAATAATTATTATGTAAATGATATTTATTTAAGGATTTGGAAAAAAGAATCAGAACAAAGGATTCCTTTTTGTGTCGCCTTAAAAAGCTGAACAATAAAAGCTATTGACTTGAAATTTCATAAGACGATAGATCTTATTAAGAAGAAGTGCAGTGCACAAGAACGGGTACTCTGCACTTCTTATTTTTGGAGTTATTGCCCTTTGTTACTTTTTATACTTTATTTTTGTCCGGGCCATTTCTCATAAACAAAAAAAGCTTTTTACTTGAAACTTTATATGATGATAGATCTTATTAAGAAAAAGTGCAGTACACAAAAACTGGTACTTTGTACTTCTTATTTCTTGAGTTATTGCCCTTTGTTAATGTTCATACTTTATTTTGTCTGATCCATTTCTCCTAAACTATAAAAGCTTTGGACATAAAAGTTTATAGGATGATAAATACTGTTCACAAGGCGACACATCCGACTCGCGGAGTTCTAGTTCAGTATATCAGTTTAAGCATGCGTAAATACAATTTTTTTTATATACTTACCATACATGTTCTTATATGTCTACTATTCCACGATTTTAGTAAATTATGCAAGTGCATAAGTTACAATGTACATAATAATCAGTGAAAAGCCGATTTTGTTTTTAAAAGATTTTGGTATAACTGTAATTATAGTAAAGATTAAGTTTATAATGATAATATAATATAAATCTTTCATACTTTAAATCAGTGCTATAAGAAAACAAAACCATGAGCAAGGACAGCAACAATGCCAGCAAACAGAGATGAACAACTATGCCGATAACAACATATATGAACAGACTAAAGTTCCAGCTGCCGAGATTAAATCAAATGACAAAGCTAACAAAATGTATGTAACTAATTTCCTGCACTTTAAGAAGGCATAAACATATTGCATTTTTTTATATTAAAAGCAACATGTAATTATTAGTCAGGGAAAGAACTAAAAAGGTTGTATTATCAAGAATGAAACCACAAGAGTGAGGGTGTTGCCGGATGGTTAACTGGTGGGACTAGGATGGTTAAAGTATTGGACTAGTTATCTAAGGTTCGCTAACCGTGTGGGTTTAATCCCTGTTTGGGGCGAACCCTTGTTTCCTTGAGCAAAAAAACTTTTCACTCATTCGAGTGTGTGTCTTAAGCTATCGAACTTAAATAAATCCTGTACAAACAAACGTTTAACAAAGACGTAATATGCTACTTGATGCTGTAAAAAATAAGACACACTGACTTAAATTCCTTTCCTGCTGAAAATCATTAAGCCATATTTTATCCTGAAATTCTTATTCTAATACGTTAAAGATAACCTTTACTTTCCTATCAATTTTAGAAATCTGTATGAAAAGCTTCAGCGTTCAAATAACAGTGAAAATCCAAATGCGTATGATATGATAAAAGGTAAGAAAATGTATTGATATGATATATAAGCCACGCCATGACAAAAGCAACATAATGGGTTTGCGACCAGAATGGATCGAGACCAGCCTGCGCATCCGCGCATTCTGATCAGGATCGATGCTGTTCGCTATCAGTTTCTCTACTTGTTATAGGGTTTGTAAGCGAACAGCATGGATCCTGATCAGACTGCGCGGATGCGCAGGCTGGTCTGGATCCATGCTGGTCGCAAACCCATAATGTTGGTTTTGTCATGGCGTGGCTCATATTATCATTATGAAACATCTTATATATCATATTAAGATAAGACTTCTAAAAATATCATTTAATACTTAGTTACGGCATATCATAACGGCAAATATTTCTAAAAGAAATTTCATACTATTCTTTAAAGTGATGGAATTAATCACTTCTTAGGAACTTAAACACTTTTAATTCATGTATTTTATCATGTCCTTTATAACAATTTTATAAATTATCTTTTCAGTTGAAAAAGAAACGACAGCTGATGGGTAAGTTTTCTTTTTCAATATCATAAATATACATAGCGAAATCATTGTGTTAAAAGAGAGCAATATCATTCACCCTCCTTAATTTAAAGTAGCATTTTAAAAACTTACTCTTTGGTTCATTATCCATTATTGGCAAAATCTATCAGCAATTTTCTTAATATGTTTGATAAATCGCTCTGATGAAAATGAATATAGGATGTATTTGAAGAAATAAGCGTATACATGTAACATAATACAGAAATCGGTGAACTGGTGTCTACTATAAAATACTTTTTATATTCTTGTTTTAATCTTTAAGTAAAGTGGAGTATGAAAATCTACCAAAGAAAACACATACAACAGATGCATTCAAAACTGAAATAGCAGGTGAGGATTTGATTTTAACCTTTGATTTTGCACAACATTCAATTCGTTTATAATGCATGATAATTTGAACATGACCAAAAGTTTAGTTTTAAGTGCAAGTAATCATTTTCACCATCAGATTATTCTGAATCGAATGAAGAGATGTGTCAGTACATTTTATCTATTTTCATGATTCTATTAACATATAAACTAAGTAAATGAAAGATCAAGCAAACTTGAAACCTGGTGTGTAAGGTGCACACAAAACATAATATACAAACTGTCCATGAGCTTTTAAGTGCATGCCTGTGATCATTGATGAAGGTAAAATGGAATACAGCCCCGATAATATACCTGACCAAGCTAACTTTACCTGATTATAAATAGGATATAAGCATTTCTGTTCAATTTCATCTATTTTCATATTTTTTACTTCACAGAAAAACTAGGTAAAAGAAAGAACCGGATTTACGAAAACTTGAAACCTGGTGGTGTGAAAGGTATAAAGAAGAAATAAGTGACAGCTGAATATGTTACAGATATTATAAGCTTGAAGCCCAAGTCATTGGTCTGTTGTAAAAGATCAAAGTGAAGTGATTGCAAGGCCGAAATACAGACCTGCTAATGCGAATACTGTGTAAGATAACAGTGGAATAGCTATTCTGTGAGAGTGTTCATTTTGTAACGACAGTGTGCAATTCAGTGTGTGCAAATATATATGTTTAATGATATATCAAGGAATCTAAGTAAACTATTTTGTATATCAATTACCATCCATCGATATCATTTGAAATATTATTTCATTCTGCTGTTGAAATATTTATTTATTTATTTGTTGTTGTTTGTAACATCAGTTTTATATTTATTTGACTCTATACAGTCAATAAAAGGAGATATTTAAGTTATTACGACTACTTTTAAAACACTTTTTCTCTTGTATATTTAATGTTGCAATTCAAATTGTAAAAAAATGTATTGAAAACAAAATCACCAGGCGAACTTATTATTTGTCAAGATGAAATGAGATTCAAGTTAGTCCTTACCAATCGGGTGAAAAAACAATATGAACGACCACTAAATTACAAATTATATAAAAACAGCCACTTTACGGCTGTACTCATATTGTTTCATTTTTTAACAAACAACCAAAACAAAAAAGAGAATAATACAAGCAAAATGTCAAGAAAAGATGTTAATAATACACATTAGATTTTTATAGTGAAATAAAGGCATGCGAAACTTTTATCCCTCTTGTAATTTTTTTCTCGGACCAAGAGATTAACATGTCCAGGCAATCGTGATTTCACGGCAATATGTCGCACAGCATTAAGATAATTAAAATAACTGTAATTTGTAAATAAGTAAACGAATTATCAAAAATTAACAAAATTAACAACCTTAGAATATTTAGATCATTGCTGAATATTTTGGGTAACAACAATTTTAGATCAAAGTTACTTTAACAATGCTTTAATATTTCTTTGGTTATAATCCACAAAACAAAATAATGAATTTTGGTGGCAAAGTATGGCATTTTAATTTTCCACTTGTCCCCCCCCCCCCCGTCTGTCTGTTATGCTATATATCCGAAGAATTCTTGATCGCTATGGTTACAAAAAAAATGTAAAGATAATGAAATAGGATACATCACCGCCATCCTAAAAAATGTGAAATTTTGTTCCCTACAACTTACGTCACTTTTCTAAAAATGTATGAAAAAAATTTCTTCCTGGTTATTTGTTTACTCCGGAAGAGGATTCTTGTATTGTCTGCGACAAGATCGTTTTGGACAATTTATTCCCAGAATTTCAATAAGAAAATTGTTAAAGTCTTCTCAGTTATATGAAATGAAAGAAAACAGTTTTATCACAAATGTACTTTCTCCTTTTATCACTGTTTATGTTAAATAACAACATTACCTTAAAAGATCTGGGATGTTTAAGAAAATATCATCAATCTTATTGATAAATTAAAAGATGTTTTATATTATTACAAACTCACGATAGGGAATCACGTATATTCTTTTTATTTGAAAATGTAAATATAAGGCATGTTGAATGTTGACTAGTCATTTTGTTTTCAAGTACACGTGAGAAAAAGGATTAAGGTAACGAGTACAAGTACTTTTATTGTTGATAACTCCCACGCAAGCAATATCTTTGCATGTAATAGCCTTGATGTCGAATGAACAACATAATTCCCTACTGATAATGTAAACGTTCATTACATTCGGTGCCCACTTGTGTGACGGCGTTACACTAATTAAAACTTATATTGATTACTGTATACACAAATTGTATATGGTTATTTATTTGTTTCGATATTTTGCCCTTTGCTTTAAACTTTAATGCATTAATGAATAATGACAGTCTAACAATACTATATATAATTATAATAATATAGAATGAAAGACCAATTTTAAGAGTGTTTATATTATCATAGGGCTATTGTAATTTTCATAGTAGTGTCAACAAAAAAGTAAAATTGTAGCTATTGTCCAACCTTTTAAAAAGAATTTAATGAATTTTCCTCTTTTTTTCTTTTTGATGATATGCCGAAAGAGTTTATTTGAAACAATTTCGCGGGTGTTGATGTTTTGTTCAATACCGGTTATCTACGGTGGCACAGAGGGTACATGTGTTTGTGCTTTAATTTATCTCGAGTGCAGGAGTTACTATGTAGTAACATGATGTCGTAACAAATGTTTTAGCGTTTAGTATACGTTAAAGGCACAAGATTTAATAATGACTTGTGAGACGATAACTACGGTGACACAGGGGTGATATTTGTTTTTTTTTATTTGTCTCGTGCGCATGAGGGACTGTGTCGTCCCAAGAATCACTAAGTCGTGGGCACGAGATAATTAAGTCGTGGCACGAGGTAATATGCCTTGGCCACGAGTTACGTAGTCGTGGGAACGACTTAATTATCTCATGTGCATGACTTATTAACTCTTGGCAAGGACATAGTATGTCGCTCCCATGACTAAGTAACTCGCGGCCACGACATAGTATCTCGTGCGCACGAGATAAATAAAACACACATGTTACCTCTGTGCCACCGTAATACGTTGATATTCAACGATGTTTCTTTTAATGCTTATTTTTGTAAACGCAGTTTTAATTTATAAAGTTCCCCTTTGAACAAATTCTCGATTTCAAAATAAAATCAATTTTCTTAACTATATCGTTACAAAATGATTTGTGAAAACAATAAAAATGGGAGTTGTTCAAAGTATGAAATAAGACGTATACGTAAAATGAATAATCATGAATAATACTTAAAGGAGGCGATAACGTTATTTAAATAACAAAAGTGTGTAAAAATGTACTGAGAACCTATCATTTGGATTATATTACGAACCTTCATTTCCTTTTTTGACCTGCCACTTTTTTAAGTGTAAAAAATTATATTTCATTTCCTTCAAACCAGCACTATCTAGATCCGGTACCTGTTCAAGTAGCACAACATATCCAGGCCACTGTAGATGTGTTCGGACACAAGAAAATCCATTAGCCGATAGAGAATATACCAACAATGTACATTCTTCATGGGACAATCAATCATCACGAAATCTGATCCTGAAACAGGGTCTTTAAAAATTGGTGCTCAAATATGACACATGAAAAATATGCTTTTCTAAATTTTGAACTTTAATACAAGAATGGGTATTATAATAATAAAAGGGTAGAACAGAACAGAAGGGAGCGAAAGACAATACCTAGCCACACAAGACCATCGGAAAGACAATACCTAGCCGCACAACACCATCGGAAAGACAATACCTAGCCGCAAAACACCATCGGAAAGACAATACCTAGCCACACAAGACCATCGGAAAGACAATACCTAGTCACACAAGACCATCGGAAAGACAATTCCTAGCCACACAAGACCATCGGAAAGACAATACCTAGCCACACAAGACCATCGGAAAGACAATACCTAGCCACACAACACCATCGGAAAGACAATACCTAGCCACACAACACCATCGGAAAGACAATACCTAGCCACACAACACCATCGGAAAGACAATACCTAGCCACACAACACCATCGGAAAGGCACTGAGCAAGTGCAACAAACAAAAACAAGTGTATAGACTTTTCAAGGCAAGGATAATTCACAATAAATCGACAAGTTTACATAACATACTAATAAACATGAACTTATATACATCTACCGTACTGAAGATAATAAAATTGACTATAAATAGCAAAATATTTAATTGTAAAAATATAAACAAAAATGTACTGCAATGCAGTGTACCACTCAAAGGCCACACTATTCGCACGCGATCTTTATTGTGTAAATGATGAGCCGATATAATACACTAAAAGCAAGTTTAAAGTCTTCCAACAATTGGTTTAGAAGAAACATTTTTAAATTATAACTCTGTGTATTGATTTGAAACACCTCTATAATATTTTACAATATTCTTAATCTTGACCACACTATTGATAAAATCATTCAATCATGAACTTTGATAATCGTGTACGATTACTAATATTTGTACCAGAAACTTATGCCTGTAACAAATAGATATTGCATTTCACATTTCTATTCATAACTACGGAATCCCGTTTCCGCCATCGTTTTGTCGACTAATAAATAACCCGACAACTAGAAATTAAGAATAAAATTTCGACTTTTCGCCATAAAAAATTTCCCCGAAAACAAAACAAGTTGAGGTTTTTTACTCGATAATAATCACAAAATCGTCAACTTGTCGACCTATAACTTAGCACGAAAAGTAGAAATTTATTGGCCTTAATTTCCACTTCTCGTGTATTATCACAAGTCGACAAGTTGATATTTGCATGATAATTATCATGATAATTATCAAGCAAACGTCGACTTGTCGACCCAAAATATAACCCGACAAATTGAAATAAGCACTCAAAACCTCGGGTTAGGATTATATATACGTGTCTTGTGTACTCTTTTCACCGTACAATCCTACTTCGACACTAGAGGTTTTATGGTTATTTTCTACTTGTCGCGCTAGATTATGGATAGACAAGTTGACGTTTTTGCGATAACTGTCATGCAAATATCACCTTGTCGACCTTTGATAACATGCGACTAGTGGAAATTAAAGATATTTAACATATACTTTTCGTGCTAATTTATAGGTCGACATGCTGACGATTTGTGACAATTATCGAGTCAAAAACCTCGACTTTTCTAGTTTTCGGGGTACGTTTTTACAGCGAAAAGTCGTAAGTTTATTCTTAATTTCTAGTTGTCGGGTTATCTTTTTAGTCGACAAGTCGATGGCGGAAACGGGATTCCGTACATAACCGATTGATTAACTTAAAGAAAAACGCAAATAAGATTTAAAATGTGTAATGCCTAATAAAATAACCGTGATTGCGATGTTGCAGGACGGGTTCCACTATAAGTTCCTTCTACTCATAGAAGAAAATACTTATTAATATAAACATTTTCCAGATAAATCTTCGTGTTAAAACATGAAATATAGCATACAGAAAGTCATTTTCCCGACGAGCTCACTATGATACGATGGTGAAAACTCGATTGTACGATGACGATAATATGAAAATCGCGATGATGCAATAATAAATATGCTATTATCGCTTTTTTATCATCGTGCCCTAGAGTGTTCACCCTCGTAGCGTCGTGTATCGCGGGCTAGGTAAAAATAATAAATTGTCACGATTGTTCAAGGTACAACGCACGCAGCGTTCTGTATCTCTGTGTATTTATATCTTTGTCTTTGTTCTCTTGCATGAGTGGTTTCTATGCAAGAATTATAGACATAACCATACACGTTTCATCTCTTCCATATTTAGTGTTTGAAATTATTTTTGTCCAATAGGATTCCAGTATTTCAAATGAATACAAAAATACATTTACTTTGGTAAATCGACAAACTATTAATACGTCTCGTAAATCGATTGTTTATAAAAATAATTTAAAAAACTAAGCTGGTTAAAATTTATCAGTACGCATTTAATTTTGTAAATACGTACTTGTAAACTTTAACCTATACATAAACAATAAGACAAATCACTGTCGTGTTTAAAAGCATAAGATTTAATGTTTATTCACCGAGCTGATTTAACTTCCTCATATATGGGTACATTAATGAATAAATAAATGTTTAAAAAAAACTGGGTACTTTATTCAATTTATAAATATCGGAATATCAACATGGGAAGTTGATGTAAACAAAAATACAAGGAAGTTTTAAACGTTATAGACATATATGTATCTTAACTGTAATATTTAAATAATCATGAATGTTTTCATACTGATCATTGGAATATGTATTTCGTTGTCAAAAGGTAATTATTTTATTGTACTTTATTCATGGAACGTACTTGTTATGTTTTATGAAAGCTTCATCATCTTAAAAAAATAAGTAAAACCCCCAATACAACTGGGAAGGTACTTTATTATACTACTTTCTAAAAGATTTTTTTTGTAATTTATACATGAAATATATATAGAGAGATATGGAATTATTTTGAAGTGAAGAAAGGGGATATTTATAAAATGATTATAATAATGTTAGATGGTGTATTATTTTTTTACTTGATTTTGGGGTATGTAATAATAAATAATAAAGAAATTCATACATATATATTTTCAAGATAATGGAATAGAATAAGGAAAAAGGTTAAAACATAACCATCTAGAAAATGAGGCATACATGTTTAGCTAATAAGAAAAAAATGTTCATCAATTTAATAAATATTACGTTGATTTGACCTTATACAGGTGTTTACATTTCAAAGGTTTTTTTTTGAAAACACATCTCGAAAATACATCGCTACTTGAGTTAGCGTTCAGTAAAATTGTAAGCATTCATTGAAAGATCAAAATAAAATATTGATATGACGGGCACTTCCGTGCCACTTTTTGCGAGTCCGTAAACACGGTATTGCACGACCGTGTAAACATTTTCACGTGAAGTCATTTTAGTTGTACAAACATAACGTAAAGACCCGCTTGTTGTTAGCGTAACACCGCGTCAATGAAAATTATTATTTTTGTCTTCATTTTGGGTATGTGATGAATGAAATAATATAATTTTACCAAACTCGTTCAATAAATTCAACTTGGAATCTACACTGACTTAATATGAAAAATATATTTTAAAGTTTTACTGTATGGTTTAAGCCTGAAAACGGAATGGATTTTGTTTGGGAGTCCAAGTGGGTGGAAGCATTCAGGAAAAAACTTTTTTATCCCGTTTTCAGGACTAAACTAGGCGTAAAACTTTAAACTTATTTTTAAAATTATATACGGTTATAAAGTCAATCTTTGGTTCGCTGCGTTATTTTTTTATATTCTAACGATTTCAAAAAAAAAATAGAAACATATTTTACCTTAGAATTGACAAATAGTTCGATTTGGGGCATTCTGTAGGTGCGCGATGTAGTAGTATCCTACTATTGTTATCTATTTATAATAGCTTAGTAGAGTTTTAAAAATATAAAACTGTAGGTAATATAAGATAAAACATTAATGATTTCTTGCCTATAAATCGAAACATATATGTACACATGTACAATGTGTCTACAGTAAAAGGAAGACAAAATTAAAACACACACACATAACATTTATGTTACTGTTCAGATACTATGTATGATAAGAAATAACATATCACTAAACTTTGCTACTTTTTTACATGGATTAAGTATATTGATTTTCTATTGTCTGCTGCTAGTCAATGTGTTTACCTCTAAACTTCTTGATCTCACAATTGCGCTGTCCATATAACAAAATGGCCAGTTCGATATACATTCTGAATGCTTCGGATTTCTCGGTGCAATTTAATATCGTCGCAACTCCGTATCAACAAAGCTGGCTATGCATGCTATACAAAATTATATACATATTGTGAAGACTTTGAACACTGTTGGCATTTGTGTAATGAATACTTTCTTATCCGCCATTGTACAATATCATTATTCAAGCCTTGTCAAAACATTTTTATAAGTTATCCGTGGCAACGATGAACTCTTGGAAAAACGAATCAACATCTATATATTTAATCCAAAAAAGTTCCTATGAAGCATTGACATATTTGGGGCCCAATATCAATCCATGGAGAAATTCCGTGCGCACGTGCTCGATATCCAGAAGGTGTGGATAATATATCCAATGAAAGGCAGGATACCTCCGTGACGTCACAATGACCAGTAGGTTCCCAATGACAAAATGAATAACTTGATAAACACACCTTTAATTTCCAAGGTGAAAATCTTCTATCTAGTTGTATGGCATTATCGTCAGTTATTCTGTACATCTATTATGGACGCTGGGCGCCATTGACGTTTGCCGGTCATTAGCTAGAGCAGGCACTTTGCACAAATATTTGGTAGATCGTTGGATTATTATTGATGTTAGTAACTGAAATAATATAATATTATCATAGATAATTTATTATACATGAAAATACATCTATACACAGTGACAACAGTGACGGAATGTAATGATGCATAGCCATACCTTTAAATATCACTTTGTATAAACACTTGTGAACGGTAATTACATGTTACTATAGGAGTATACTAATAGGATAACGGGACTATTAGATATTGAATGAGTGGAGTAAAATATAGGTTGGTGTGAGAAGCAAGTATGTTTGGCCTGATACGAGACTCATTTTGAGTTTAAGGATTAAATATTGAACATAACGACCAATATTTATTCATATTTTATTTCAACTACCCTATGACAGTATATTATCATATTTAAGTATGTATTACAATGTGACAATCTCATACAGATCCCACTAGACAAACATCATTATTATAGACAAATTGTTAGAAAACAAACTTAGCATGTACACTTAAATACATCAATTAATATAGAGAACGAAAAGGAAACACATATAACATTTTAAATTAACAATACATAGCTTTAATATTATTCCACCTTCTAGGTACATCCACTAGGTACCAAGAGCTGGTAACTGTGGAGATGATACAGTTCTAACATGTCAGGTTACTTGTCATAATGACTTTACTGGCTGGTTTGGATTTGTTACAGATGTTTTAACATGGGATCTGTTTAATTGTTTAATTATTCTATTTAGTTGTAGGTACAGTCAGTATTCAGGTACCAAGTGCTGCTAACTGTGGGGATGATACTGTTCTAACATGTCAGGTTACTGGAAACATTGGCACTCTTAGCTGGTATGGATTGAGCAGATACCTAGTAATAAATGGACTTATTTCTAGACCAGAAGACAACAACAAATATACAGAAACCAGAGGGACATCATCGTTCACTTTGACTATACACAACACTGACTTTAATGATGGAGGGTATTATAAATGTAGGAATGATTTTGAATATAGTGGGCTGAAATATCTTAATATAGAGTGTAAGTATTTTTTAAAACAAAGCAACAAACAAAACAATACATTGGCGTATTCATTTCATCAAATTATTCAATGATGTTTAATATTCTATTAATTGAATGAAAATGCAAATGTCAATGTGATTTATAATACAATAACGTAACTTTTCCGGAAATAATGATCAATAAATGAAATTATTTTTAATTAATCACTGTTCTTTTGTATTTAACCCCATTTTCACATATTATACATATAGTACAATTATAAAATAACTGGTTTGTTTGTTTGAAATATTCCGAATGATAGATTTCGAATGTTTCAATGTATTTCCTTTATGTTATTAATACTTAATATCAGAACAATATAAGTAACTTCACATGAACTATTAAGTTTGATCTTGTGTTATAAAATAGTAAAGAACGATCTGATTGTTCCATTCTTACAATATCAATATATGCCGTAATAATTGAAACAAAAAAATACAGCTATGTGATATCAAAGTAAATATAATATAATGATAGGAAAGCTAACATAATATTTTATAATATGGTTTTTACTGTTTTATTCTTTTATGCAAAACATAATCATGCATTCTCCTCTGCAAATAGTGTTTATTGGCGACGCCGGTGAGCGGCGTCGTCTCTTATGGAATGCTTTTTATTTTGACCTATGGAAGGAGCTGTTATTATTAGCAGTTGATGTCATGTTGTGTTAATTAGTTTTATATATTTGATTCGTAAAAATCAAGTAAACAAATATGTTGTTATATTTGTATTTAATAACTTCATGTAAAAAGCATGTGCATTGTGATATTATTTTCACGAAATTGCAGGCTCAGTTTTACAGCTTGTCCCTTAGCTTTATTGGCAATACTAAAACCCGGATTTCGAATATCGCTGTGGTCTACATTGATGCCGTATTCTTTTTCATTCATTTATAGATTTTCAAAATTAGAGTTACAATTATGACATTATTATTAAAGGTATGAGACTTTCATAAAAGTTATAAATGATAATACATGTATTGCTTGAAAATGTCTTTAAACTTGGATGAAGCAATATAATTAATAAAGTTTCAAAAAATCATATTCTGGACAGTTATTCTAATTTTTTTCTAACATGTGCATAGTTTGAAAAAGACAGCTTCTGTCTTATCTATTTGTAATGGAGGGACACCGGTCTCAACCTCCAGGTCTCCAGAGTCAACCCAACAACAGACTTTTCATAGTAGATTGTTACTTGCCCTTGAATAAATTTGCGCACTAAATTTTATAGTGGGTGATTTGTGCCATATGAAAACCAACAAAGTACAAAAAGTAACCGGACGCGAGATGAAAACAAGAAAATGCAATGAACCTTGCTTTTGTCCGGTGCCCCTGATGCAAAATACAAATCAGCCTTCAAAAAAAGTGTAATCAAATTTTTTATCTGTACACAAAAAAAAGATATTGTACATGTATTAGTACAGTTATGTTCACTTTTAAATTGACCTGTTTTAAATAATGCCACAACCAATAACTGTCTAAGCCCTTTTTAGTAAAAATAATTATACAATATATAAATAAATTGTTATTTTGAGTATGTAAGCTTTTTTTCTTATTTGTTTAATTAAGAATTAAAGAATTGAGATAGCTCAATCGCTACAGCAGCAGTACATTATTCTGTGGGTCACAGGTTCGAGTTCTGGTCAAGTTGAAAGTTTTTCTCATCCTGTGACTGCATATAACCCTGAATTTAATTCACTATGCTCTGTAAACATCAGAAATTTAAGGACACACATCAATATAGTGGGAAATATGTTGTGGTTTATAACTGTTTCATTATTAAATAGAAAATGTGTAGCCGGCCTGATAGCTCAGTTGGTCTTCTGACAGTCATGGGTTCGAGTCATGGTCAGGCAGTTTCAGTTAGAGTTTAGAAGTGGGTTTTCAACTGACACATATTTGATTCATGTAACAGATTCAATTAAATTTGAAATGGACAAAGGCAGTATTGCATGATACTTTTAGATCTACAAAAGGCATTTGATACAGTTGATAACACTATACTGCACATGAAGAAGTTCTTCTTCTTCTCCTTCATGAAAGTTCAAGCATCTGCCATAGGTAATGACCTTCTTTCATGGTTCAAATCTTACTTTTGATAGACAGCACTGGTGGATGTGGCTGGTAATCTTGCTACTACTACTCCGAGTACCTATGGTGTCCCCCTGAGGTTCATTTTAGGTCCTCTTTTTATGTCTAATATATGTCAATGACATGTTTGCAACCCTAAGCAATAAGCTTTTATTATATGCTGATGACTCAAGTATTCTTGTATATGGTAAAATAAATCTGAAGAAATTCTCTCTTATGGCATGGGTCTTATAAGATTGGTTAATTGACTATAAATTGTCTTTGCATCTTGGCAAGGCACAGTTCAACTTTCAACTTAAACAGGGTTCTAGCCTCCAGGTCACATGTAATGGTACTGCTATAAAGTACACATCTTTTGTTTAGTATTTAGGTGCAAAACTTGATCAATTTTTTTTTGCGTCGCCTTTGATATCGATGCTTTGCATCAATGCTTTTCTTGTTTATAATCATGAAAGTGTTTTAATTTGTAGGTAAAGCTTCATCAGCTACACACAGTGTCACAAGTGGGAAGAAAGTACAGATAACAGTAGATAAACTATATCCTGCCTCACCAACACTTACTGTTTCATTTACAAGACAGGTATTATTTTATATTATGAAACAATATGTACCTTTTTAAAAGATACCTGGTCGAAGTAAACCTGGTTAACTTGTATATGTTTTTCTCAGTTTTTGATACATATTTAATTATTTGACAGAATAAACGATGGGGTTATTTATCTTGCAAAATGGAACGCTGTTAGAGGTATGTGTTCCTTAATGAATCTGTTTTATTGGAGAAAGTATTATATCTCAGGATCTGAACAAGAAAGTTAAAGAAATATCCTGAACATTTTATTTCAGAATAATGTTTTACATTTTATTTTAATATTGGCAAAAACTGTTCTTTACATTTTAATTTTAGATCTACTGTCTTTGAGCATGTATTTTAGAATGACAATAATAGAAATGCATTTTAGAATGGCAATAATAGAAATGTATTTTAGAATGGCAATAATGTTCTAGAATAAATCGCTTTGACCCAATTTGCTTCATGCACCAATGCTTACAAAACAATTTGTTTCGTAGTATCCTGAGGTATACATGTATAATAAATGTGTGCCATGTAGTAATATTTTAGGAAATTGCTAATATCTTGATATCTATTATCTCACCTGACCACAACAAGTTCAAAGTGAGCTATTTTGATATCCGTCTGTTTAGCGTACGTCTTCAGCGTACGTCGTTCGTCGTTAACATTTTTACTTAGTAATAAACGACATCTACTCCTAAACCCCTACACAAATTGTGCTGAATCTACACATGAATGGTCCTTGGATGGTCTCCGCCAATGGAGCCGGTCTGCTGAACAAGATGGCCGTCAGGGCTAAAAAGAAAAGAAAAGAAGAAGAAAAAAGTGTTTAGTGACATGTTATTCTGGACCGCCAAACATATTTGAATGAAACGCTACAGAAATAATCATTCAGCACTTCTGTACTACAATTGCTGAAATTATTTCGGTCTGCTAACAAGATAGCAGCAAAAGCTAAAAACAAAAACACCTTTGAAAGAAATTTATCCCTTAATTGTTTTGTAGATTTTGATGAAACTATAAATTATTTTTAGATGGGCCTCTGTAAAAAATGCTCAAATGCCTTATGAAATAAGAAATAATATTAGCATTAAATAGCCATCGCTAAATGGCCATGCGCTTGAATTGAAAGTAAGTCAATTTGTGTATTCACATTTTTTTGTGAGAATGATTGTTCAGTTCTAGAAATATTTAATAGTTTAAGAGAATATGAACTTTCCTTTTGGACTAAAAAGAACAATGTAATAAAACTACAGGCATCTTTATTGTGAAAAACAATTGCTCGGCCATATGGTTTCTTTCCGGTGGCGAGGGTTAACAAACCCAAACACACACAATTGGAAAAACAAATGAAAAGGACTTCGGTATTCAAAGATATACAAGGGACAAGAAATTATTTTCAAACTTTAGGAATTAGTCACGGTTACAATAAAGATACGGATGAGATTTGGAAGGAGAAAAAATGTTTTCAAGTATGGAAAACTTGGGGTTTGACATTTAAAGTGAACATTCTTGCTGAAAACTTACATTGTTTCTTTTATTACTTTTGGAATTGAAATGCTCGTTTTACCGACAAAATACTTAGAAATCGAAAATTATGAGCGATTTTCTTTTGGGCAATTAGCGGCCGTTAGGTAAAAACACTAATCTCCTTGACCGAAAAGACGGAGATTTTAACATTGGCAATATTTCTTATATTCATGCTAGTCTGAATGTTAAAATAATATACAAAGTTATATGTACACTGTTATATACAGAACTGGAACGCAACAGGAAAATATTATTTTACAAAAATTTCATTTGGGGCAGACAGAAATTATTATTTTAAATGTAAACGTTTTTCTTTAGAAAATTTACCTTTCAAATTGAACATTACTTGTTTTATATATTCGCCCCCGAAAATTGGTGTCGGTTTTTAAAGCAAAGTTTAAGCCAAAGTATTTATCCGATGTTAAGATAAATTTCATTTTTGTAACACTTCAATTCGTTTTCGCAGGAAATCATAATACCCCAATGATGTGTTAAAAGTAATATATTTTTTCAAAGATATCTTGGACTTTGAAGGCACTCTTTTTAAAGGAAATTAAAAGGTACGCGAAATTGATTTGCAGAATGTCATATTCTCAAATCAAGCATTTCTAAATTGTATATATAACTGCTTAAAAAACATGATTATAAAAAAGTGTCGAATAACACTTACTTAGACGATATTGTTTTAATGAGCAAACAAAACTACTGCCTGAAAATATTAAAATAAAATAGTTTTCTCATATATTGAACCAAAAGAAAAGTAAATCAAAAAGCGAATGGGAGACCTTTCAATATTTTGTGTTAGCATGGAATAAAATATAGTTCCGAGTTTATGATTCTTTTTCTTCATGCAAAGCAGTACAGTATCAGTGGAAATTATTTGCAAACTGTTATTTATACAGAACAAAAGCTGTCTCTTATGAATTTATCTGACGGTAAATGTTTTTATGTAAATCTCAAAGAGAAACTTTGTTACATCTTTTCTGGGAATGTGATTTTGCAAGTAATGTTTAAACATGTGTAAAACAACAGCATCTTAGACACTGATTTGCTGATTATCCTTACAATTGTAAGCACCTAGATTTTGAAGAAATATAATAATAATAATAATATAAAATACCACTTTGAATACAAATGTAGAAATAAAAACGAGACTTTGACAGAATTTAAAAAACATATATTTGTAATGTGTATGAATATTGTCATTTATGTAAGGGCGCAACTCCCTAAAAATCTATTAAAATTCATTTAGAGTTAACTCCCATTTCAACCTTGTCACTTTTCGTTTTCAGACAAGCAAATTATACCTTTTCGAAAATTTTATATTCATCATATTATATGTACTGTTTCTAATTAATCTTTTTAATTCATATTATGCAATCAAACTGATCTTTACTGGGAAATATACCATAGATATACTGTATTTTATTTGTAACAATGTCTATTTTATTGAGTCTTTGTGTAAAAAAATGTGTATTAATAATATGTATTAATGCAGTTTAAGCTTATGAATTCTTTGGAAAAACATGAAAAGTAAATGTATAACTATTAATGTTATTTTGTCCCAATCAAATATTCATGTATACATTACGCTAATCATTAAGTACAGAGCAACTTCTTTCGTAAACTTCCTCACCAACCCCAAAATTATCTACAACTGTATGTAACATCATGTCTCTGTTCTATATTTATTGAAAATTTCAGCATGATCGGGCAAATATTGATACACCAGTGAAATCAGTCATAAATGCACACTTATAAGATTTATTAAGTGAAAAGCGAACGATGCGGAAAATAGTGGAAAACATATATATCTGGTTTTCATTCATTTCGTTATAAACAAAAACATACCTTTTTCGTTCCAAGATGGCGGCGTTTGTTTACATTTTGTAGGATACGACGCAGTTTTGCTTTCCAGCCCTGCACATGTATCATTGTAAGGTTGATAGGAGGATGCTTCTCGACCCCTGTCATGCCTATGACGATGAAAAAAATGGGGTTACCCCTTACTGGGCCCCCGAGAAACAAAAACAACGAAAAAACAATTGCTTAAATGGTACCGATCTGTTGAACAAGATGGTAGCCAATGCTAAAAATAGAAGAAAAAAATGGTGAATGATATATTGTCTTCAACATCTCAATAGATTTTGATAAAACAGAAAAAATATTCTGCAGTCATTTAAGAAAATATTTTGATAAAACTCTATAGTAATGAAATTTGTCATTCATTTATTAAAGTTTTTTAAATTGTATTCTGAATAAAATAGTTTAGATAATTAAATATATAAATAAAACTTTCAATTTCATTTCTTGCTTAACTATCAAGTAGATTTTGATGATTTTGTGTTACCTTATGTATTTTATGTGACGTGACTTTCTGACGATTCTTTCATAACTAAATAGCAATGTGATTGTATAGTTGTACCGATGTACCGCTACGACAATATTTCTTTCTAGAAGAAAAAAATTTAAATAACGAAGTCTACGATGAAAACTATGATGATAATGTGACTGAAGAGCTGTCTGTACAATAATGTTTCATCAATTATGTGCATACGTGCATACACGCGTGCGTGCGTGTCTACTTCTGTGTGTGTACGTGTTTGTCCAGGCATTATGAAAATTGTACATACTTGACAAACATATACCTTTCAAAATCATTCCGACAAATAAGTACAGTACAGTTTTATCCGCCAAGGAAGAAATACTGTATTAAAAGGCATACGATTATTATTGTACTCCAATGTTGCCTTATTAACCAGTGAAAAGAAAAGGTCTTTAAGAAATAAACCCTGACGTAATTTATAATCATAAACACCACGTGACAAACGTTTTGTATAATTATTATCTATTTAAACAGAATAGCGCCATCCAGATATCAGGATCTTCAGCATGTTCAAGTAGTAAACAGAATACAAGCTATTATAGATGTGTGTGGACTTCTAGTAACTCTTTAGATGATGGGTCATACACATACAGCATTGTTGTTAAAACCATCACACAAGCTACTCCATTAACAGGATCATTTAAAATAGGTATGTAAGTTGTGATTCTCCAATTTAAAAACAAACTTGTTGTTTTTCAATTTTTACACAACTTCAGATATTGTCTCGAATTAAAGGATAGTTTTCTTTGATATATACAATGACAGCTCTCAAATCCATTCATTTTTTTTTTCTCAATTGATGATGGTGTTTCCACACACACACACACATTTATCATGTAAAGAAACATAATTTATGCAACACTCAATGTATTATAGGTATACAATTTTACAAACTTTATGTTCGTGCAGCAATTGTGGTAGACAGTAACCTGATAAATATGTTTGATATGTTTGCACAATTAAAACGTCTTGCATAATTTGAATTTTAAGAAAGAATTATGTTTTGTAAGAAATGCTTTCACTGAATTCAATTTTTTTGTGTTGTTGTTTTTTCGAGAAATATATATTTTATTTCAATAAAATAAACATTGTATGATTTAATGATTATATTTCGTTGGTAATTTCAGCTTCACCTACTACACCAGTAATTTCAAATGTCGTGCAGTTGAATGCTACTCGTGAAGTTGTTTACGGAAATGAAGGACAATCTCTGACAATACAATGTACTTCAACTGGAGGATATCCCTTACCAACGGTAACCTGGTATAAGAACAGTATATCTAGCTCTAACCAGTTGTCCAATACAAGTTCAGGGACATTACAAAGTGACGGAACATACACTGTCAACCTACAACACACATTTACACCTACTACATCAGATGATAAGAAATATTTGATATGTAGATCGTACTATCCTCAAGCTGATACTGCTCAAGTTGGATCAAATAACAAATCTGTGTTACTTTACCTAAGATGTGAGTATTAAGCTTAAAACTATTTTTCTTATAATGGACAAGGACACACTGAAGTGAATTTAACACAATGAATTTCTCATACTTGCAGTTGTTTGTCCGTTTGTTTTTTTTGTCAATAACTTTTGCTTAGTGATTGGGATAGGTAGGGAGGGATGGAGGGAGGTATGTATCTCATTCTCAAAAAACATTCCATAGTTTTGGAGAGTTTGCTATTGGAGATTTTTTATGCATAAATTTTATTCAGAGCATTTCACAAATGTATTTAAAGTATCATCTTTGAACTGTGCAGATTAAAAGAAGCGCAGTGCATAAAAAGCATATGCCTAATTTTGATGCTTTAAGTCTTTGTAACTTTGCATCCTAGGATATTATTAAACACACTATCTTTTTTGCAATTATGTCAAATTTCACAAAACTTTCACCGCAACTTCATAAGGAACTCATTTTTTCAATTTAAACGAATCATGATAATGATGATTAATTTACAGAATAAGAGGCCTATTAGTTGAATGTATTTTTTACGAACATGTATATGTACTTTTTGTAATATGACTTATGAATTAATAAAAGTTTGGCTGTAACTTTAGCATAGACGGCGCGGTCGTAATAGCTTTGTAGATATTTAGTCTTAATAAGTAGATTGGTGAAACAACAAATTTCTTTTAATAACGGTTATTTCTGTCTTTCCGAGTCTGCAACATTTTCAATTTTGTTGTTTTGGGCTTTCTTTAAGGATTCTTATTTTCTTTCTTTCAGTAAAGCCTAGTCAGCCAACAGTTACTCAGACATCTGTTGTATCAGCTGGTAGTACTGTAACGGTAAGATGTACAACAAGTGGGTGTAGACCAGCAGCCAGTATATCCTGGTTATATCAAGGTCAGATGTATAGTGGCAGTACAACAAACACAGCCGATGCTGCAACAGAAACATTTACAGTCGTTTCTATATATACTAGACAAGTGACAGCTGCGGATAATGGACAAAGTATACAGTGTATAGTTACTCATCCTGCATTAGTGAGTCCAGCACAGCTCACCAGATCAACAAATCTAACTGTTCAGTGTAAGTTAATATTAAATTGGCATTTACCGATGTAAACATAATAGAATTTATTCATTATTGTATATCTAAATGAAGCTGTGAGTTGAATTAGGCAGACAAGATAAGATTTTGGAATATGATAATAATGCATGTCTGAAAATTGTAGCAAAAGATAAGAGCAGTATTCATATTGCATACATATCATTCCTTACCAAGAAATATCAATATTCTATTATTATAATGTTGTATTGTATGCGAAACAGTCATGTCTTAATTTGATTTAAGCATCATTTCAATTAAAACCAGCTTTATGCAAATGTTATATTTCAGTTCAAACCAGCTTTATGCAAATGTTACTGGAAATGAAAAAAATAAATGAGTATAATCATGACATATTTTTTCACCAATAAATAGCTGCTCTTGTGCTTCAGTTAACCTTTTAAAGATATAACTTTGAAAACGTTTATAGTTTAGAGCAGCTGTGGGAATTAATGACCACATAAGCATATATTTTATTTAAATGTCACTCTCCATATGCATTATCTCTGCTTTGAAACGGAATTCATATAGACTAGAATTACTGTAAACTGAATTCAAACCAAGCAAAGAAGGTTGACTTTTGTTTTACTTTCTTCTTTTTTCTTTAATCATTATTTATGTACCTTCCAGATCCCTTTTGGAACGTAAAGTTGTTCTTCTTTTTTAATTTTCAATGCTAAATTTAGAAACAAATATAGAACATCTGGTATTTCCAATGTCTAATAAAATCAAAACTACACAGTTAAAGTAATTGATTAAGACAACAATCTGGAAACAAAGTGATCCCTCGGAAGCATAAATCACAGCAAAATTACAAGAGAATTGCAAACTCGGGTTTGATTGAGTCTGTACATGAGGGATCATGAAGAATGTGCAAACAGCCTCATGGCCGCTAGCCACCGGCTTGAGCCGTTTACTCAAATTCTCAACACTTAGAATGTGCTGGCACCAATGATCCCGAAGGACCTTTGGGGCAAGTGCGCGTGTGGCGAAGATGTAAATGTTGTCCCGCACTTCACTTCAGTGTTGTTATATCTGTCTGGTCCTTCGGGATCATTAAATCAAGCACTTTTAAGCGTTGAAAATTAAGTACCGACGAAGCAGGTGCTATGTAGCGTGAGGGATATTGCACTTTTCATTATCCCTAATGTTACATACTCGATCAAACCGAAGTCTGCAATTTCATGTATTTTTGTTGTGATAAATGCCTCCGAGGGATCACTATTTCTCCAGATTTTATTATGCTCCCCCAAAGATTGGGAATTTTCATGGAAAGATATATAATGTTATGTTTGATGTTATGAAGTTTTATTGACATATATAAACTGTCATGAAAAATTATACATAGGTCACTGCTACGAAAATTAACAAGTCAGCTCTTAAAGACGTTAAATTAGAAGAAGAAAACAACTTCTACAGTCATGCCTTTTTCATATTCATATTTTTTCATAGAGTTTCAATAAAAGACTTTGTTAATAAATATATGTAACTTGATAAATCTATATAAAAAAAATTAACTGTTCCCTAACGTATTATTAAATCCCTATTCTAGTAGTTTTAGTTTTCAAATGAATAGTTATTTTGACAGGATTGTTTCAAGATAATAATAATTATATTATACTAACTTAAAACAACTTTAAATGTATATTATAACCGTTTGGGCTCACAGTCTTCTGAATAATTGTCTACAATATATATAATCCAAACATCATAAATGCTTCAATATAGCATGGTTACATACATTATCGGTAGATTAACATAGTTAATTATTTGAGAAGTTATATATTAAAACTATAGTTTTGGGTCAGACACATGCCTTTAAACTTTAAACGAAGTTACGACGCTTTTTTGCAGGTATATTCAATACAGTATAAGATAAAAGTAATGTTTTGAAAACTTGAGGAGTTAATGTAAACCGATTTCTCTGTCATATTTTCATTTTTTATTCCATTATATAAAGTTTCAGTTGGATCATCAACGACACAAATAACAGGCAACAGAGAAATCATTGCTACAGGGTCTACATCATTAACATTGACTTGTACAACAGGATCATCAAATCCTGCGTCTGATATAACATGGAGAAATGGATCACAAACACTTGAAAGTAATAGTTCATATACGACATCAACAGGAGTAAATAATGGAGTAGTGAGGTCGCAACAACTTATACTGTATCCAACACGATATATGGACGGTGATGATATTACATGTTCCGTGTCGAACAGTGTGTCACAGTCACCTGTTGTTGATAGGATAAAACTCAATTTGAAATGTAAGTAAAATGATTTGTTTTTTTATTTGACATTTGTACAAGACGTGTTTACTTATTGGCAATTTTCCAGGTAAATGAACCTTTTAAATGACATATTTATAAATTCATATGACAAAATTTTCAAAAGAAAAGTAAAAACAAAATTTATTGTATGGTATTTGAATTGTTGCTTGTTAGAAGAAAAAACGTTTGGCAGTTATTTTGTTTTATTATAATTATGATCTAATATAGCTGAATCCTTGGAAAAAAGTAGTCAACAAACTTTTTTATAAAATATTTCACTTTTTTAAAAATTATTCAGGGAATTTCCTTGTAAATACAAGGACAAAAAACAGTAAAAATTTTAATGAAAGGGGGAAAAAACAGTTAAAATTTCAGTGATAGTAAACCAATATCAAAAATAACTTGGTACCATGGAAAAGCCTGATTCTCAAGAAAAACCAACGGGGGTCTCCGTCTCAGTTTTTTACCCGTAAAGAACACACTATGGAAGTTATTCTTTAAAGCAAATAATGGGAATAGGAACAGAAAAAAAGGGCCAGATTTTCTTTACTTAAAATGTATGCTTTGTTTAAAAATTAAGTTATTTTTTAAAGTTTAAATAATCAAAATTAAAAAAAACTTATCTACAGAAAAAAAAAGGGCTCTTTTTTTTCTTTTTTTCTTATCATATTTTCATTTTATTTTAAAAATAATTTCTTTATTTGAAATTATATAATTTCAAAAAAATGAAATTTTTAAAAAACCCCTGTTAAAATTTTTTTTTTTCTACGTTTGGACATTTCTTGAAATTTAATTTAAGTTTTCATTGGGAATCTAAAACTTCAAAATCGTTTTTCTACAATTTAAGGGTTACTAGTTGTTTACTTAAAAATAAAATTTACCCTTTTAAAAAAGCAAAATTGGTTTTTAAATGGGCAACTTTGATTTTGCATTGTTTGTTTTTTTTTTTTATTTTTTTAACATTTAAATATAAAAATTTTTATTCTTATCTTTAATGTTACATATTAATTGAAACAAATCCAAAAAATTTTTTAAAAAATAATGGGGATTTTTATATTAATTTGAAGATAAGTATTTTAAAAAATTTTTTTTAAAAACATCTTTAAATTCTAAATTATAATTTATTTTTAAAAATTTATTAATTTAAATAAATATTAATTATTTTATAAAATGATTTAAAAATTTTTATTTTTTTTTATCTTTCCATAATGTGAACTAAAATTTTTGTTAAAACTCTTAAACACCATAACTGGAAACAAAACATTATTTCCAAAGGAAAAAAAAATTAAGTTTTTACTGCACTCTGGAAGTTCTAACCCCAAATTTGAATCCATGGGCAATAAACAATTTATTAAAAAGGCCCACAAAATTTGCCCAAAAAAGTGGAGATTGGTGGGATAAACGTCGACAAGATTAATACTGATCAAACGGACAAAGATGGGGATATTTTTCTGTGAAGCTAAAAATATTTTGGGCATCTTAAAAATAAAAAATTTTGGGTCTTAGATGTAAGTTTTGTATAAAGTTTTAAAATTAATCTTGTGAAAATCTGCAAAATTTTTTTGTATTTATTTTTTTGTTTTTTATAAACATTCTTTTATATACAGGTATATTAATTTGCCCCTTTTCTTGCATTTTATTTTGCTTACAATACTTTTAAAGAAAATAAAATGGTGACCTCAAATTTAAAATTAACATATTCTGCATTTAACATTTTTACAATTCTCATTATTTCAGACCGCCCATTAAATTTAAACCCCAAAGTCAGATGGTAAATTTTGTTTAGGAAATAACACGATAAATTTCTTTCTAGTAACGCTTAAATTCAATGGTAAAACAAGGACAAGAAAAAAGATCTACATCAAGGGGCGGGAAATGGAAATAAAAAATTATCTTATCTTTTACAAAAGTGAGAAGGTGATGCTGCAAAAATTACATGTAATGCCCAAAAATGGAAAAGAAAATGCTACAACAAAAAAATTTTTTACAGTTATTGTAAGTATTCTAATTTATAATTTTCGTTTTTTTCAATCATTAGACTAAAATTGATGGTTTTGAAAAGAAAGCAGTAAAATTTCATTTTACAACACATTTACTGAAATTTATTGAAATTGTTAAATACTTTCAGCAACATAAAAAAACTGAGAACAATACAAAATTTTCCATGATTTTTTTCCAATAATCAACTCGCTTCTTGATGCTAATAAAAGTTTATTATTAAGATTACATCTGTATATATTTTTGTTTAAAAGTCAATTAAACACTGAGGGAAAAAATTATTTTTTTTTATGGATATTTGGTTATAAAAGATAAAGTATTCATGAAAGCAACTACACGGAAACTTGAAATACTTAAAGGGCATTTACCCCCGAAATGAATAAAAAGTATACAAAGGGAAAAATGCTTCTCTCTGATTTTTTTTGTTTAGTTTTGTTGGTGCTGGGAAGAATGTTCCTTAATGCATTTTTTTTTTTTTGTTTATCAATTTTATGCTGTCTGAATATGGGGGTTAGTACATGTAAGATGGTTTTCCTGAAGAAAATACGCTTAATTGAAAATGAAAAAAAATGAAAAATTTTGTTTAAATTATACAATAACAAGTCTATAACGTACTTTCCTAAAACGCAAAGTTTAAAAAAAATATTTAAGCTTTATTGAGGGGGAAAAAAATTTAAAAAACCCAATAAAAAGCTTTTAAAAAGAAAAAATTTAATTATAAAAAAAAATAAAAATTTTAATTAAAAAAATATTTTTTATTGGTAATTTTGTTTTTTTGGTTTTGGTTTTACGTCCAAACGACACGTATAGGGCTAAACGCGACGTTCCACTTTATGGGAGGGACCCCAGGTGCCCCTTCCCTGCATTACCAGGCCCAAGGCCCCCTGGAAAATCAAATTTCGTAAAAGTATGGTTTGATTAAAAAGAATTCAAAAACAGCAAATCATTTTAGATCCCCAGATGTTCAGAACAAAACAAAAACAAAAAATCAAACTGCAAAAGCCCTTTTTCATGTAAGCAATGGTTACCGCATATTTTTAGGTAAATGGGTTCAAACTGGCCAGGAAAAAAATACACCTATATTAGAACATAGTGGAAGTCAGCGACTAGAGTTTTCAGGTTTAACATATGAACCATTGGAAATATACATGTTCGTTAGTAATGAATTTTAAAGTTTTTTGCACCCCAAACCAGGGATTATGGAAGGATCGTCAAAAGTTTGTAAGTTAAGTAAAAAAAATTACAGTTTAAAATGTTAAGAGTAAAGTTTTTATTGTCTTAAATCATGTTGGTTTTTATTTTTTTCCGTTTTAAACTGGGGGACTAATGTACTGGTCTTGTTTTTTTTCCCCAATGTAGCGTAGGACGTTTATATCTTATACTCTTATACTTGAAGAAGTTATACAGCAAGCTTAATGAGAGTTACGGGATTTTGTCTTCTTTTAGCCTGATTTATACACAAATATTCTTCTTCCGTACTGCTGAAAAGTTGTCATGATAAAAACATGTACCGTCTTTATTGTTCATTTACTTAAGAAAGCATTCAATTTGCTTATCTCTTTAACTTCTCTGCAATGTTTTTGTATGTTATTATATGTGGCTAAAGTACAGCTTTTGATACGCGTATTTTTTAGTTGTTTTAGGTCAATATATATTCAGAGATTATAACGTTATCTCTCTAATGAACAAGGAGTCTGCAATTGTCATACTTTTATTTCCTTTTTTCCAGATTTGATACGCACAACTGTTGTCAAGTATGTTGTGTCAGTCGTACAAACTTGCCTCGAACTTCATTAAAATGTTGTTATATTTTTTTGGTCATTCGGGATAATATATTTCAGTCCTTAAATTGTTAAAGATTGAATACAGCTGCGGAAGCATTCATTGTGCTATGGGTGATAAGGGATGTTGCACATTTATTATCTTATTTCAACATACACAATTACATCGAGATAAATTTTATATCTTCTTTCTTTTCATTACATAGGTGTAGCATGGTTTGGTTTGGATGAACTATTTCCGTGTGAATTCCTAAATAATCCAAGTCTTCGTTTTAATATTCATTAAAGAAAATACCATTGTAACCTTCAATTTCTTGTTAAAAGAATTATAAAAAGCTTATGTTTTCAGCATTTCCAATCATAACTTATTTGGGTGAAAGAACATCAGCCAGACTAATGGAAAATGTCGCCATGGACGTTTACTATTTCTCAAATTCTGCAGGATCTAGTATTAAAATCTTTAGAAATAGAAATGGAATGAGACAGGCAGATGTTAAATACAATGTAACAGAGACAAATGCACAAGTAGATTTGAAAGTGTTTGGAAATACCATAAAAACAGCAGGAGTTAGGGCTAGGATATTAATTCATATAGAAACAAAAGATGACATTGGTAGTTATGATGTTGTTGTGACAAACGAAATAAATTCAACTGTACGGTCAATGGAAATAATAGCAAAAGGTGGCTATAGATTGAATAAAGTATATTGTTTTTCTTACTTGTGAAATAAAAATATAAAAATGTATATTTAAATTTGAATTAAGAATACTAAGCATAATAACATTTAGACATGATGCATTTCGGGCATTCTAGATATAACATTAGATTAGTTATTCAAATTTGCCGACATGGGCCGTTATTTTTTAATTTTTCACAAAATGCCTTAAATAACATTTTTCAGGCTGGTTTTAAACGATGTGCTTTAATCTTTGCAATAGGTCCACCAGGTGTTTCATATAATGTAACAGTAGACAACATTCAACAAACAACTGCACGTGTATCGTGGCAACAAGGATATCATGGTGGATTTCCTCAGACTTTCTTGATACAGCTTAGTACTGACATGGAACAGTGGGAAAATGTTGAGACAGTTTATGGCGGGACAGATGAAAGTGAAGATTTTAAGCAAAAGGTCTTAACTGACCTCAGTCATTCAACAGCATATTTTGTACGGATTTATGCGTTTAATAGAGAAGGCAATGGTCCTTTCTCTCAATATAAGAACTTCACGACACGTTCAATCATAGGTAAGTTAGCTTTAATGATTTAGAATATGATAAACAAGATCAACAAGGAAAGGCGACGTTCAATGAACGCAAGTGAGTCTGTGCGCAAGGCAGACAAAGCATATAAGATATGAAATTGCCTTATTATTATAACGATTCGCATTTCTATCGTTCATGTTAGACATATACAGGTATTGCTATTCGCCCTTATTGATCTTCAATTTTTTCACATTGCTTCATATTGACTCTTTAATACGCAGGTGAATTTATTTGAATAATGATTAAAATTAAATGCTTTTCATAGCATTGAAATAAAATGCGTGTATTTCATACATTTCTTAATACTCTTATAATAGTGAATAACCTATTTTATATGACACTTGTACAAGAATCTTTCGTTTAAATGAACATGTATATCTTTGTTCATAAACGTTTGACTTTAATCATTTGTCTGATAGTTAAATGAGAATTATGTAACAAGTTAGAATGTAAATTGACAGCAGTTGATGTCAAACAATAATTGCCTGTAACAGACCAATGTGCCAATTCTTGGTAAATTTTCAAACAAGAATTATTTAAGTGAGTCTACTCGCAAACCTCTTTATGTGTCGTTGTCTACCAAAAGTGAGAGGATGGTTATTTCAACCAAATACTGTTGACATAACAAAACATAAAGTTGTTGTCAATATGAATTAAGTTTATTTAGTAGATTTACTTGTTCTTATTGTTCTAATGTAGGATTTACAATTAGGCGTGTTCTAAAGGTTAATTCCAGATGTTCAGTTTTGTTTGTTTTGTTTTGATTTTTCATCATGTAAAACAAGTGTTTTTCATTGTCTCGCTATGTTCAACTAACATCCGTGGTCTTGACATTGAAAAATGTGCCTATTTTTTTTGTAGGATCTGACACACAAAGTTCCTCTGTTGGTGGAATTGTAGGTGGAGTAGTATCGGCTATGATAGTGATAGCTTTGATAGTGGTTCTTGTTGTACTTTTACGAAGAAAAGCAATCACGAAAGGTATGTTGTGTCTTCATATTCTATCTCATGGAAAATTTATTTTTTACTTTAGTTTTACTCACTTATTAATTGACAATCCAGCTGAACTTTTCTTAATGAATTCAGGATAGAATAGAATAAATAATGTAATAACTTTACCTTCCAGTCGTATGTCATACATGCATATGTGAATCGCACTGATTACAAAATCAACGATCACATAAAATTTTCAAGAAAATGCAGCTTAATTAATACTAATAAAATGAAAAATAAATTGATAAACATAATAATAATGTTAACTAGCACTAATCTTATATGAAATATTATAACAATATAACTTTTAATAAGAGATAATTGATCTTAGGCTATTATAAATTTAATACTGAATTTAATACATAAATTTGAATTTTATCTTTAATTCAGGTATATTAAGAAAATGCGTTTAAAAACAGTCCACTATTTTTCAAAAGTGTGTAGTACTTGGAAAAGACATTTAAATTCATGACTTACTAAACTGTATATCAATTTGCACGACTCTCTGACAGTACACATTAAAAACAATCCTTTTTTAATTTTCTCAGTATTTATATCTTTATTTATAGTAATTATCAATAAATCTGCAATCATCATCTCCGTTGCTCAATGACCTAGTCACTCTTAGTTAATGTTTTATAGTTCAAATTATTTTTTCTTTTTCTTCATTTCGTTATATCACTTGCATTCGGTATAGGTTAATACTTAATCCGTCAAATTTTTTATTTTCTTTGAAAATTATTTTGAAACAACCTGTAAGATTATTGGTTAAATCTTTTATGTTGTGAAATAAATTGATATCCCAAAATCCGCAAATATATAAAACTTAGTATGTTTAAACATTTACCTAGATTCTATCTATATTTTTGTGGGGAAGAATGAACATACATTAAAAAGGAGTATACTTTCAGATGGCATCAGGACTCGGCTGCAAGCGATATTTAGGTAATATGATTTGATTTTCCTTTTCTCTTTAAAAGAGCAATGTGTATATGATTGGATATGGTTACAGCCAATAAATATATATACAATGTATATTAATATGTACACGTGCTATATCTATAATCGTTTTTTCATGTCGTAGATAAGTAAGTCTGTGAATGTTATTTAGGTATTTGAAAAAAAAGAATAAGAGATAAAGACTTGAGAGACATTAAGCAAAACTAAAGATTGATTTTCGGGATCTAAGATGTCAGGTTAAATTTGATGTATATGTTAGAATTAATTTATACTTATCATGCCATGCGTGTATATATCTATTTCACAAAATAGATACATCATACAGGTGTGATTTGTTACCGAATAATCAGGAATATATCGTGTATTGTATTCAAATGATTATCTAAAATAATTATTATTTACTGTGCATATTTGAATCAGAATAATAATGAAATAATTTCATAATTTTAGAAAATCACCCCATGAAGGACAACAAACTCAGCCAACGGAGATGGACAACGTTGCCGTTAACGACTTATATGAACAGACCAAACCAAACGATACGAACAAATCAAATATTAATGTTAACAAAATGTATGTAACATTATCTAACTTATCCTCCTTCTCTGTAAAAAGTTCAAGCAGCTTCATCTTCCTTGAAGAATTAATGAATGATTGTTCATGATTACTTTAAAAACTTCTGTGTTTTAGAACTATATTATGTTTTCAATTGAAAACAATTTAATTCAAAAGCAACATATAGTCGTAAGTCAGAAATTACAACGTCTAGGAGGCCAATTAAAATTAGTCACATATATTGAATCAATATTGAAATGCCAATTTAAATACTTGAAACATTATCCCATCATTTTCAATTTTAGAAATTTGTATGAAAAGCTTGAGCGTACTACAAGCACCGAAAACACAAATGCTTATGATACAATTAAAGGTATAGTAGTATGTATATATTTTATTTTATATTAATCTGTATGAAACATGTTAAAGTGTTAAATGAGTCGTAAATTCTTTTTTTGAGATCCAGTATCACTGCATCAAATATTTCTAATAGAAATTCAGCATTTATTTCTTAAGGAAAGTCAAAATTTTAAAGGCATTTTTTAGTGCAAATTAATGTTCGTTATAGAGGTATTTTGTGTGAGTGTAACCGTTTTATAATTTACCTTTTCAGTTGAAAAAGAAAAAACAGCTGACAGGTTGGTTTTCTTTATGAACATCTTATGATGATTATATCTATAAAAATATCGTAAATATGTTATGTTAACTATCAGTTAAAAATCAGGAAAAGCTTTTTTTCATGTCCAAAAATAATCAGAAGCTAAAAACCTACCTTAAGGTAAATACGACAAGTACGTGTAGTATTCGGAGTTGCATGCTACATGGTTTACCAGTAGTGAATAGCTTTCTACTGCATTTTTTATATTTTTTATTTAGTAAAGTGGAGTATGAAAATCTACCAAAGAAAACATGTACAACAGACGCATTCAAATCTGAAATAGCAGGTGAGGATTTAATTTTATCTCTTAATTTTTGCATTACATATAATTATCGTTTATAATGCCTCAAAATCCAAAGCTACATAGATATTCAGTTTAATTCTCAATTGTAATTAATATATTTACTTAAAATCATTTTGAACTGAATGTCGATCATAATGTGTTTGTTTTTTTCCATAAATTTTACTTCATAGAAAAACTAGCTACCGGAAAGACCAGAATCTACGAAAACTTAAAACCTGGTGTGAAAATTGCGAAAAAGAAATGACACAGTTGAAATTGATGATGAAGTTTTTGATCTGTTGTAAAAGATGAGATTGAAATGATTGTGATGACGGAGAACAGAAATGCCAATGAATATACAGTGTAGAATAACAGTGGAATAACATTATTTCAGATTGCTTAATTTTGTAATCGAATTTTGTAATCGACAAAGTATAAAATTATGTGTGTATAAATGCTTATGTATGTTTACATAACATGGAGTCTAATTATTGTTGTACATCTATAACCAACGATATTAACTATATGCAATTTTAGCACATACTGTTGTTATTGTTTTATCAACTGATTTGACTATTTTTTCAATTCAAATTTGAAACGTAATACTTTTTTTTAGTGAAAGCTAGTTTAGGAACTAACCTTTGTTAACATTGTTTGATATTTTAGTTGACAGTAAGGTAAAATGGAATTTGAGTGATCAGTACATTACAAATGATATTGAACGAATCACCTTACGGGTATGCATATATTGTTTTATCTTTGGTAAGCATTCAAAATTAAGTACATGTATATACCAAAGAAGTAGTGGACATTGCTTCTTTAATGGTAACCAATGCATTTTGTTTGTTTTTCTTTTGTTTTTTAATTTTGTGTTGTTTTTTTTCGGGGGGATTTTGTGTTGTTTTTTTTGTTTAATATTTATATTTTTATTGTTCAATATTTACAACCTAAAAATTAAAACTATTATGTTGCATATTATGGTAAAAAAATGTTAAGTTTTCAAGAAACATAAGTGTCCATTTAATAAAGTGACATATTAGATTTTCATATTTTTACAATATAACATATTGACACTTTCAAAACAAGTTACCGTTTTAGGTTAAGCAAATATCAACCCTAATAAACATCAATTACAGCATAAATTTGTTTCATTTTTAGCAGATGTATTTACGTGGTCATACCCGCCATTACCGGAGAACGATATTTTCGTTTATTTTATTTATCATTTATTTTAAGCTTTTCCGAAAATAAATTCAAAGTTAAATGACTAATAATGTGGAAGTTAGAACTGTCAAAAATAGAAATGTTCCGACTACATTTAAAAGATCTTACATTGGTATTTTTAGCAAAAACTCGTATACTAATTTATTAATTAATTTGGATAGAAACGATCTTCGAGATATGTTCCAAAGCAATTCTGATCTAAAACATAGTTATGCAACATATTAGCGCACACTCACATTACTTTTTCTCCATATCAATGATAGGTTCCGTGTATACATATGTATTAAAATATTAACTTTTCATTACTTTTGTCTTTTATATATTGCTCCGTCCAACACAACATATTGTTTATACATATAACTTTACACATGGTCTTTCGAACATCAAATTCATTGTCTTTCAGGATCAATCATTTTAAAAGTACCAGGTTCTGGTACTTTATGAGGTAAAAAACAAATCTTACATTAAAAGTTACTGCTCCTTATTCTCGGCGGTTTATAGTCGGAGAAAAACAAAATGGCTTTCTTTAAGCCGAGCTCTTTTAATAAATCAAATCTCATAGAGACCATAAGAAAACGACAAGTATTCGGAAACGAGAAAAACTCACCTTCACAAACACCACTATTGCAGATAAAGGACACCGCCCACTTCCCCTGCACTTTACAATAATATTCCATTCTTTCTGTTTTGTAGATGTATAATATTATTATAAAAGAATAGACTTTAGAAAAAAAGTATTAAATGTAATAAGAAAAGTATTGAAAAGTATATTGTTGAACATTCATGTAGACATGGTTATTACTAGTGTTCAAAGGTCTGGGAAATTCTGGAGAAAAAAGGCAGTATGGGCAGTTTTTTGTGAAGCCATGTTTCTTTTCTTGTTTTAATGGAAATTCGTTATCGTTTTTACGGAGAAAAATATCTATTTTGTTTTTTTGTTTTTATCATTGAAAATAACAGACACAATTTTTCATTTTTCTTAAAGAATTGAAAATAAGCTACTTCGTTGTGTCTTTTTAACTTATATGTGACGTGTTTGGACGACACACTCTAAGTCACAAACAATACTCTAAAATATATAAAGAGCTGTTCTGCTGAACTGTTTTCAGTAGGTTACTTTAATTATTTACAGGTAAAACAACAAACGCTAAATATTGTGTAACAAGCGGTAAGAAAGTGACGATAATAGTAGATGAACTATATCAGTAAATGTTCTATGAACAAATTTTGCTATTAAGAGGAAATTTAATATCAAATCTATTTTGAAAATTCTGGATGCGCTTTTCATGTTCATGATTAATTCGTTCTGAAATAGACTGCAATACTGCTAGTTTGGACATAGCATTTTTTCTACAAAAACCTATCTTTGCTACTAATAAATTCAAATTAATACTATGATTATGTATTTTTGTTACTTAGATATTGGTTAGAATAGACTTTTGATATTGAAATCTAACAAATAACAAATCTTACAAACTCGAAGAATAAATTTTAAAAAGTTTGTGAATCTAGGGATACAAAGGCAGGCAAATATTTTTATCCGATTTTCTTTAAAACCCACAATATTGGTCGTTTGTTACATATAGAGATATTGAGGTCTTGTATTTTTGACTGCAATGGAAATTGTAATAAAAAATATGGAAAAGAATGTGTAAAAAAGTGTTTCTATGTATAGATACCACACAATAAGTCAACAGAAACATATGTTTACGTATATACAATTAACTACTGCAGAAAAATTAAATTACTATTAAAGCTGCATACCTCGAGATATGCCAAAATATTTCAAGAAAATCAAATTTGAGGAAAAAAAATAAGATTTTAAGAAATGTAAAAAGATTTAAGATTTAAGTTATAATTTAAATGTTATGTGCGACCAATGACTGCTTTTACAGTACATACTATCTTTTTTTCTGCTGCGTTAGTATCGAAGTAAGGGCTCTTCATATTTGACCTCTTTTCGGTATTTTACTTTGATGGTTAGTACTATTTGCAATGTTTAAATTATTGTTTTGTTCCTTTTAAAATTTTCATAAAAATAATCAAATATCTGGAGGCATGCTGCTTAAATAATACGATTCTCAATTGTAATAAAACACCAACAAAGGAATGGGTAACAAGAATGAGTCTAACGATACTTAATGCACATGTTCATGCATTCAACCTAAATAACGTAACCTTATTTCATTTAAAATTGATAGGTAGAAGTAATGGCATTAGGGTACAAAATAGATTGATGCGAAAATTATTAATTATTTCTTTTTATTACTTATTATTTTGTTTCGTTCTTGATGGCGTCTTCGAAGTTCGGGAATTTATTTGGATAGTGAATAAAGCTTATTTCAAATAAGAAAATATGGGTTGATATACTTGGTAAATTATCTTTACTAACAATAACATATCTCTTTTACCTTTACCACAATCAAGATTTCTTTAAAAGGTAAAACACCACTTGTACCTTATCGTTGTGGGTTCGAATCCCGTCAGGCTTTTGACTCTTTCACGTGAGGAAGCTATCCAGTTAGCTTACATAACGTCGGTGGTTCCACTCAAGTGCACGTTCGTGCCTGAAATAATGCACGGAAGGGCACCGAGGTCTTCATACACCAGTAAAACTGGAAATCGCCATATGACCTATATTGTGTTGATGCGACGTAAAACCCAATGAAAAACAAACAAACAAAAAGTAAATTTGTACTTTCAGAATATATAACAAAGTCAGATCACTATGGCGATATATGCGATAATAAAACCAAATTGATTTGACTCTGCAAAAGTGTTTGGCTCGTACGATTCAAAACCTACTGATTATCAAAATAAAAACTAGATTCTGAGAAATATCTGATTTTGTTTTGAGCCAGAACTTCGCCTCTAAGTCGAATTAGGAAGACATTGCTTGTACATAAAATAACAAAATACAACAACTCGTAGAAAAAACTTTCAGAGCTCCCTGATAATTATTTGCATTTAGTAAAGGAAAGAAGTTCAACGTTTGTTGAATATATTCAATCCATTAATATTTCATTCAAATTTGGAATATGTTAAGCAATCAATTCAAGTGAGACATAACTTGCAAGACCTTCAACGGAAAATGCCCAAATAAAGTTCCCTTATGTTACGTTGTTACTGTCACAGTTCGCTTGATTTCGAAAATACGACCACCATCAAATTCATGATGATGTTATAAATGTATAATAATCGATTTATGTTATGTTCAATAAGTTTTTTATGGCTTGGGTGTAAATTTTTGGTGTAACTCCACCAATGTTTTAACTCTTAACAAGCTTGTGCTATTTAACCTAATTTTCTGTAAAAGTGTTTATTACGCACCTCCTGACGAGTTTCAAACAAAATTTGCATACTATTAGTTATCATCAGATATCAAATATATTGAACAAATAATATCTTAATAAGTAAATATGTCAAGTAAAATACATATCATTATATATAACACGAGTAGTTTAAGTACATAATGAAATAGCGAGACACGGAAGTTTATGGTGCAGTGTAAATAAATGTTTAAAAAGAGAAGATGGTTGATGTAAAAGCATATTCAATTTTTACTTTTATGTTAACGATGGGTAAGTCTTTTGTGTTTATTTTGGTGCGGAGGGGTCGTGAATTATAAATAATTATTTATACATTTAGAGCATGCTCGCTATCAGATTTAAGTAAACGAGGAATTTAAGTCGCATTGTGAATAATATTTAAAAACGGTGTGGTGCTTTAAGCGGTTATGTCAGTAAGACAATTCGCTCGACTTACTGCGTGATTGATAATTAAACAAAAACCGAATACCTTATCTGGTTTCGAGTGAATGCCTTCATTAGTTTTGAAATTTGATTGTGGATACTTAACTCATACCAGGATGTTTTAAATTAACAAAAAGCCACGAAAATGCCAATAAAGTGTCCCAATGACATGTGTGACTTTCAAGTGAATATCTTTATTAGATTTGAAGACTATACTTGCCCAGGAAATTTAATTAATATGACATGCTGCGAATCAGCGAAGGGGAAACCGATATAATAGAAATCGGAATAATTCTTGAATCCGAATTTAATTTTTAGCTGTAAATCGAAGGGATTAATTGATAAAATCTGGGCCCATGGACAAAAAAATAGTAAACACAAATAGCTCCGCGCATGTGGTCGCGGAGCAATAAAAGAACCGTCTTACGTTTTACTTTTTAGGAACACTGTTAACAAAGTTGTGTACAGCCCAAGACATACAACAACTGACCGTAACGGCAGGAGATAACGTTACCTTACCCTGTGCAACAACAACAGACTATCCTATATGGCGTGGTCAAGATCTACAATATAACAATAACGGTCAAAGTAGCTTTGCAAACCCAAATCTTCCTGAGCAGAAGAGATCAAGACTTGGCTGGGACACTGATAAAAGTAGTTTGATAATTCGTGATGTGATGTTTACTGACCAGGGGCTGTATCAGTGTTCTTCAGTTAGTAAAATAAATCTCAATGTTAAAGGTATGTTCCTCTGTCTTTTAACTTGTTCCATTTTGAATAAAACAAATCGTAACAAATTGACAAATATTGTTTGTGCGCTTTTGCATTTTATACTCATATAACCTTTTATAACTTGAGCAAATAAAATTTTCGTCGTACTTACCCACTCACTTTAAAATGTTTTATACAAAAAAAAGCTTTGGGCAAGTGACTTTTTTAAATATTTTTTTATAGCAGTTTATTTCAATGCTAAGCGGTAACTGATTTTGCTACCTAGATTTCTGAGGTTACATTTAGGTTGTTGTGTTAACTACTGTAATATGTTCATATATTGAGGAAGATATTTTGTACAGAAGCATTTATATAAATATTTTGCTACTGTATTTCAGGCTGTACACGATGTCATCACCATACAATGTCACTATTTACTAACATTGATATCTTATAATTCATAGTTCAATGATAAAAGTTAAAGATCTTGTATGTTGGAATTAAGGAAGTAACAACACTTAAGTGAAATTTTATATATGTATATAATTATTCTTCTCAAACGTTTATAACTATTCTTCTAACACTTTCAAATTCTTCTAAAATGCATTATAAGTAATCATTTAAATGTATGCAATCATTTCTTATTGAAAATTTTGGCTTGGGTTATATCAAAATTAAATTTCTAATTACCCCCCTTTTTGGAACTTAAAATATTGATAAATCTTCATTTGAGCATTATATTCATGATATTAAATCATAAAAAAATGAGTTAGTTACAGGATCTTAAATAAAAATTAATTATATCATTATTGTTACATGAGATCATTAAATCGTCAGAAAATTTGCCGTATTTGTAGGATCTGCCGATATCATAGTACCACGTGCTGGCAACTGCGGGGAAGATACAGTTCTTATATGTCAGGTTATCGGAACCATAGCCTATACTGGTTGGTTTGGATTGAACCGGAGTATTGTCAGAAGTGGAATGCCTGTTAGACCAGAAGACAACAACAAATATGCACAATCAACTGGGAATGCAACTTTTACATTGACAATACACAACACTGACATTACTGATGGAGGAAATTATAGATGTAGTAATGGATTTGATGAAAGTCAACCAAAACATCTCAACATAGAATGTAATATGGTTTGGCTTTTTGCAATAACAATTTTATTGAATTTCTTTTATTGACGTCTGATATAACCGCTTGCATTAAAAAAATATCAAATTTTTTTTAATTTCAATTTTCATTTTATTGAATTTGTTTTACATTGACGCCTGATACTCCAAATATCAACTTACTATACCACCACTGGCAAAAAATAGCATTTTTTATCTTTAGTTTGACAAAACTTTCAGGTAAAGCTTCTTCCGCTGATTTGAACGTCACTGTGGGAAAGAAATTACTACTAACCGTGGATAGATTATATCCTTCTTCTCTTTCACTTGAAGTTTCTTTTAAAAATGAGGTAAATATATAAATCAATTTATCTTGATTTAACTTAATTTTTCATAGACATCCTATTTCCTACATTTTAATTGTTACACATGTAAAGATTATTATTTATTATAAAGAAGGACTGTTACTTTTATTGTGTGTGTGTCATTAGATAAAATAAACAAAGTTACATACATATTATATCATCTTTTACTGTGTATTTGGTCAAATGAATAATACCTTCGAATATAATTCGAGGGAAATACTAGTAATGATAGAAAATTAGAATCATATTTTAATTGTTTACGTATAAATGAAGTGTAACAAATTATTGTAATTATGTGTAGGAAAGCGCAATCACTGTGTCAGGATCAGTAACATGTTCCAGTAGTATTAAATATTCTGGATTCTATATGTGTGTGTGGACTTCTAAAACCTCTTAAGATGATGGGATATACACGCACAGTGTTGTTGTAACAACCATAACACAGGCAACTCCTCTACATGGGTCATTCAATATAGGTATTTTAAATTTTAAAGCAAATCTCGAACAAGAAATATTTGTATGTGGGTACGCGTCAGTGAATGTGTGTATGTGGGTGTACACGTGCGTTTTGTGTGTACATGTGCGTATGGTTATATTTTTAAATCACTCTGGCATTGTTTTGATCATGTTCCAAAAGCACTTGTCTAGATGTATTGAAAGAATACCTCGTGTGAACCTGTGTACATAATTTACAGCACAGACGGGCACTTGGGTAGGATCATTGACTTTCCTTGTTCTAACGGAAATATTTCATTGTTGTTGCAGTTTTGACTGTATTATTTTTTCATTTGAAAGAATTTTAAGTTCATTAGAAAATTAATCGGATTTTAACAAGCTTAACCATTCAGATCAACCGAGGAGACATCCTTCTGTTTGTTGTATTGATGCATATGCACATTTACATTTGTATGCATTTCTCAAAACAATTTTCCCTATCTATAACCTGTAATGTTTTGCAATGCTTGAAGTTGCTCAGTGTAAATATTTACAATTAATTGTTCTAAAGTGAAGTCAACAACTACTATAATGAAATTCATTCTTCTTCAATTTGTAGGAAACTGGTATAGCTTGGTTGAACCTTTGAGACCTTTCACAATACACATAAATCTTTTAAAATCAATTTAGTTTTAACTTCTTAACTGGTGATTGGTTTATTAATTACATGTAATCATTTTCAATTTTATGTATTTCTATTTATATACGCATATACGCAGTTAAGTTAAATAAACTATTCACAAAAAATAATAGCTAGTTCGTAATTTATTCTTATTTTCTCTTTCATAGTTTCTCCTCAAACACCTGTTATATCAAATGTGGTAAATAGAGAAGATGGCCGTGAAGTTGTTGTTGGAAATGAGGGGCAACTCCTGACAATACAATGTACGTCTTACGGAGGATATCCAGCACCTTCACTAACCTGGTATAATAGAAGTGTGTCCACATCTAACGAGTTAGCGACTACAAATAATGGCATTTTACAAAGTAACGGTACATTTACTGTGACACTACAACATAAATTTACTCTGACAAGGTCAGATGATAGAAAGATAATAAACTGTAGATCATATTACCCACAAGCAGACAGTACTCACATAACGTCAAACGTTAAATCGGCGTTACTTTATCTGTCATGTAAGTATATAAGAAATATTAGCTACAATGCGTTTACAAGACTTAAGGGCTCTTGTCTATGGGGGATTTTTACATGTCTTTTCTTTTTTTCTATATCATTTTAGAACATTTATATAAAACTTAGCTTCCAATTGGTTCCCATTAAATAGACAATTGATTTCAAAATAAAAAATGTGTACACAGTCAGTTTAGTACATCATTTAGTACAGGAAAGTTATAATTTGGCTTCATGCCACTACACTAATTTCCCAGAGTTTTGGCACCTTTTCTCCTATTTTTAATTAAAAGAAAATGTTAACAGATGCTCACTTTTGAAGGAGTTAAGGATTTTAATAAGTTTTGGTACGCACATACAGGGCAGGTTATAATTTACTTTCATGCTACTAATTATTTTACAGAGTTATTGCCCCGATTTGAAACTCTTTAATCAGGGAATAGAATATTATTGCATTTTGTTCACATAATTATATAACATCATAAAATACAGGTTGAATCAGATCATGTGTTTACAGATAATAACGCTTCTCTTGAATGAAGGCAGTGAATTATTCTTACTTACAATTTTATATGCAAACTACTAAAACGTAATGAAATGAAACAATTAGATTTGGAAATGGGCTTCAGACTGAAAAATTTTAAACCACTTACTGATGACCCCTTGAACAACTTAAAAAACAGTTTCAATGTGGTGCATTAACAAATGTTTTGTACACGGGTATAACATAAAATAGATATCAAGTATGTTGCCTTTCATATTTTAATTTGATTAACAGACTGTTTCTAGTAAATAAAGTTAAATAAAGTTGAAAGTAGATTAAGATTAGATATAAAATTATAATAAATTTTGGTAGCATAAAATTATGAAATAAATTGGGGATAGTTATCCACTTCAAAGAAAAGTAGTTAAAAAGAAGTGGGAATTATTGGTGGGCAGTACAAATTCGAGTGACCTTTAGTAAAAGGTTCAAGGTGGGGATATGAATCAACTTCATGTGTAGCCATAGATTAAGTAATGTTTGGAAAAAAACAAGAAATGCGCATAATTTCGTTTGTTAAAATGTGGCCTTAAAACTAGTCTTGTGAAGGAATCACTGATATCAAATAGTAATCCGATTGGAAATTTTGAAAAATTACTAGATTAGAAATATATCTTTATTTACATTTCATACATTTGTCGTAGTGGTTCCAAGCAAGCCAAATGTCACACAAGCATCGGAGGTTTCGGCAGGTGATGTTATAGAGGTAAGCTGTAAAACAACGGGATGTAGACCCGTTGCCAGTATATCCTGGTTATACGAAGGAAAGACCGCTAATGGACAAATCAAATCTGTTCTTGATACTGTAACAGAAACGTACGAGGTCGTGTCATTGTTTACGAAAAGGGTGACTGCTGCAGATAATGGACAGATTATTCAATGTATAGTTACCCATCCTGCTATAAATAGTACATCTGGCATAACTGCTTCATATCAACTGAGTGTTAACTGTAAGTTACCTTATGAATACATTTTGTCTATAGTTTACCTCTACAATAACTTATAAGAAACAAGCGTTACTTTCAATTACAGTTGCATGTAATTTGTTAGCGAAACATTTTAACAGGACAAAAAAAGCATACTGTATAAAGTGGTATATTTTTAGGTTAACTTAATTTATAAGGCCAGATTTTATTTGATTCATTTATTCATGATTACTTTTTTTAAAATTACATCAAACAAATGGTATTTGTTCGGGTTTATTATTACACATGTAGGTTGCCAAGAAAGAAATATAAATTGCAAAAAGTGAAAGAAAATATTGAAATACCGGAAGAAATGTGATCAATCTTCACTTGAAATGGATTATTTTTTCCAGTTCCGCCGAATGTTTCAGCAATTGCAACAAACACTTCGGTCAACGAATCAAATACTGTATTGACATGTATTGCAAAAGGTGTCCCTGACAGTAATTATAGATACGGAAAATGGATTCAAAGATGGCCAGGATATGGAGTGCCTGTTTCGGTGAGGCCCGGAAGTGAGTCGCTCGAACTGAGGGGTTTAACATACGAGCACTCCGGGATTTATACGTGCACTGCCAGTAATGGAATTAAGGTCTTTGGTACGAACACAGAATTTATAGAAGGAACAGCGGTACAGTTACTTGTGAAATGTAAGATAAATGTCACATTTATAAACATTCTAACATGTGAATTAAAAGATTCATATATACATGTATATATAAGGTCATTCTTTATTCATTTATACATTTCATTCAAAATAGAAAAAAAGTTTTGTTGAATTGAAAACTTAAAATGTTTTTGTACCAAATATATCGTTTATCTTTTCAGCATTTCCAGTTATAATCAGTTTAGCTGATAAAATTGCGAGTAGGATGAATAACAATATAACTGTCAAAGTTGACTATTTCTCAAACATACCTGGAACAGAAGTTGAGCTATATAGAAACTTTAATGGCGTAGCGAAAACAGATGTTATGTTCATTGTGAATAAGAACCTCGTCGAAGTTGAGCTACCTGTATTTTCACACTCTGTCAAAACCAACGGAACCAGAGCTATCATAACAACTCCAATAAAATCAGAAACAGATTATGGGTCATATATTGTCGTCGTGTCAAATGAAATAGGGTCTAGTAATAGGTCGTTTGAGGTAGTGTTGACAGGTAAGTCAGTTTGGAATTAAAAGGAGCCTATTTGTTTTAGCATATACTTTTTTTTATTTGTGTCTTCCCCCTGGTAAATCTAAAATGCTTATTCTCGTTTATTATTTGATAAATGCTGTAGAACTTTGCCAACAGACGCATGTTTGAAATTATGGCATTGTCACTAAAAATAGCAGTGATGTAATATAGACATAATGTTAGACATAATACGATGGTCATATGAACTTTCTCAGATTTCTGTTTTTAAATTAGAGCCACCAAGTACACCGAGAGGTTTTACAATAGACTATATCCAGCATAACAAGGCCCGTTTGTCGTGGATGCGTGGATATAATGGAGGATTGACACAAACATTTATTATACAAGTAGGAACAGATAAAAAGACATGGAGTGATGTGATAGTAGTTGACAGAATTACAAAAGACGAAAAGCCCATAACCACAATCTTGACAGATCTTCATGATTCAAAAACATACTTTGTTCGAGTATACGCATATAACGAGGAGGGAAATAGCCCTTTGTCAGAAACACTTAATTTTACCACATCTTCAATCAAAGGTAAGAATTCTAAAATACATTGATAAGCTTGCCTAATGTTGATTACTTCCAACTGTGTGTTTGTATTAATATAACTGAGATAACCACATCTAAAACGATTACAGCTGACAAAAATAGAAAAGCTGTTGTAAATTGTGATTTAATCTATCTTCCTGATTTTTTATATTAAATATTATTGTTAATAAGATGGTGTTTACATATATAACCTGAGCAGCTATAATGAATACAACCGTTTATATACGGTCATATAACCTATCAAAAGTCTTTATAACGATTTTATGCTGCAAAAGTCCTGAATTTGAAAACAAGGAAATGAAATTACTTTGTAAATTGACAGAAGACATGTACAAAGTCTATATACACGTCCCAGGTATCCAATGGAAAGCAACGTTACAAACGTGCAGTATATTGTTGTACATTCTACGTGTGCATTCCAAAATTAAAACAAAATTAAGAGAATCATTAATTATTTTGCAATGTATTCCGCTGCGTCTACACAACGGTCGTAATAGAAACTTAAAAGTGACACTAAACAAGCAGGTCCTGTTATTTGCTGATTGCTGAAAGTGCGCATGATTTCTATGCACTTTTTTATACCTTACCTTTTCAATTTGTATAATGATATCGAGTAGTCTCGACTTAAATATCAAGTTATATTCTTTAAAAGCAGTGTACATTAAAACTCATATTCCCACCTAAATTGATTTACAGTGAATGTGACAGTAAAGACAAACAACACCACTGCGATAATAGTAGGAGTAGTTCTCGGCATACTGATAGTTGTCGTGTTGGTATATTCCATATACGTTACATTACGGATGAAAAGAAGGCATGACCCTGACCAGAATAAAGGTAACATATTGCTGCCTGAAACCATATCATAAACAAAACATGACAACACAAAAAAACTATGCTCCGTTGATGTATACATTGTATCTTTACCTGAAACTTGTAGAAAAATTTTCACGTACTTTTGTAAGTCTTCTCTCATACATTTTATCAGGGTAATTGTTTCCAAAACTTTAATTGTTAAGAATTGATACCACTTGATTGATATTACTTACAAAGCTGCAATGGATGTGTATTTAAACATAACATAATACGTGTGTGATATTTGTTTGTTTGTTTTTATTGGAACCGACACAGTATAGGTCATATGGTGACGTTCCAGCTTTATTGGTGGCGGAAGACCTCAGGTGGCCTTCTGTGCATTATTTCAGGCACGAACAGCCACCTGAGTACAGCTGAATAGCTTCCTCACATACAAGATTCCAAAGTCCCTGTCGAAAATCGAACCCACAGCGGTTAGGGTCAAGTGATTCAAAGTCAACGACCTTAACGAACCACTCGGCCACGAAGCACCATAGGTGCAATATAATATAGAAATAATGAAATACGTTATGGTTCAACAACATACATATTGAAATGTTGAAAACAATGTATTTCATGTGATAAACCATATCTGATTAAATGAACTAGCAACGCTTGATATATTTGTATTGGCAATAATAGTATTTAATTCAAAGTTCATAATTAGTTATAAATGAAGTATAAAATTGATGAATAAAATCTAGAACCAATTGAGTGCCTGTAGGCCTATCGTGTTTTTATTTTAAACTCTGACTTTTAACGAAGACAAATTTAAATCATAGTATTGTATATTTTCTTTACAGATATCTCCGAAGATACAAAAGGCAGAGAGTAAGTTTTATTAAATGAAAACAATATGTCGTGATGAGATTATTAACAAAGTATAGTTTATTATTCATACCTGTATTTCTAACGGCAGGCAGTATCAATGTTTAAATGTCGATATTATTTTATAATATGATAATAAAACACGTTATTTGAATAACTTAAAAGGACACAGAGGTGCCATGCAAGAAAAAATATATTTAAGAATACTTTAGGAAAACACATAAAAAGGATAGATATGGGTACCACAACATGGCAAAATTGTGATTAAATTCGAGCTTATGATCACAACGTAATAATTTTTGTTATGGACTTACTTTTACTTTAAGGTATGTAAATGTGGAAGATCCAATCAAACTTAAAACAAAAGATGTAAAGAAGGGAAGGACATATCCTCACGATGCTCAAGCCTCAGAAAGTCAATATACAGAGCTCGATAAAGATCTTAAAGAAGCAGAATCTGCATACGATGCTATTTCAATCATTTGAAATGACAACATAAATGTGTCTTTAAACATACGTCCTATGCACGTGTTTGAATGTACAAGCTGGACGTTAGAACATTTAGTGTGCATTGATTGAATGCATATGACAAAAACTGAGAAAAAAATGAATTCCTTTACGCTTGCTATAGAGAAAGTATTTTTGACATAAGCATGAAAAACACATCACCAAATGCAACGGATTCTTTTCGAATATGTATACTATGCTATTTCATGTAATTAAAATGAGGACGTAAAAGTGTCATTAACTACAAGTCAGGTGTATGATTTTGTTACACTAAAAAATTGAATGCATATGTTTTATGTTATTAGTAAGGATTGGGTTAATGCCGTTGTGTTTATGTTAAGAAAATCTGTTTTGTCATCAGAATATATCAAGACTTTGCGAAATAATGAAATAAAAATCGACGTTTTACAGAAATGTATAGAAGTAAAGAATATAATGTTTTCTCACGGCTACATAGATGATAATCAATTTATCTGATATATACTATTTATTTGGCCATGTGCAACAATTATATATGAAAATGATATGTCTTAAAAATATTCATATTTTTTTGTAATTACATAATTAAGATTTTTATAATATTGCAACGTCTTTCAAAAACAAAAGATAAAAATATAACTTTAAGGATTCGGAACAAAATAATATGTATAACTGCTATGCCATTGCCCTTTTTTCTTTAAATATGTTAGCATGTTCATTATATGAAATTTCATTATTTTTACTTTATGTCAAGTGGAAGAATTAATTATGGCACAGAATGTAGCATTTATTTGTTCAGGTCTTTCTTGTCGCTTTTCAACTTTCGTGACATGTAAATAAAGGCTACTTAGTTTAATGTAGCTTATCTTAGTTAAATGTTAATTTAGATTATGCAAACTTCATAATTTTCAAAAGGTTCTTCATTTTTAAAATTGTGTTCTTTATTTTTATTATTTTGTCAAAGAATATGAAGCATTCTACAATAAATTACTACGTTGTTTGCTGTTTATGCCGTCTAAACGAAGAAAACAATAAAATGACACTCCTTGAGATTTATTTATGTTCTTTATCAGTACAATATCCACTTGAGACATCACTTCTAATACTTCTGCTTATATCACAACTTATTTTGTCCTGATATTGTATCTTCTATATCGCCATCCAGTGTTTTATTAAGAACACATCGACATTGGCTTCTTGTGGTTAGATAATCTGGCTGTATACTTCTTCCCATTTGATCAAAATCTCTAAAAATAAATATGTTTGAATTGTAATGATAAATACAGTGCTGTGTATAATTGAGAATAAATTCATGTATATAGGTTTCATCTTGTCGGTTCATTTCACCGTAAAAAAGAGTAAACAGAATATCTTAAGAATGCCCAAACAAAATATTGAAATGACATAAGCTTTGTCCGATTGAGCCTGTGAGCTGGAAAGCACAAACCTTAGCACCAGTTTAAGAAGAATTCATCATTCAAACATGAAATGGTGAAATTTTGAGTTCAGAAACATCCGCAGATGTGTTCATACGATGGTTATCGGGACCTTCCATGTGACACACGCCATTACAGAAAAAGAGGCGTTATGCAATATATAAATACAGGTATAAAATTAACCTTTATTGTCCATTTTATATTGAATATTTACTGTATGTGTGTCTAAACATTCATGTTTGAAATTACCACAGCTAAGAAAAGGTAATAAATCTGAGGTATATTATACAGATAAAATACAGAACCTGGTGTGTCAAGGTGATGGTTCCCTTCATAAAGTATTGTTAAATCATTATCTTCCGACTCAATGGTGCTGTATGAATTACCGATAAGGGATTTCTTTTGGCTTGATGCTGCCCTGAAATCTGATTTATCTTTAAATTTTAATCAAAAACATAAGATTGGCGTTATTAATATTTAACTCATTTATCAAGTAAAGTAACTTTATGTTTTACAAAACATAAGATAAACGTTAGGGAAAATGAACATAATCAGCAATATCATTGTGTGATTCGTGTAGCGAAATGACACCATCCTGATGTAAATTACAGACTTTTTCATTTCTTTTGCAATATAATTATGTCATTGCATATTTCTGTTACAATAATACTAAACAGGGTAGTAAAAAAGCATAATTGAGAATTGAAGAGATTTAAAACATAAATGTTTACGGAAACTATCTTATTATGTAGTGAGTGCAGCGATGAGAATTAATCAAGTGTATTATCTGTGAAGAAAATAAACAAAACATGTAATTGAGAATATTTAGATGACATACCTAGATCGATACCAACTGTCTTACATTCGTCGATAACTAATGAAGGACACATCTCATCAATGAGTGCTGCATAACTGCCAGTTGGTGATGATCCTTCAATACTATCAAAGTTGCCTTAAAATGGCAAAGACATGGTAAATCAATTTACTTGTATGGTATTGATACTTGTCTATAATATAATATAACATTCAATTTAGATTTGTATACAGTTTCACCAAAGTATTTAGGGCTTAAAATATAGACAAAAATACAAAAACTTTAAATCTTATTTACTATTAAACAAACAGCGAACATTTAGAAGCAGGAAAAATGTATTACATAGATGCTTCAAAATTTCGGTTTGTTTTTCTTCTTTGAAATCCATTTCAAAGAATCGAACCGCTGGATCCCCTCTACTCAAGATGAGTGACAGTAAAACATGCATTCTCTGTTTTCGCTTCTTTGATAAACCGTTTAACACGGACTCGATTTCAGACTTCTTGAATAGCTTTCTTGTGATGTACAAAGGGCAAAATACATAATTCCTCAGCCAAGAAGTCTATGTTTCTCTGCACTGCTTCTCGTTTTACATGGCCTGAAATATTATTCATGAAATGTTCCTCTGTATTGTTCTTCACTGGTTCAAATTAAATAAGAAAATGTCAATTTACACAAAAAAGCTACAAGCTACTTTAAAAAATGGACAATCTTCTACATAAAATATATTTGTTCCCTTGATATCAATAAATGTTTCTTGCAATGCCATTATCAAACTGATATATATGTAAGTCATTGTTTGTTCATTCATGCAAAACATTGAAATAGATTATTGACAAGATTTTTTTTTAATTTAGCAAATTTATGTACATAAATACAGCAGTTAGATAGATTACCACATTTCTGCGGTTCTTCAATACTGTTAAGGGTTAGGTCTTCAATTGTAACATTGAATCAAAGGCCTTTGGTAGCATCCAAAATCGCCAACAGCTGGGTGAAGGAAAATCAATCATAGCAGTGTGTCAACATTTGCAGGGATATTGCTTTTCTCTCATAGCAGTAGACCTCAATTTAGTAAGTATAGTACAACTGAACCAAAGTCAACAAGTTGTATTTGACAATTTGAAAACTTTCGAAGTTTTTGATTTATTTCCTCGACAACTTCTAAAACTTGTAAGCTCTCCACAATATTCCTCTCAAATGTTGGATCTTGTGGATCGCTAGTTTGCAGTCTCATCTTGACATTGAAGTAGCCTTGTATGAAGATATTAAGCAGAATATCTATTAAAACAAAATGTGGATTGGAAATGAATATTATTTATTAAAATATATTTCTTAATAATTTGTCCATCCAATAGTTTTAACACTTGGAATTTTGAAATTTACTTGTTTGAATTCAACAGTCCAATTAATTGATTTTAGTTTGAAACATTTCATGACGTTTTGCTTTATTCGTATTTTAATTGATAATTTTCACATTATTGCAAGACTCGAAGTTATTACCAACCAGTAGGATAAAGCATGCACGTGCAATTGAGATCTCGTCTCTTCATCTCGAACTGCTCTCATATCTTCATTTTGATATCTGAAAATTAGTTACTATATCTTTAATAAATGCAAATGTGTACGTTTTGCGTATTGATAAGATTCAGACAAGATTACAACGGATGACATTGAAAAGTAAAGTAACTTAGTTGTTCTTTATTTTATCTTATACAAATACACATATTTAATATTATTTAGAAATAATTGGGGGATGGTATTTTATTAATTTCAATTAAAGAACTCATACTCTGGAATAAATGTTTAATAAAAGCGTGTTTGGACAATAGAGAAAATCAATTTGGCACCATCCGGTCCTTATTTTCTTTACTGAAAACTTCAGAAGCATACCATCTTGATTTTCTGAAGGTTTGACTGTACCTAATGCTTGAAGTATGTTTTCTTTATTTCCCATTTTCCTGTATGTAAGTCTCAATATTAGGAAACTTCGAGGTAAATTTCAAGAATCAGTCCAACCATTTCTTCAACCTTTTCCTTCATTTTCTATGACTAATAACTGACTCGTATTCGTCAATACAAAACACACGATACTGTAAGAAGTAATCGGCAACTTTGTCGGGCTCCAGATCGTCACATAGGAGCTCTAGGTTCATTAAAATGCTTGTTTCCATGTCGTGTTCTGACTGATGAGTACAATCAAGATCTGTGTACGTAATTGTGATACACTATGTTAAGACGAAGAAAAAGGTTTCAAAGCAAAATTAATATAAATTTATGAGAGCTACTTAATGTCATATGTATCAAACTAATGTATTGCTTTGATTCAATTTTATTGGGTGATTGAAACAGTTATTATGACTGCATGATCATGTCTGACATTATTAAATTATCACATATAGAGGAAAATGGAATCTATAAAGACCGATGAAAACGCCATAAATGAAACATAATTCAGCATTTAGGCATGAAATATTAAACATATTGTCCATAAAAAGACATGACCGATGTTTAGCTAATCCTACCTTCACAAACAGAGGGAGTGATTTCTAGTACGTCAGCAATATGTCCCTGTTCCTTTTGTCTGCGAAAGCGTAGGAAAAGACTAAGACTACCACTTTAAAGGCGCAACAGCTTTCGCAGGAATATATCAACACACTGTCGTCTCCTTGTTTCGAATGTTTAAAATTTTGTATGTGTTTAATGTTCAACTTGCTTTTTGTATCATTTTCTTCACTACGGGATTCTGTAGTATTATCTTTGGGTTAAAATTCTTTTCGAAGTATGCCTGCTGCCATCTTGAATCCGGTAACATTATATTGTAAAGTATTTATTTTACTTGATTTTACGTTTGACTTAATAAATTTTGTAATCATATGCAATATTGAAAGTATCATTAAAAGAATCATATATGAAATATTGCAAATATCCCGTTCAGTAATTCATTTATTAAAGCACCGTCAGCGATCACTTTCGTTACCAATTTTGAAACGTTGTATTAAAATTAAGTTAAATAATATTTAAAATGATAACAATTTTCTCCATAGATAGAATAAAATATTGTTGATTGAAAGGTCTAATTACTAACTAAAATCTGATGATATTCTTAAAAGCTATTAGCCTCTAAAGCGGGTTAAAAGAACCTGGAACATAGTATGCGTTTCGGAACAAATTTCGGTAACAAAATGGTAATCAAATGTCATAAGATGTAAAGCTGATTTAAGCAACGAAGTTGTTGTATTACATATTATATTTACGTCGGGAAATGAAGTGATAAATTCTCATTTATATTTTCATTGAATGTTAACTTATGGAAAGAATGGTTTAACCACGATTAACGATATGAATCACATTTATTTAAGTACGCTATTTTAATGTCGCAAACAAGTTAAGTTTAACTTTTATTTCACTTTTGATAATTCGCTTGAAAAATAATAGAGTGAAATAAAATAAACAAAGCTTTATCAACGTTTTCAAAATTCGTTATTCACAAAATGTTTCTACACACGGTAGATTTAAAAACAGTTTTTTCAACCCACTGGAACAGCCTTTCAAGAACGTTTCTATTGGAAACTCTGGGGCGAAAACAAATTTAACCACCAAACATAAAGTCCAACTTTATAATAATAATTATATTTTTTGACGTGTTAGAATGGAAATAGATATCAATTCTTCGTGCATTATTGTAGAATAATGTAGGTTTTTCGTTCAAATGCTTTGTAATGAATCACTCAGGCCTATCGGCCTTCTTGGTTATATTACTACGCATTTGAACTCAAACCGTGCATTATTCTACAACAATGCACTCAGAATTGATATCTATTTCCTAAATACCATTTAGTAAGCAGACTATGCAGTTGGACATTGAACACGATTCAAATCATTGACATATGATTATATGTGATAAATGTTTTTATTCTCAATGGCAGATATTTTTCAGAATGGGATCATGGATAATATTTTAATCAATACAAACTTACAGAATTCCATGAGACATTGCGGTCATAGTTATACAAAAAGAAATAGTGTGTACTCTGGTGACTTGACGATGAGATTTATTTAATATTCAATACATATCACTTATTGATCATCTGAAAAGAAATACTTCATTAACATATTTTATATCTGTTATCATTCCTTTTCCAAATACGCATTATGAAACTTGAAAATTATTTGCTGCTGAAGAATCTTGTGTGGAAATTAATAATAATCATTAAAAAGGTGAAACTGTTGAAGAAATAAACCATGTTCTGATTTTATTAACAAGAAAGGTAACTCTCGTTTCAGTTTCACAGATTGTATAGTTTGCTAGTTTAACTCCCTGTTATTATTTTTAAAATATATTTAGAGTAAGATAAAGGTTATATTGATATGAAATGAGTTTCAAAACTATTTTCGTCTCGTCTCAATGCGATTTTCCGGTTAACAAGTAGATATATACATAAATATTCAACTAGGAAGTTTTTTAAATTTAAAGTATCGCTTATTACGTAGTTTTTAAATAATCATGATATTCTTTTTACTAATCATTGGAATATGTTTTCCAGTATTAGAAGGTAATTATTTAATCATCTATTTTTCTAAGTAATTTCAGGTACTTAGGCCTTATCATTTGTAAATGATTCATGATGAGCTTTAGTGATAACATTTTGTCCGGCGTCCGTATCGTCTACGGAAGACCATTAGTGCCTGGTGTGTGTTTTTATTAACTCAAAATTTCGACTTTGTAACTTCGAACTACAAACTCGAAATTTCGACTAAGTTACATTACTAGAATGGCAAAAAAAGTTATGAGTTACCACGAGTTTAGATAATATAAGATATAGTAGGGAGTTCGATTGTACGATGGAGATGGAGACAGGTTTTCGTTATCAAGTTGTCCTTAACCCTCGATTTACACTTATTATGCATTTATTTTGCTACTTTACTGATGAATATTTCTTTATATTGAAATTGTTATTTCTTTTTCATAATTTGTTCATTACGTTTCCTTTCATGAGGTATTCACGTTGTCGCTAGTAGTCGACTTCTATTTATGATAAAGGCTAAAATGTCTCACAGCGGATAATTATGAAATAAGTAAGTTAAACAGAAATTTCTTTTCGAAAACAAATCGGGTCAGTCTTTTAAATCGGTATATTTTGTTGTTTTATTGATTTAAAAGCATTTCTTGTCATAGACGAGGCACTACACTGATAAAAAAATTATATATTTTTCCCATTGTATGTATAATTTCATTTCAAAAAGACAAAAGCCTGTCCCTTTTAGAGAGTTCCACAAATAAATGATATTAAATTTATCATTGTACATAGAATAAAGACTGGCTTAGTTCAATGTTTTTCATTATAATAATGTGAAAAGATATATCATAGTTTAGGAGCTAGTCAATTGAACATAGAATATAGACTGGCTTAGTTCACAACATTTAATCATAATAATGTGAAAAGATATATCATAGTCTAGGAGCTAGTCTTTTCAATAATACAAAATTTTTTAATGGTACAATTATAAGTATTGCATGTAAACAGATACAAAGAATCTAATTATTTAGAATTTGCAAAATCATTCTTAATCATATAAATGTTCTTTCCAACATATGTAAGCGTCATGCTATCCGCTTTTGATTTGCAGAGCGACATAGACCCCTGTGATAAGATGTGGAACTGTCACCGCGTCAGGCCATTAAAGAATTTTGTAATGCCTCATTGGCGTTGTAATAAATCATTGAAAAGATGCGATTGAGTAGTTAATTTGATAGTTACGTAACTCGAAATTTAAAAAAAAACAAAGACCTAAAGCTTAGATATTAAGAATGAAACATCTTCTAGTTGGTCTTTACCAAGTTTGTTCAAATAAAAGTCCTGGGGTCAAAATTTGCCCAGGCCCAGGGGGTCATTGATTTTTCTTATATGTGTATTGTAAAAACAAAACAAAAAAAATCTTTAAAAAAACAAAGAGCTAGAGCTTAGATATTTAATATGAAACATTTGCTGCTGGTTGTCTACCAAGTTTGTTCAAATAAAAGCCTTGGGATCGAAATTGACCCGGCGCTGAAAGGAAGGGTTATTGATTTCCCGTATTATGTATTTATAGAAAAAGAAACAAAAACCTTCTTTTTTAAACATATTAAGAGCTAGAGCTTAGATATTTAAATATTTAATATGAAACATCTTCTAGTGGTTGTCTACCAAGTTCGTTCAAATTAAAGGTCATGGGGTCAAAAGTGGCCCCGCGTCAAGAGGGTAGTGATAGTCCTTATATTTACATAGGAAAAACAAAATAGTCTTCTACTTTACTATTGAGGCTTAAGCATAGATATTTGGTATGGAACATTGTCTCGCGGACTTTACAAATATTTTTCAAATTATACCCTTTGGGTTAAAATTACCCTGTCTCGGGGAACACAGATGTACCTTATATGTACATAATTATAAAATTTAGAAAAACAACTTTTCTAAATCGACAAGCGCTAAAGCTTATTTTTAATAGCAACCAGTGACTCCATAGCAGCCATTGACTTTTATAGCAAATTGTAAATTTCCATAGCAAACAATAAGTATAACTTTCGACAGCAACGAGTGAATCTAGCATTGAATTTCATAGCAGGCACTGACGTCCAAGGATACCATTTATTTTGTAAAGCAAACAGTAACATCTTTTCGAACTGTTGTTTTCCCTCAACACTAGCATCCGTGTGAACTTGATCAGATACAAATATGAACTTTGTGATATAAGTTTAAGATTTAGATTTTATGTCTGCTTTCATTCAGAGTTTACAATATTACTTGTTCCTTGTCATGGAGAATAGTCATATTCAGTTGAGCGATATAAGGATCATCATGGCCCTCTTGTTTTGTTTGTTTTTGTTTTATAAAGGCAACAGCTAACAGTTAACACAATTCGTCCGCAACTTGAATATAAGTAAAGGAAGATTTATATTTATATATTGATTTTTAAAGATTCACTTTTTTCAATTGATGTATGAAATAGCCAGTCACAAAATCTTACGGGTAAAGTGATAAATAAAGAAGTGCATTATGAAAGTTTTTATTTGATTGTATGAGGTAATAGTTGGAACTTTTATCAAATGCAAGTTTTCAGGTAGATGTTATTCATTCCTACATACAAAATAGAAAAAAGACGAGCTTTGAACAAAATATAGATAATAACGCCGAAATGTAACACTACAAAAATGCTCCACCATTTTTATCAATACCATTGTAAACAGTATACACATATTTCAATAGTTTTTTTTGTTGTTGTTTTTTTGTAAACATATTTCTAACACTTGAATTCAGTGTCTTTAATGTCAGCTATTTATTAATAGTGGTACATCTTTGATATAAAAAAAAACAATTATTCTCTTTAAACGAAAAGGTATGTTCAATTCTGACTGTTTGCCAACAGTTTGTTATATAATACTTAATCATAATATTTATCTAAATACACTTACATGTTCGTGATAAAGCTAAAGCATACATTTTGTATAGTAGGAAGAATGAATAGGAAAATTTACATTTTTCGTAGGATTTTCAACATTTTTATTAATGCAGTCTATAACTAGTGTGACTTTAATTGAGTATAAATACTATGAGAAAAAATGAATTCATGTAATTCAAGAAGACATCATAAACATACAGAACAGGATAAAAATCATATTTTAAGCTGAAAATGCACAACAATGATCTTTGCTTTTTGTTTTTTGTTTATTTGTTTTTTGTTCTTGATGTTGTGTTTTTATTTTTTTTTTAGGTACAGCCACTATCCAAGTACCAAGTGCTGGTAATTGTGGTGATCATACAAGTCTAACATGTCAGGTTACTGGTAACATTAAAAATACAGGCTGGACTGGCTTAAACAGATCATTAGTAATCAATGGAGTTGCCGTAAGACCAGAAGACAACAACAAATATACAGAAACCAGGGGAACGTCATCATTCACATTGAAAATACACAACACCGACATTACTGACGAAGGAGATTATAGATGTAGGATTGGTTTTGAAGAGAGTCAGTTTAAACGTCTATATATAGAATGTAAGTTTTTAAAAACAATGCAACAAATAAAACTATACATTGGCGTGTTCCTTCATCAAATACTAATACTAGAAGTGCCCCCCCCCCAATAAAATGAAAAGCATATATCAATGTAATTCATGAGAAGAAAAAACATACCTATATTACGACTGATTGATATTTCTCTTTGGATGCTTAATAAATGACCTTTATTTAATATCGCCTTCATTTAATAAACGATAATTATATAAAACAAAAATGAAACAACTTAACAGCTAGTATATTGCTTGAAACATTCCAAATGATAGATCTCAAATGGTCACATGGTTCAAAGTATTTTCGTAATGTAAAAAGTAGTGATGGAAATCGGTTGAAATTTGTCCCAATCGATCATCGGTTCAGTCGGATGGGACATAATCGATAACTTTTCGAATAAAGTCGCGTTAAAAAGAAATATGGCAGTAACATTTCTTCACAAGGCACTTGATTATATTCAGTAACATGAACTTCATTTAGCACTTTTTAACACAGTTTTAACCTTATATAGTCATAATTTTACGAAATAGATTTTATTTTGCAATGGATGTCAAATAATAACATTCAAATCACATTATATTACTATTGTTTACATCACTTATTGAGCCTGTTCAACTCCAAATTGTCTCTGAGATGATTTTTTGCGATCGGCGAGGTGTTCCTAAAAGAAAATTACCGTCAGAATTAATTACATTTGATTTTTAAACATTTTCGACGACGTCGCGGAACAAATTTTAGTGAATCGATTATTGTCGCTTTACATAACAGTAACTGATTATCGACGACTTGCGACAATCGGAACATCACTAGTAAAAAGTAATTAAAATCAGAACGATATGAGTAAATACACATTTACCACAAAGTAGAGAAAGATGTTCCATTCTTACAATTCATAATTATTAAAAACAAAAAATAAAGCTTTGAAATGTCAAAAAAAGGAAATCTTCATGTACTTTTAAATGACATATTGATAACTATTTTTGAAATGAAATGCATATTTTAATATATTTAATTTTTTGTATTTTCATTGTAAATAAAACAACAACAAAAACATTTTTCAGTGCATTGAAACGTATTTTTCCGTATTTGCACTGTTGTCGTCTAAATTATCTAAATTCAGCCAGTACACAAAATCAAATTCGTAAAATCAAAAAAGAGGTAAGATATGTAATAAACAGAAAATTTGAGATTGTTTAATAAATCCAAGATATTTTCATCTCGTGTTATGAAAATAATCACATTACACTCATAGCTACCGCCACTCCTAAAATATCGCTTTTAATATATGTGCCACTCGATGAAAATTTATCCTGTTTTTATAAAAAAAAACACTTGAATATCCTCTATAGGCAAGTTTGACAGATTTCATTATACATGTATGATATTATCTTATCTGTATTTTAATTATATGTATATTATGATTATGCATACCCTTACACATTGAATTAAAGTGTTTATAATATCTTATTTTGTAGGTAAAGCATCATCAGCTACACACAGCATAACAAGTGGAAAGAAAGTACAGATAACTGTAGATAAACTATATCCTGCCTCACCAACACTTACTGCTACATTTAAGAGACAGGTATTATCACGAAATAAATAGTGATACACAAAATGAACTAACTGATGAACAACAAGTTTTTATTGATTACATAAATGAAAGAAATTACAGGTTTAACAATTTACTTTTGCACCCATGTTTTAAGTAGTTTTCCTGAACTATGCTTTAATCGGTGTCATGTAGAAGATTCTATTTTTCTTACAAAATATTCTTATAATTTCTACATATTTATGTTTCATTATGAACAAGTATGTGACGGGTCTTTCGAAACTGATTTCTCACTATAATGTTTCACCTAATAAATACTGATGTATCGCTACGTTAACCTATTTACATTATATTTGGGCTTATTCAGATTTGTTTCATTTAAATGCTGCAGTAAGCCGCTACATTTGGCAATATACTTTGCAAAAGTATTCCGATCAATGAGTAGAGGACAGTTATAGTTCGAGCTATTCCGATAAAAGATAAAAGAAGTTTTCTCCGCCAACGAAAAAATACTGTTTTTAATTGGATTATTATTATTGTGCTCCCATGTTGACTTATTTACCAATAAATAGAAAAAAAGTTTTAAAAACAATTACGTATAATTATAAACACCATATGCCAAACATATTGTATCATGATTATCTATTTGAACAGACTAGCGCCATCCAGATACTAGGATCTTCAGCATGTTCAAGCAGTACACAGTATACAGGCTACTCTAGATGTGTGTGGACTTCTAGTAACTCTTTAGATGATGGAGTGTATACATACAGCATTGTTGTTAACACCATCACACAAGCTACTCCACTAACAGGATCATTTGAAATATGTATGTTAGCTGTGATTGGTATCATAATTATTGTTGATATTCCAACTTTTTATCAAATTCAGATATTTCCACTAATTACAGTATATTGACCTTTGATATACATATAACGACATCTATAAAAGCCACTCATTTTGTAAAATGATGGTGACCTCTAGTAATACTTCAAAACATTTGTCATCCAACATAACACTCAATATATAATAGATATAGATTACAAACAAATACAAACTTTATATAAGTAGTTAAGTACATCATCAATTGGTAGACATTTTTTATTTTTTAACGACAAAGTTTGAATTGAAGAAATTAGGACGTATTGGCTGTCAACATAAAATTATGCTTTTAATTTAATCACTGTTTTATCATCAGAAAAAAATATTTGTTTATTTAATGAAAGTAATTTGGCGTCAATATGGAACTGATTTGATAACTTCAGCGTCACCTGAAACACCCTTAATATCAAATGTCATACAGTTGAATGCTAGCCGTGAAGTTGTTTACGGAAATGAAGGACAATCTCTGACAATACAATGTACTTCGACTGGAGGATATCCATCACCAACGGTAATCTGGTATAAGAACAGTATATCTAGCTCTAACCAGTTGTCCAATACAAGTTCAGGGACGTTAGAAAGTGACGGAACATACACTGTCAACCTACAACATACATTGACATCTGTTACATCAGATGATAGGAAATATTTGATATGTAGATCGTACTATCCTCAAGCTGATAGTGCTCAAGTAGGATCAAACAGCAAATCTGTGCTACTTTACTTGGCATGTGAGTATATATGTGAGGGCACCTTTAAACAATTTCTTATAAAAGGGCAAGGAAACAGCAGTGAATTTCTCATACCAGTATATCAGTGCAGGATTTTGTTCAATAACTTCTTTTTGAATGGATGGGGTAGGGTAGGGAGATAGGTAGGTAGATCTCATTGTGAAAAAGAACTGCAGTGCTATTGAACCATACTTCTTTATTTTCTTTTAGTTTTCGAGTGATTGATCTTGAAAATTTGAATACATGAAGTTTAACCGGAGAATAACAAAGAGGTGTTTCAGGCATCATCTTCTAACTGCATGGATAAATTGATCTATTGAAGCAGAATTGCAGTGCATAAAAAACGATATTGGGCATAAATTTGACGTTTTGACCCTTTGTAACTTTTCACCGCTAATATTTAATCAAGATAATCATTTTAAAAAAAGAACAATAATGTCAAATTTCAATAATGTTGCACCACAACTTCATAAGGAATTCAGTTCAATGTGAAAGGCTCATCATATATTGATCAAGGCACTGAAAAGGCATATTATTGGAAAATAATGTTTTACGAAAATATTGATAGGGAGTTTATAAAATTATGAAAGTCTTGCTGTAACTATAACATTGATGGTCAGTTAATTAGCTACTCAGAGTTTCGGCTTACTAACTGAATTTGTGAAACAACAAATTTCATTTTATTTCGGTTATTTCTTTCAGTGAAGCCTAGCCAGCCAACAGTTACACAGACATCTGTTGTATCGGCTGGTAGTAATGTAACGGTAAGATGTATAACAAGCGGGTGTAGACCAGCAGCCAGTATATCCTGGTTATATCAAGGTGTGTCGTATAATGGCAGTACAACATCAACACTTGATGCTGCAACAGAAACATTTACAGTCGTTTCTATATATACCAGACAGGTAACAGCTGCGGAAAATGGACAAAGTATACAGTGTATAGTCACTCATCCTGTATTAGTGAATCCAGCACAACTGACTAAATCAACAAATTTAAATGTTCAATGTAAGTAAATATCAAGTAGACCAACGCATTTAAAATTGTAAAATGATTTTTTATACACATGATTATCAAGAAAAATATGTAGGTTGCCATTGTAGGTTACAAATCAGAAAATCTAATGTTCAATATTTCTGACTTCAAAGACATAAATGTGTAATCATAATACTGATAATACAAGGGTTATCCAAATAAGTCATCATTATTTTACCGAGTGTACATGAAAATCAACCCACACTCTGGCGCCATAATAATATGATATCTGAACGATCTCCTTTTCATAGTACTGCCTCTGTCTAGAATACACTTTTGATGTAAGGCTACCTTCTTACACAAGACTAACATAAATCGCCTGTTAAAATTTTCAGGATAGTCAATTTTACAGTCTAAAATATCTGAAATGTCTGTCTTCCTTAATAGTATTTAAACTTTCTCAACTGTTCACGATGCCTTGACTATGGGCATCCCATTTTTGTGTAACCTGTTGTTTCGTTATGGCAATTGTATACTAATGATCAAAGTACGAATATTCAAGTGTTTCTTACAAAATCTTATTTAACATGGTCGTAGGTGTCATTAGCACTTAAAGCAGTTATTGATAATCTACTAAGCCGCGTCAGTGTGCTTGTTTTAGCACTTTATTAAGTAAACAAATATCAACAAATATTTCTTGCAATTTCCTTGAAATTATGCCATATATAGCGTCGAACTGTCAACGTCATAAAATAAGGCAGACTTCATCGACCACTCACTATAATTTGAAAATAATGGGTATGCTTTAGTGTTTAGTTTTTGTAATTAATTTTTGTGTAATGTTGTCTTATTTCATTAAAAATGAAGGTTATACACTTAATAATGCTAAGGGTTATACTGTTTGTATTGCAGTGATTGTCCACGATTTTATGGAACAACCCTTGTAGTAAGGAAAGTAAAGCTAAAGAGAATAGTGGCATTTCTTGATTTTACATAAATATCACCTAGCACATAGTTCTGTTACCTTGAAAAAGAGACAAACAAAAATCATAGCCAAGCAAAATAAGTTTATTTCTAGTCTGATATAATAAAACATTCCAAAGGATTCAATGCATAATCGTGTTTAAAATTGATTACTGCCTAAGTTTGTGAAAGAGGGCGTGGGAAATGTGGCATAATGCAGTACTTTAGATTTATAAGTGAAATATTGTATAAGTCGTACAATATGTAAGGTGAACTTAATTTACACTGCCATTTATGGAATTGTTTTGAATGACAATCAAGCACTACATTTTAATTGTTCGATTTTTTTAAAGCACGCGTTGGTTGTTCATTCACAGCATTAAAAAACACTTTTATATAAAGGAAATTGTGTTGTTGTTTGTTTATTTGTATTGATTTATTTTTCAGTTCCCCCGATTGTTTCAGTTATTGCAACAAACACTACGGTTAAAGAATCAACTAGCGTATTAATGTGTATTGCAAAAGGTGTTCCCGACAATAATTATAGATACGGGAAATGGATTCAAAGATGGCCAGGATATGGAGTGCCTGTTTCGGTGAGGCCCGGAAGTGAGTCGCTCGAACTGACAAATTTAGCATACGAGCACTCCGGGTTTTATACGTGCACTGCCAGTAATGGTATAAAGGTCTTTGGTACAAACACAGAATTTATAGAAGGAGCAGAAGTACATTTACTTGTGAAATGTAAGAGCTTTAGTGATAAATGTCATTATTATTATATATTTTATTCTACAACTGTAATAACCACATTTATATATAAAGCATTTTATAACAATGTAATACAAGTAAATTTCGTTAAAGGCTCATTATGCCCCAGAACGCTTTTATCTTATTTCTCAAAAGCTTCTTATTTTTGGTCTTTTGTAATAGTTTTTAAATAGTTAAGAATTGACAAATTATAAGAACCATCTTTTGTTTCTGTTCCCTTTTGGTTACTACTATAGTTATATTGTTTTAGTATTTTGTATGGAAGTCAAAATACTACTTTGTTTACATTCCGCTACTTTGATGACAAATAATTTAAAATTCAGAGCTACTTTCTTCAGTGAAAAGCACTTACATGCTCTTAAACGATTATTTACATTTACATTATATTTACATAATGCCTCAGAAATGAATATCTTTCCCTTCCTTAGAAAGGGCAAACAAGTTTAAATGATTTTGCAGTAACGGACTTAGAACATATGAGATTCTTATCACCTTTTAGAAAAAGTGTTGTATGTAAAATATTGGTGTTAAAGATAGCAAAATGTAAAGAAAGCATTATTTTGAACTCCATACAAAATCATAATAACTATATCTTCCTTATTGCCGAAACATGAAAGAAGACACAAAAACAAAAGGCCTTCAAAAATTAAAATTATGATATTATGCATATTTGAGTATTATTGGAACTTTAATCTATATGTTCTGTTTTCTGTAGCGTTTCCAGTTATAATCAATATGGATGACAAATTTGCAAGCAGGATAAATAAAAATGTAACGGTCAAGGTGGACTATTTCTCGAACGTACCTGGAACAGAAGTGAAACTTTATAAAAATGTTAATGGTGCGGGAAAAACAGACGTTACCTTATTTGTGGATAAGAATCCTGTTGAAGTTGAGTTACCCGTATTTTCACACTTTGTCAAAATCAACGGTACAAGGTCTATCGTAACATTTCCAATAAAATCAGAAGTGGATTATGGGTCATATATTGTTGTTGTCTCAAATGAAATAGGTTCTAGTAATAGGTCATTTGAAGTTGTGCTTACAGGTGAGTCGTTTACAAGGAACTATTTATCTTTTTGTCTTTGGTTTTTTTTTCGCGTTTTCAAATTGGAAATACGTTTCTCAAAACGGATAAGGAAATCTGCAACGTTATTTAAAATAGCGGTAATGGGAAATTATATATCACATAGATCCATCTCCCACTGAAAAGCGAACACCTTAATTACTTATTCCTACACACACGCGCGCGATATTAACTCATTTATAAAAACAATAATTTTTATTAGGACCAAATAAGTTCAAATGTTGGTTTTAGAGTGTCAATTGAATAGAAATATATTTATTATAAATTTAACATTAATGTGAGACCAAACAGCAGATTATGTGCAGCTAGGTAGGCGAAATGCCCTTACCTGTTGTTATAAAAAAATAACACAATTTTAGAATTGACTAACGCCATCGTTAACACTAATTTTGACACATCGCATGGTCAACATTCATGTGTTTATTTTGATAATGTTACTCCGTCATTAACGAATCTTATTCTTATTTATTTTCATCGAATATTTGGTCAAATTAACTGTGTCAGAAGAAAAACTTTGCATGTCAAAATATTGTATACTTAGTGTATTGATACCAGTGCTGCATAATTAAAGATTATGAACAAAGTAACAAATAATTATAATTATATAAAATAATGATAATCGAAAAAAATCGTGAATAATCGACAAAATACGATGTTACGCGAAGAAGGAGCATATGAAAATTCTCACTTTCCTTTTTTCAAATTAGAGCAACCAGGTTCACCGAGAGGTTTTACAATAGACTATATTCAGCATAACAAGGCGCGTTTGTCGTGGATGCGTGGATATAATGGAGGCTTGAAACAAACTTTCGTTATACAAGTAGGCACAGATGAAAAGACATGGAGTGATGTGAAAGTATTTGACAGAATTACTAAAGACGAAAAGCCCATAACCACAGTCTTGTCAGATCTGCTTGATTCAACAACATACTTTGTTCGAGCATACGCATATAATGAGGAAGGAAATAGTCCTTTGTCAGAAACTCTTAATTTTACCACATCTTCAATCAAAGGTAAGAGTTCTAAAATAAATTGATCAGCTTGCCTAATGTTGATTTCTTTCAAACGCGTGTTAGCCTTTTATGAATGAATGTCCTTGAATAACAAAGATAGTCAAATTCGATAAGTTTTCACATGATGACAATAAAATGTTTCTGTATGTCGTTTAATTTGTTTTTCTGATTTTGATATGACACCGTTTTGTCATTGCCATTAGCACCGACATGTATTCATTCCAAAATCTACATACAGTTGTGGGAATCATTGACGCGTTGCAACATTTCCTGATACCTGAGAAGTTTTAAATATGAATGCATCTAAGCATGTAAAATTTGTTTCTTCATAGGTTTCATTGATTTGTTTTAAATTATGTTCCCTCAAAGTATTCACCGCTAACAGATATACAAATTTTCACTTTTCGGATCTAATCTTAAAAGGCTTTTTCATAGTCTTTTAGATATACGATGAAGACATTGAAATATTGCAAAACCGAGGTGTTTGCGGTGACAAAAGTTTGACGCGAAGCGTATTTTTCAGCTTTTGAAACAAAAAGAAGTCACAAGAGGAAAGGGCAGGTGAATAGGGAGTATTGGGATAGCTACTTTTTCTCCATCAGAAATTCTTGCACTATAGACGCCTTGTGCGATAAAACGTTGTCTTGAAGCAATCTGACATTTGCAAAACCTGATGCAGGCTTCATTTTGGAATGCCTTTCTTAGATTTTCAAAGAAATTTTGTCTTGTAAAATTTTACATAAAACATATTTACCTTTAGGAAATGCAAACTGAATGGTGGGAGCTTGATTTGTAAAGAAAATGACAAACTGTTTCTCCTCTGGTCTTTTTCACAATGCATGGCCTTTTGTTTGTTTTCGTTTTGGTTCTTAATAATAACAACCCATGTTTCATGATCAGTGTCTACATTTGTAAGAGACGAACGTATTTTGTATAGAAAGCAACAACTTCTTTCTGCGCATCTATCAGTAAATGGGGTATCTATCTAGCACAGATATTTGTGAATGGTATGAGCTGCTCCTACTAATGTGCCAACGATACTAGCTATTTGCCTAGTGGTGTATTTTGCATTGATATTTACTATTTCTTTTACTTTACCAGACGTTGTTTATTTAGACTGACGTACGCGTGCGCATATTCAGTCGAAATTTATCCGCATTTGACTTAATTAAACCTACAAATAACTGACGAAAAAGACATTTCATTTTGTCCATATACAGAAAAGGTTTCATCAAGTTTTCAAGTTTTATTTTCTGACCGTATTTCAATGGCATACTATAAACTTCTTACTACAGTATACGAGTAGACAATGTATAGCGAGCTATAAACACAGTAAAAGTAAACGGATTTTAAAGAATGAGGCATTATGCATATTTACCCAATAACATTCGTTTCCTCGCGTTTGTCACAATATTGAACGATAAATGCATTTATATTTGAACACTCCTCATATACATAGCGGTTGCTATCAAATAAACGAATATATCTGTGTAAGTTGTCCTATAAAATTCATTGTAGAAAACGAATATCATCACATTTTCTTCTCTGAACATATGTACTAATAAGCCTTCTTTCAAATATGTTACACAGTGAAGGTTACTAATGAGGCAAATAACACGTCTACGATTATCATGGGAGTAGTTCTCGGCATTGTTATAGTTGCGTTTGTAATATCAATGTACGTGATAGTACAGCTCAAGAGGAAACTTGAACATAATCCAAACAAAGGTAACCGAAATTATAATTGTAAATTATGTTGATTTTGATAATTACCATTCAATAGATATATATTAGACTAGACTATTGAAAAGGGAGGTTTAGAATTAAATTGAAACAAGCGTGTGTATTATATTTATACACCAACATATTTCTTTCCATTGACGTTTTAGTTTTCAACTATTGTTTATAAGTTGTTCTCATTACTCTCATTTCATTTACCTTTTTCCAGAATGTTTTATTAATTTGCTGGGAAAATCAATGAACAATATATGTTATTGTAATTAATTTTAACAGAAAGACGACCATTCGAGAAAAGAAAATATTGTATTCACATATACATTTATAGTACTTGTATGATAACGAAATGGTTCATGTACAAATATATTGAACATAAAGAAAACAAGCATGTCATACGATAAACCACTTAAAATGAATGAACTATTTACCAGTAATGTTTGATATTGATTGAAAAATACTTAACTTGCTTTTGCGATTACTTTAGTAATTTGTCTTTCTATCTTGTATTGCATAAAATATTGTTAACTAGAAGCTATAAATTATTGTTGAAGAGAAACTAGAACCAACATTCTGAATATCACGTGTTTGTACTTTTTTACAGATATCTCCAAAGACACAAACAGCAGAAAGTAAGTTTTATGAAATAAAAACATTTATTCATTTATAAACATAGCATAATATTTATACTTGTGTTCAAATCATTAGGCAGTATCTATGTTTAGAATAGCCAAATTATTTATGCTATGATAATAACACATTTGTAAATCTGAGTATGAGACAGCAATGGGAATTAAGAGGACATACACTAAGAGGAAATAATGAATAACATGTTTAGGAAATAAATATAATGGAACCTAAATGTACATCAACATAAAGAACACAGAAATTACAGTTTTTTAAAGATTTATTTATTTTATCAGGTATGCCAATGTGGATGATTCGATCAAACTGAAAACAGAAAATGTAAATGAGAAAGGCACATTTAACGATGTTCAAACCTCAGAAAGTCAATATACAGAGCTTGATAAAAATCTGAAGGAATCAGAATCTGCATACGATGCTATTTCAACTATGTGAAATGACAACGTACACGTATCATTAAGTACACGTCGTATCCATGTGTTTGACAGTGAAAGCTGGACCTTAAGATATTAAGAGTACAGACATTGAATGAATATGACAAATATCGAGGATTTTTTTTTTCAAATTCCTTTATGCTTGCTATAAAAAATGTCTTGACATAAGCGTGTATTCAATGCTATTTTTTGTTGTTTTTTTTTAAACGAGGACGTAAATGTTACAGTAACAGCGCGTCAGATTCATGTTTGTGTTAAACTAAAGGTAGATCACCAACGTACATCAGTTGAATACATGTGTTATATATAATTAGTAAGGGTCTTTTATACTTGATAAGAAATCTGTTTTGTCATCTACATAGATAAAGTCTTAGCGAATGGCTTTCGGAACAGAATGTAGAATTTATTCGTAATGATTTCTTTTTGTTTTTAAAAATGAAATTGTTTTTTAACTTTAAATAAAAGCTACTTTAAAGCTGCATTTTATAAATATGTGAAGAAATTTCGGAGTAGGTCTAAAAACCAAGCATTCTACAGATTAATTTACCTTTTAAACAGTATTGTTGTAAATATTATCAAATAGTGTTCCGAAAACTCCACTGTAACACTCACGTTCGTATACGTATTTTAACATGCAAGTGAAGAGTATAGATAGATCTTGTATGCGCTCATGCAATTAACACATCACAGTGTTAAACATTAAAAACAGTTGTTGTTGTTATCTGGAACCCGGCAACTGACGGATTTTCCCATTTAATACGGATGTGCAAACCAACTGTTACGGTTATTCTTTCACGATGCACTCGGTCTGTCGTTCACAAAAAAGTGATCATCTTAATCTGTGTGAAAACATGCGTGGAAATATACCATAAGATTCAAAACGTTACTTAAAGCCATGTTTGTTCATTTTCTGTCAAAGACCGGATGACATGAAGGCGGAGTTTCTCATCGAAACATAAAATTGTATACTTTGTATGTTCGATACTGCCACAATGAGTTAGCAGGCATTTACGGTTATAAAACTTATTTTATAAATCATTTTATTTCTTGACACCAAAATAAGAACAAGACTCGATATGAAACCGATTTTTGTTAACGAAATGTAGCTATTTTAGTTTTTATGAATTATATAAAATGCAGCATTAATGTAGCTTAACTTTGTTTAATGTTTACTTAGATGATGCTTACAGGTCATCATTTTCGAAAAGGTTCTTCGTTTTGGGGGCGGAGGCCATCTAAAATCAGATTCAGACTTTCTATAAATCTTACAGGGAAGAATTTTCATTCTAAATTACAAATTGAAATCTGGGAATCGCATTGGCAATTCAAAAATAAAATGTAAAGGATCGTTCTTGCCATTCTAAATTAAAATTTTAAGGATAGTTTTAAAGTAAAGATTGTATAGGATAGTTCTTGTCCTTATATAATAAAATGTAAAGGATAGTTCATTTATTAATAAAATGTACAAGGTAGTTCTTTTTACTTTCTTGTAAAATTCCTGAGATACCATACTCCCTTAAACAAAATAATTTACGCTGTGTTTACACCTCATTACATGTTCTAGTGAATAGTTTATTTTACATAACGACTTTCAAAGTTTATTTAACACATTAACTTACTGAGTTATAATTTATATCCAAAATAACGAGACTGCCAATAACGTTCACGATCCAGTAAGTTAACTCATGCACATGAAAATATCGAAAAACTCACCAAAAATACGAACTTATCAGGTACTCTCAGATTATGATGTTCAATAAGTGTCCAATATAGTATAAAATCATAGCTTTAATTTGCATATATTTTTGCATGTTAATCAAGTATTTATGAATATAATTGCCCACCGACTGTGTAGATATTTTTCTTTTTTCATTATAGCTGTTTGCACTAAATTAGAGATCAAAACTTTTTAAGTAGTTTGTTAATAGTTTATTATTATTTATAATACTCCATATATGATTCTACAAATAATTCTGCCAATATTGCATATTGTTAAAAAATTTATCAACACAAGTAAAGTAATAGGGACACATAATAATACTATAAAATAAAAGTTGTCGTACTTTTAGGAGACATCAATATCAAAATGCTTATAATTTAATTTCTTTGTTTACAAAATATGCTTTTTAACATAGCAACTAGAAATGTGCCTGATATGCATGCCTTGCTAACATTTCATTTCGAAATCTTAGAAATAACATATGCAAGTTTAACAGTTTTACTTCGGTCGAGTTTCTTTTTTAAAGACATTTCTTGTTAATATTTTGTTCTTCATTTTTATCAAAGAATATGAAGCATGCTTTTAAACAATAGGTAACGACTTTGTTCGCTGTTTATACAATGAAAACGAAGAAAACAATATATATAATGACACTCTTTAAGAATTATTTATGTTCTTTATCAGTACAATATCCACTTGAGGCATCACTTTTATTACTTCTGCTTAAATCACATGTATATGTTTCCTGATATTGTATATTCTCCATTATATCACTATCCCGTGTTTCATTAAGAACACGTCGATATTGGCTTCTTGTGGTTAGATAATCTGGCTGTATACTTCTTCCCATTTGATCAAAATCTGTAAAAACAAATAAGTTTGAATTGTAAAAAAAAATACAGTGCTGTGTATAATTGAGAATAAAATCATGAATATAGATTTCATATTGTCAGTTCATTTTCACACTAAAAAAAAAGAAAACAAAATGTCTAAAAATGCCAAAAACAAAATACTGAAAATGACACAGGCTTGATACGATTGCGCTTGTTCATGGACGGAACCGAAAAGTGCAATTTATCGTCCACGCCCCTTAGCAGAATTCATCATTTAAACATGAAATGGTGAAACTTTGAGTTCAGAAACATTCGAAGATGTGTTCATACGATGGTTATCGGGACCTTCAATGTGACGCGCCATTACAGAAAAAGCGGCGTTATACGATATACAAATACATGTATAAAATTGACCTTTATAGTCGAAAAGAAAAGGTAATTAATCTGAGGTATATTATACAGATGAAATTCAGAACCTGGTTTGTCAATGTGATGGTTCCCTTCATAAAGTTTAGTTAAATTATCCTCTTCCGACTCAATGGTGCTGTATGAATTACTGTTATACGATATCTTTTGGCTTGATGTAGCCCTGAAATCTGAATTAATCTTTAATAATTAATAAAAATCTACGATTAGCGTTATTATTATTTAACCCATTTATCAGGTAAAGTAACTTTATGTTTTATAAAACATTAGAAAAACTTTAGGGAAAATGAACTTAATCAGCAACATTATGTGTGATTCATGTAGCGAAATGACACCATACTGGTGTAAAATACATATTTTCTTACAGACTTTTTTATTTCTTTTGCAATATAATTATGTAAATGCATATTTCTTTAAAAATAATCATACTAAGCAGGGTAGTAAAAAGGCATTATTGAGAATTAAAGTAATTTAAAACATAAACGTTTACGGATACTATTTTATCATGTTTTGTGCGCAACGATGAGAATTAATCAAGTTTATTATTTGTGAAGAAAATCACCAAAACATGTAATTGAGAATATTTTAGATGACCTTTTTCATAACAATTTAATATACAATTTTCAATTTATTTTAAAACAACATTATCTACTCACCAACTTGATCTGGATAGTTCTTCCCGAGTATCCAAAAAATCTTTTGTTTAGTCTCATGGTCTTGACAAACCGCATGCTCAAGTATTACCTCGCACATCTTTCTTCGGGTTAGCGAATTCTCTTTTTCTATCCTCTTACCTATATCGATACCAACTGTCTTACATTCGTCGATAACTAATGAAGGAGACATCTCATCAATAAGTGCTGCATAACTGCCAGTTGGTGATGATCCTTCAATACTATCAAAGTTGCCTTAAAATGGTAAAGACATGGTGAATCAATTTACTTGTATGGTATTGATACGTGTGTATAATAAAATATATAATTCAATTTAGATTTGTATACAGTTTCACCAAAGAATTAAGGGCGAAGAAACATAGAAAAGTCAGACAAAAATACAAAAACTTTAAATCTTATTTACTATTAAACAAACAGGCGAACATTTAGAAGCAAGAATAATGTATTACATAGACGCTTCAAAATGTCGGTTTGTTTTTCTTCTTTCAAAACCATTTCAAAGAATCGAACCGCTGGATCCCCTCTGCTCAAGATGAGTGACAGTAAAACATGCATTCTCTTTTTCCGCTTCTTTGATGCACCGTTTAACACGGAATCGATTTCAGACTTCTTGAATAGTTTAGGAACTTTTTTGTGATGTACAAAGGGCCAAATACTTAATTCCTCAGCCAAGAAGTCTATGTTTCTTTGCACTGCTTCTCGTTTTACATGGCCTGAAATATCATTTATGAAATGTCTCTCTGTATTGTTCTTTAAATTTCACTGGTTCAAATTCAATAAGATAATGCCAATTAATACAAAAAACTAGTTTAAAAAATGGACATTCTACTGCATAAAATATATTTGTTCCCTTGAATAAATGTGTCTTGCAATGTCATTATCAAAATGATCTATATGTAAGTCATTGTTAGGTCATTCATGCAAAACATTGAAATAGATTGTTGACGAGATTGGTTTTTCATTTAGCAAATTTAAATACATAAATACAGCAGTTAGATAGATTACCACATTTCTGCGGTTCTTCAATACTCTTTAGTGTTAATTCTTCAATTGTAACATTGAACCGCAGGCCTTTGTAGCATCCAAAATCGCCTACAGCTGGGTGAAGGAAAATCAACCGTAGCAGTGTGTCAACATCCACAGGGATATCACTTTTCTCTCGTAGCAGTGGACCACAATTTAGTAAGTATAGTACAACTGAACCAAAGTCAACAAGTTGTACTTGACAATTTGAAAACTTTCGAAGTTTTTGGTTTATTTCCTCGACAACTTCTAAAACTTGTAAGCTCTCCACAATATTTCTTTCAAATGCTGCATCTTGTGGATCTTTGGTTTGCAGTCTCATCTTGACATTGAAGAAGCCTTGTATAAAGACATTAAGCAGAGGTTCTATTAAACAAAATGTGGATTGGAAATGAAAGTAATCTATAAAAAAATATTTCTTAATGATTTTTCCATTCAATAGTTTTAACCCTTGGAATTTTGAAATTTACTTGTTTGAATTAAATCAGTCCAATTAATTGATTTTAGTTTGAAACATTTGATGGAGATAGTTATGGTTTTCAAAGGTTTTGCTGTATTCGTATTTGAATTTATAATTTTCACATTATTGCAAAACTTGAAGTTATTACCAACCAGTAGGATAAAGCATGCACGTGCAATTGAGATCTCGTCTCTTCATCTCGAAATGCTCTCTTATCTTCATATTGATATCTGCAAATTAGTTACTATATCTTTAATAAATGTAAATGGGTAAGTTTTGCGTATTGACAAGATTAAGCAACATTGATGGCATTGAAAAGTAAAGAAACGATGTTTTTCTTTTATTTTTTTACAAAAACACCTATTTAAAATCATTTAGAAATTATTGGGGATGGTATTTTATTAATTTCAATTAAAGAACTCAAACTCTGGAATAAATGATCAATAAATGCGAGTTTGAACAATAGAGAGAAAAAGAATTGGCACCATCTGGTCCTTTTTTCTTTACTGATAACTTCAGAAGCATACCATCTTGATTTTCTAAAGGTTTGACTGCATCTAATGCTTGAAGTATGTTTTGTTTATTTCCCATTTTCCTGTATGTAAGTCGCAATATTAGGAAACTTCGAGGTAAGTTTTCAAGAATCAGTCCAACCATTTCTTCAGCCTTTTTTCTTCTGTTTCTATGACTAATAACTGACTCGTATTCATCAATACTAAATACGCGATACTGTAAGAAGAAATCAGCAACTTTGTCGGGCTCCAAATCGTCACATAGGAGCTCTAGGTTCATTAAAATGCTTGTTTCCATGTCGTGTTCTGACTGGTGAGTGTCATCAAGATCTGTGTACGTAATTTTGATAATCTATGTTAAGACTTAGAAAATAGATTCGAAGTAAATTTATATATATTTATAAGAGCTACTTAATGGCATATGTATAATACTAATATATTGCTTTGATTTCAATTATATTGGATGATTTAAACAGTTATTATGTCTGTATGATCATGTCAAACATTATTAAGTATTTCCTTTTAGAGAAAAAGACCGATGAAACGGCAAAATTGAAACAGAATTCAGCATTTAGGCATGAAATGATGAGCAGATGATTGTCCATAAAAATACAATACCGATGATTTTGCTAAGCCTACCTTCACAAACAGAGGGAGCCATTTCCAGTTCGTAAGCAATATGTTCCTGTTCTGTTTGCCTGAGAAAGCGTAAGAAAATATCAAAGCTACCAGTTTTTAGGCGCAACAGCTTGCGCAAGAATATATCAACAGACTGTCGTCTCCTTCTTTGCTGGTGTAATATTTCCTCCATGTCATCTTCATCAAAATCACCATTTTGAAAAAACAGATCTACTAGCGGCTTTAAATAAATTTCTCTTTTCAGAAAACGAAAATGACTGCAAATACAAATGGTTTCTTCTATTTTCCAACTTGTTGCTGGTGTTAAAAGTTTAGAATCTTTGATATTTTTTATGTGTTTATTGTTGCTGTTTGTATCATTTTTGTCGTGAAATTCTTTTTGAGGTATTCCTGCTGCAATCCAACAAAAATTCTAGTTAACAAATGAACATGATCATATTTTGTATCACTTCACTGTTTGATTAAAAAATACCTGCAAGTGCGATTATTTATCTGTAAAAATACAATTTCAATTATTATGAGTAAATAAACAATGATAATAATGAAGAAGATTATTCCAATTATTAAACAATGAACAGCTTGGTTGTTTAGTTATAAATTAGATAATTTTACTTACAAGAGCTTTGGTATCCAGAATCTGAAGTTCAAAAAGACAATATTTCATTTTGTTTCAAGTTTGACAAAGTTTATAAGACACTTAGCTATCATTTTTGCATTAGATTTATCTGAAATAGTCAATGTGTTGCCAACAAACTTGCTGTTAATGAATGTTTGTGCCACTCTGCCGAAGGTAAAACATTGACAAGGGTGATAGAAAATTATTTTTGATACTAAGTTAATTGCGTGTTGAAATACAGTTTAAGTATTTAATGTAAAGCTACACAACTTAATGTCCATAAAATCCAGTATTAAGCATGAAGCAATAATGAGTGATACGGATCTAAAATTGTAAATTGTACCTACCTGTTGAGTTGCCAAGACTTGTGTCTGAAATTATAAAAAAAAATGGTCATTTTAAGAGATCTGTACAGTTAATGTAACAAAGCTTGATAAATTTCAAAATTTATTTTTTTTATTCTTTGTCTATTTATAGCTTCGTTTTATACTTGTTTAAGAACATTGATCATAGTTCATTTAAATATGTCTTTAAATAACTCAGATTCTCAAGTCAAAACCATCAATTGACATAGTTATCTACAATTATTATTGCCCTTACCATATGAATTATCCATTTTTATCCGTAAGTCTGAAATTATAAAGAGACAAAAAATGTATTTGAAACAATATTGGTATACTTTAAATAGAAACGTTTCAGTCTATATTAAATATAAATACAAATAGGCATCGCATATTTACGAAGTACATGTAAATGTAAATATTTACTTTATAAAGAATATCCATTACATTGTTGGAAAAGTAATATATTTTGTGAACCAGTCTAGCGACTTGAATACCAATGACTTTTGAAGAATAAGAAATTGCTATAGATCGTCTATATATTACCTATAAATAATATTCAAATTAGGTTCTGGCTGATTTTGGCTCCAAAATATACATAAGGCTAATGTGTTACATGTATATTGTTTTAAGCAATATCAGCTGAGGAAAAAGTTTACTTTGTTTTAATCTTTCTCTTGTTTTAACATTGATTTTATCCACTTTAGTAATGGAAAATATTAAATGAAATATTTACATGCTGTCTAGTAACATGGTTAATAAAAATAATTTGAATGCAAATTAAATTTGTTTCGCTTATTAAGCACGAGCTACCAAGAGTTTCATATTCATAAAATCTTTATCGTAATAGTCGTTATCTGTTTCAATGCCCGTATCTAATGTAGATTCACAATTTGGTATTACTTTGAATATATGAAGTTACAAGTCCGCTAACAAATCCTTACATATGTAAGCTAATAAATTTTACAAAATCATATCTACACAATTGGCGCTGATGATTACGTAATTATATAACATCATTACAGTCGACTCTCGTTATCTCGAAGTTATCGGGACCGTCCAAAAAATATCGAGATAACGAATTGTCGAGATAAACATATTAGGGTTTTAATAAGGCAGAAACTGATATTTACAAAGGACATGTGCAAACCTTATGTCAAAAATCTATGATAATCCCATGTCTTGCTTTCATAGGCCTAGTTAATTTTTAACAAAGTAACATTAGTGGTTGTTTACCAGCGGAAAAACGGGTGTCTGTGATACACACACATAGTGAGGTTTACTCAGTAATACACCGATTAGTGAAAACATTGTTTTCAGGGTGATTGATCCTGATATCCTCCCGGGTTATTTATCGGGTCTTTCTCGAGATTGTTCGACAGCTGCTTGATTTGGTGGTGATGTTGTGAAACAATATTGCAACGATAGCGTTTTTATACTGTCACTATTTCATTTAGATTTAAAGTCATAATGAATTGATACAGTGTTCGAACATTTATAAAGACAGTAAAATTCACTCATTTTGGACATAAGTCAATCGACACGCTAAGTAGATTAACTTTTATAAAAACAGCTAAACTTGTTACACACATAATCATCATTATGACACGCGCTATTGAGCAATTACCGCCTAGTTTGTGTTTTTCACACGTCTGAAGGGAACAGACGAAAGAAAACTATAAGTCGAAATAAACAAAGGATAATAGTGTGAAAATAACTTTTGGGGGCTGAAAATTTACATCGAGATACTGAAAATATCGAAATAAAAATATCGAGATAAATATATATTTCCAATATAGATAAAGAAGGAAGAAAATCGGGACTTTCAAAATTTCATCGAGAAAATGAAATATCGAGAAAAGCGATGTCGAGATAACGAGAGTCGACTGTATAATTAATATAATTAAAGTGCATGTATATAAAAAACAAGGAAACAACTTATATGAGTCAACAGTTTCATTTCTGAAAGACTTTCTTTTTAGACATCATGATTCCATTTACTGATCAAATATCTATCAAATCTAGCATTCAAAATTTACAACATTAACTTTTTGCCATAAAACAAATATAAGTATCAAACATGCTTTGTGCAATACGAAAATGTCAAAAATGATTATTGATGCATATCAATATTATTCGGATCTTCCTTGACATTTGATACTGTAAACGTGACTGCCATACCTGGGTTCGTAAGTACCCAGGCCTGCTAATTGTTATTAAGGATAGGTACACGGAAGTTGTAAATATATCCAAAAAAGAGAAGTCGATCTTTTCATTCTTCCTGAAAGTTCATACCAGATATAAAAGTAAAACTGTATATCATCATTATGCATGTATACTAACAGGTTTTCTGACTACACATTGTTGAGTAAGTCAACGATAAAAACATAATTCATTTTATTTTTTTGTTCAAATTGTTTGAGAATATATAACAAAGGGAAATAAAGCTGGTATTGCTCTCGGCTTTTGGGGAATAAAACTTGACAAAATCAACTTGAGCGATGCAATCCATCAAACAGCACATTCAGGCAAAGCACACGGCGGAAAATTCTCAAAATATCCCCGAAGCAAGACTTAGTATGTTTCCCTTAGTAAAGATCTTTACAATACTAATTTTTTTACCGACTTTGTATGAAATCTTTCTAGACCTTCTTTAACATTTAACATAATCATTTCCCAACTGAATTTTTATCGACTAAGTCAGTAGAAAATAGATCATGAAAAAAGTAAAATACTCCCCTTATAGCCGGAAATAACCAATGGAAGTTCTTCCTTTGTAGAGGGTTATGGTCTTTATTTGACGAAAAGCAAATCACATTCACAGAAAATAACCTGTTTAACATCAGTTTTATAATTTGAATTCCGACATACATTTTGTTTATATATTACATCTGTTCTCCAACCTGGTATTTTATATTTGCTTTCTTTATACTCATCTTAACATTCTACAAAACTTTGAACTTTAATAAGCTCGGTGTAGTGTTGCATGCAGAAATTGCTCATTGTTTTAGGAATTGTTTTAAAATGAATGCTGGGAATCAGAACTGCATCGCATTCTATAATTTGTAAACAAACGCCGCCATCTTTGATTTTTTTTTTTTTTTTTTTTTTTTTTTTTTTTTTTTTTTTGGTTGTTTATTACTCTTTTTATTGGAAATGACCGAAAAACAGATTTATGAATTAAATCGCTTCATAACTTTTCGCTTCATAAGGTATATGTTAGTAGCAGGACTACTATGTAAAACTAAAGTTAGAGCGGAGCGGGCAAAGTTCTTTAGATACGACGCCAGTTGTATTTTCATTGTAGGCTGTATGGAGTATTGGTTCCTATATCAAATTATGCATTTAGTATTCCCGTGTTTCGTCCAACAACTTTTCTTGTGTATGAATATTTAAGTATTATGAATGCGCACAAATGACCTTGTGAAAAACTTAAGTCTAAATATCAGAGCTTCACGAAAATTTAGAATAAAATAAAAATTATTCTATGGCTTCATTTTTCGATCGATTTTCGATTAACATATAGATATTCATATGAATACTAGAAATTTCGAAACAAAGTGTAATCAAACGCAAACTGGAGATAAAATAGTCTTAGATCTAAAGTATTTGCAGCTGTTCAATGTTTTACAAGTTCTGTTAAACGAACCATTTAGTTTGTCTGTAAAAAACATAGGGCCACGGCTATAGTTGAATGAAGTGGAAACTCATCGATGATTTTAATTTAAGATGATGTGCAATCACTCCAAAGGAACGACCGACAATTACTTGAGGGCCGCAAAAGAAGAAAGATTGCTGGCTGAATTTTGCGTTCCGATTGTGGCGTTATCTTAGATTATTTTTAGTTTATATTTGTAAATATTTATTGTTTAACACTTGATGAGTCCTATTAGGAAATATTATTATCACGGAAAAACGTAACAACATTGACATAAATAGTAGCCGTTGTGGAAAATGACGCGTATATTTCAAAATATTCTCAAAACTTGGGACTCCATTAACCTGAATAAAAAATAACTATTTTGCTACACATAATTTTCTTATATTCATTTTCTAAATGGTATTGTGGTTGCGCTGCAAAAACAAAAACAATTTTGTAATTACTTGTGAAGTGGATCCCCCCATTCATCATACTTGGATGCTTTTTTTATAAATTACGGTTTTAAATTAGTCTAGAAAAATAAACTATAGTTATAACTTATGTTGTTGCGCCTATTTTATTGTATTCATTTTCTTACTAGCCGGTGAAATTAAATTCGGTATTTGAAATACAGTATTAAAAAGAAAAAGAGTAATAAACAAAATTATACCCTTTTCATTCAAAAATGGCGTCGTTTGTTTAAAAATTGTAGGCTACGACGCAGTTCTGATTCCTAGTCCTATGTTCAGCGTAATACATTTTTATGGGTTTTTCCATCATGATTTATTAGCTTATAAATATCTTACCTCCGTCATCCATTTGATCATATGACTTTCTTTTTTTTAAAATGTTTACCCATAAACTATCTGGTAACTGAAAAAAACAAATTACACGTTTAATTTTTACTTGAAACATTTGCATAACTAACCTGAAAGATCATATTTCATATTCTTTTCCATTCGTATTCTGTGTATTTCTCATTCACAAAAATGATATGAGCCTTTAACGGGGAAATATTTCACTTTGAAATACCTTAGTTGGGAAAAACCTTAAATTGTAAAGCTAATGTATTCACACACATACAAATAATACAAAACATATATACAATACTGCTTAGTTGTGTTTTTATGATCTTATCGAGATTGTTTATTTTAACAGATCCGAGTCTAAGTGGAAATATGTATGCCTCGTCTTTAAAGAAATAATCGTCTCTGGTAAATTAATATTAATTTTACAGTTCGTCGCATGAATATAATAACGAGCTTATCCCATTTTTACCATTTTAAGAAACACGTCTTAAAATATCCAAAAACGATTGTATCTGTTGTCCTTGGTCCATTTGAAAGAAAAATGCGTATGATTATTGGTAGAAAAAAATGAAATGAAACATTAAAGATTAGTGTACTATTTGATTGAAAAAAGGTGTTAATGGGGGAGGGGCTCAAATAGCAATTTATGAAAAGGATATGAGGAGGTTGCTCTCTCAATACGAATCTAACGGCATGTTCAAAATGGTAGTCAGAGCACTATATGATTAACCTTTTACCCCATGAGCATATTGCGAAAAATGGCCGTTTTCATTGAAAAGCCTCCTGTAACAAGTTCAAACTGTTATGAAACTATGAAAAATGCTTCAATACTGATGAAACTTGGCACAAATATTGACTACACCATAGCCTCTGTAACAGCATGCTCAATCGTAAATTTTCTGTTACCATGACAACGGGGGGGACGTCTCAAAATTGCCAAAAATCACTATTTTGCATGTTCTTTTTTCAATCAAAACTAATTTCAAAGTGCTGCAACTTCTCAATGAATTGAGATAGAGTAAAAGGCTTTTCAGCGTCGGTTTACTAGTTACCCTAAGATCGACCTGAGGCCATTTTTAGCCTGTTACATGTCCAAAATTTTTTTGGCGATGAGGGGGACTCCGCCCCCTTCAAACCCCCAAACAGAAGGGGCACATCCCCCTTCTGGCAACCCCCTGATGTAACATTTGGATGGGGGGCGGCGCCGAAAAAGTGGTCACTTTTTTTAACAACATTTCTCAAACGAAAACAAGTGTTTGGGGCCTAAATAGGGCATTTTTTTCACTGTTTGAGGCCTCAAAAGGGGGGGGGTAAAAAGCCGTCGAAACACGCTTGTATGAGGGAAAAGGTTAAGACGAGGAGGCCTCATTTGGCGGTCATTACTAAGTCAGTATCTGGTAGAAATATGTTATTATTCTTTTGCAGTTGCATTTCTTCGATACACAAAACTTAAAATTTTACATAAGTCGTGGGAATATTTCTTTACTAATTAGTGTTTAGTAATTAATTCAAAGTAACGAAAGCGATAAAGTATTTACGCAGCTCGTGATTATCAAAATCCTGTTGAAGAGTCTTTTGGGTATTATATTGGTAACGTCAATGTATCGACACAACGGTGAATCAAACATTACAGCAGATTCTAGATCACGTGATATATAACATATGATATATGAACATCTCCCTTGTTGTTGTTGTTTTTTTTTTGTTTTTTTTTTTTTGTTTTTTTGTTGTTTTGCTGTTGCTGTTGTTTCTTTAGCTTTTTATCCATTGGACGACTAGGTAATTTAAATTTAAATTTAAACGCATTTAAGGGGTCAGATTAAATCAAACCGGTGTTTTTATCATTGTCTCATTGTATAAATTATAAAACAAACTGTTTAAATTGTATACATGTACAAATACGATTTTACACGGGTCGTTCCAATGCAATAGCGGTGTTAATATAGAACTCAACATGAATCTTTATAATTTCTAACTTCGATCTCTCCTCATATGCTGAATCAAAACTTCCCTTAAAATCCATCCATAAGTGACAAAGTTTTGTACTGGACAAAGTTCGGACAGCTTCCAGAGCACGTGATATATAACATAAACATAAAAAATAAGTGTTATAATGCATGTAAATGTGTGTTTATACAAAACATACACTACTATTTCAGTTATTTATAGTTAGTTTATACGCCAACGTTAACCCATTTTAGGGGTCATATTTAATCAAATCGGTGTCATTGTATAAATTATAAAAACTGTTTAAATTTTATACAAATACGAGTCATTTCAATGCGGCATAGATGTTAATATTGTACTCAACATGTTTTAATTATATGAATCTTTAAGTTGTAGAATGATAAATTCTACCATCGATATATACAACTCTTCGTATGAATTAAAATTTCCCTCAAAACAATGTAACATTGATTGATTTGTTAATATGGTACAATGATCTACTTGTTAATGACGGCGATTTTCATAAAATATTCATTTAAGAAGATAAATATGTTTTACGCAATTTTTTTAGCAACATTTCTCAAACGAAAACATGTGTTTGGGGCCCAAATAGGACATTTTTTCACTATTTGAGGTCTAAAAAGGGGGGGGTCGAAAGTGCGTTGTTTCGCGTATATATGAGGTAAAGGCTTAAATATCCAATAACGATTGTATCTGTTGTCCTTGGTCCATTTGAAAGAAAAATGCGTAGGATTATTGGTAGAAAATAATGTAATGAAACATTAAATGTATGATGAGTGTACTATTGATTTATTTAATATGTTACTTTGGAGCTATCTTTGTTACATGTTTCTCGCTATTATAGTGAATATACATGTACTCCCATAATCTTAATCTGCTATCAGTCTAAAACGAAAGGGAGAGAATCATTCCGGGCAAAAAGATGATTTTATTGAACTTCCGTCTAATACTCATTTTTGTAGGGGATATCTCAGTTTTATATTGTAAGTAAATGGAAATGTCACATGACATATTGCTGTTTCTCGATTAGATGAATTTAACCTTTAGCCTTACACATATTTAACTTCAGGACAGACCACGGCCAAAGGTTTACAACCTTTTGCAAAACACGAAAATGAGGCAAAATTTGATTGAAAAAAAGGTTTTAATGGGGGAGGGGCTCAAATAGCAATTTATGAAAAGGATATGAGGAGGTTGCTCTCTCAATACGAATCTAACGGCATGTTCAAAATGGTAGTCAGAGCACTATATGAATAACCTTTTACCCCATGAGCACATTGCGAAAAATGGCCGTTTTCATTGAAAAGCCTCCTGTAACAAGTTCAAACTGTTATGAAACTATGAAAAATGCTTCAATACTGATGAAACTTGGCACAAATGTTGACTACACCATAGCTTCTGTAACAGCATGCTCAATCGTAAATTTCCTGTTACCATGGCAACGGGGGGGACGTCTCAAAATTGCCAAAAATCACTATTTTGCATTGTTTTTTTTCCATCATGTCGTGTATAAACGTTTGTATAGTTTTATTCATTCATTTGGGGTGTGTCTTGCATACATCAGCACATCTACCATGTTTAGTAGTATAGTCCTAATAAGGGATTTGTGTGTGAACATTCTCCTTTATGACCAACTACAAGGCATTTTGGCAAAGCACACGACGGAAAATTCTAAATATCCCCGAAGCAAGACTTAGTATGTTTCCCTTAGTAAAGATTTTTACAATACTAATTTTTTTTACCGACTTTGTATGAAATCTTTCTAGACCTTCTTTAACATTTAACATAATCATTTCCCAACTGAATTTTTATCGACTAAGTCAGTAGAAAATAAATCATGAAAAATGTAAAATACTCCCCTTATAGCCGGAAATAACCAATGGGGGTTCTTCCTTTGTAGAGGGTTATGGTCTTTATTTGACGAAAAGCAAATCACATTCACAGAAAATAACCTGTTTAACATCAGTTTTATAATTTGAATTCCGACAAACTTTAATAAGCTCGGTGTAGTGTTGCATGCAGAAATTGCTCATTGTTTTAGGAATTGTTTTAAAATGAATGCTGGGAATCAGAACTGCATCGTATTCTATAATATGTAAGCAAACGCCGCCATCTTTGATTTTTTTTTTTTTTTTTTTTTTTTGGTTGTTTATTACTCTTTTTATTGGAAATGACCGAAAAACAGATTTATGAATTAAATCGCTTCATAACTTTTCGCTTCATAAGGTATATTTTAGTAGCAGGACTACTATGTAAAACAAAAGTTAGAGCGAAGCGGGCAAAGTTCTTTAGATACGACGCAGTTGTATTTTCATTGTAGGCTGTATGGAGTATTGGTTCCTATATCAAATTATGCATTTAGTATTCCCGTGTTTCGTCCAACAACTTTTCTTGTGTATGAATATTTGAGTATTATGAATGCGCACAAATGGCTTTGTGAAAAACTTAAGTCTAAATATCAGAGCTTCACGAAAATTTAGAATAAAATAAAAATTCTTCTATGGCTTCATTTTTCAATCGATTTACGATTAACATATAGATATTCATATGAATACTAGAAATTTCGAAACAAAGTGTAATCAAACGCAAACTGGAGATAAAATAGTCTTAGATCTAAAGTATTTGCAGCTGTTCAATGTTTTACAAGTTCTGTTAAACGAACATTTAGTTTGTATGTAAAAACATAGGGCCACGGCTATAGTTGAATGAAGTGGAAACTCATCGATGATTTTAATTTAAGATGATGTGCAATCACTCCAAAGGAACGACCGACAATTACTTGATGGCCGCAAAAGAAGAAAGATTGCTGGCTGAATTTTGCGTTCCGATTGTGGCGTTATCTTAGATTATTTTTAGTTTATATTATTAGTTTATTGTTTAACACTTGATGAGTCCTATTAGGAAATATTATTATCTCGGAAAAACGTAACAACATTGACATAAATAGTAGCCGTTGTGGAAAATGACGCGTATATTTCAAAATATTCTCAAAACTTGGGACTCCATTAACCTGAATAAAAAATAACTATTTTGCTGCACATAATTTTTTTTTATATTCATTTTCTAAATGGTATTGTGGTTGCGCTGCAAAAACAAAAACAATTTTGTAATTACTTGTGAAGTGGATCCCCCCATTCATCATACTTGGATGCTTTTTTTATAAATTACGGTTTTAAATTAGTCTAGAAAAATAAACTATAGTTATAACTTCTGTTGTTGCGCCTATTTTATTGTATTCATTTTCTTACTAGCCGGTGAAATTAAATTCGGTATTTGAAATACAGTATTAAAAAGAAAAAGAGTAATAAACAAAATTATACCTTTTTCATTCAAAGATGGTGTCGTTTGTTTAAAAATTGTAGGCTACGACGCAGTCCTATGTTTAGTGTAATACATTTTTATGGGTTTTTCCATCATGATTTGTTAGCTTATAAATATCTTACCTCCGTCATCCATTTGATCATATGACTTTCTTTTTTTTAAAATGTTTACCCATAAACTATCTGGTAACTGAAAAAAACAAATTACACGTTTAATTTTTACTTGAAACATTTGCATAACTAACCTGAAAGATCATATTTCATATTCTTTTCCATTCGTATTCTGTGTATTTCTCATTCACAAAAATGATATGAGCCTTTAACGGGGAATATTTCACTTTGAAATACCTTAGTTGGGAAAAACCTTAAATTGTAAAGCTAATGTATTCACACACATACAAATAATACAAAACATATATACAATACTGCTTAGTTGTGTTTTTATGATCTTATCGAGATAGTTTATTTTAACAGATCCGAGTCTAAGTGGAAATATGCCTCGTCTTTAAAGAAATAATCGGCTCTGGTAAATTAATATTAATTTTACAGTTCGTCGCATGAATATAATAACGAGCTTATCCCATTTTTACCATTTTAAGAAACACGTCTTAAAATATCCAAAAACGATTGTATCTGTTGTCCTTGGTCCATTTGAAAGAAAAATGCGTAGGATTATTGGTAGAAAAAAATGTAATGAAACATTAAATGTATGATTAGTGTACGATTGATTTATATAAGATGTTACTTTGGAGCTCTCTTTGTTACATGTTCCTCGCTATTATAGTAAATATACATGTACTCCCATAATCTTAATCTGCTATCAGTCTAAAACGAAAGGGAGAGAAACATTCCGGGTAAAAAGATGATTTTATTGAACTCAATCTTGTAGGGGATATCTCAGTTTTATATAGTAAGTAAATGGAAATGTCACATGACATATTGCTGTTTCTCGATTAGATGAATTTAACCTTAGCCTTACACATATTTAACTTCAGGACAGACCACGGCCAAAGGTTTACAACCTTTTGCAAAACACGAAAATGAGGCAAAATTTGATTGAAAAAAAGGTTTTAATGGGGGAGAGGCTCAAATAGCAATTTATGAAAAGGATATTAGGAGGTTGCTCTCTCAATACGAATCTAACGGCATGTTCAAAATGGTAGTCAGAGCACTATATGATTAACCTTTTACCCCATGAGCATATTGCGAAAAATGGCCGTTTTCATTGAAAAGCCTCCTGTAACAAGTTCAAACTGTTATGAAACTATGAAAAATGCTTCAATACTGATGAAACTTGGCACAAATATTGACTACACCATAGCCTCTGTAACAGCATGCTCAATGGTAAATTTCCTGTTACCATGGCAACGGGGGGCGTCTCAAAATTGCCAAAAATCACTATTTTGCACTGTTCTTTTTTCAATCAAAACTGATTTCAAAGTGCTGCAACTTCTCAATGAATTGAGATAGAGTAAAAGGCTTTTCAGCGTCGGTTACTTGTTACCCTAAGATCGACCTGAGACCATTTTTAGTCTGTCACATGTCCAAAATTTTCTTGGCGATGAGGGGGACTCCGCCCCCTTCAAACCCCCAAACAGAAGGGGGCACATCCCCCTTCTGGCAACCCCCTGATGTAACATTTGGATGGGGGACGGCGCCGAAAAAGTGGTCACTTTTTTAACAACATTTTCAAACGAAAACCAATGTTTGGGGCCTAAATAGGGCATTTTTTCACTGTTTGAGGCCTTAAAAAGGGGAGGGGCAAAAAGCCGTCGAAACACGCTTGTATGAGGGAAAAGGTTAAGACGAGGAGGCCTCATTGGGCGGTCATTACTTAGTCAGTATCTGGTAGAAATTTGTTATTATTCTTCGCATTTCTTCGATACACAAAACTTAAAATTTTACATAAGTCGTAGGAATATTTCTTTACTAATTAGTGTTTAGAAATTAATTCAAAGTAACGAAAGCGGTAAAGTATTTACGCAGCTCGTGATTATCAAAATCCTGTTGAAGAGTCCTTTGGCCGGCTTTGGGTATTATATTGGTAACGTCAATGTATCGACACAACGGTGAATCAAACATTACAGCAGATTCTAGATCACGTGATATATAACATATGATATATGAACATCTCCCTTGTTGTTGTTTTTTTTTTTTTTTTTTTTGTTTTTTTTTTTGATGTTGCTGTTGCTGTTGTTTCTTTAGCTTTTTGTCCATTGGGCGACTAGGTAATACGCCAAGGTAAACGCATTTAAGGGGTCACCGGTGTTTTTATCATTGTGTCATTGTATAAATTATAAAACAAACTGTTTAAATTGTATACATGTACAAATACGATTTTACACGGGTCGTTCCAATGCAGTACCGGTGTTAATATAGAACTCAACATGAATCTTTATAATTTGTAACTTCGATCGCTCCTCTTATGCTGAATCAAAATTTCCCTTAAAATCCATCCAAAAGTGACAAAGTTTTGTACTGGACAAAGTTCAGACAGCTTCCAGAGCACGTGATATATAACATATCGTGATATGTATCGTGACAGAAAAAAATGGCAATGCACAGCCCTAATAAACATAAAAATAATTGTTATAATGCATGTAAATGTGTGTTTATACAAAACATACACTACTATTTCAGTTATTTATAGTTAGTTTATACAGGTAATACGCCAACGTTCACCCATTTTAGGGGTCATATTAAATCAAATCGGTGTCATTGTATAAATTATAAAAACTGTTTAAATTTTATACAAATACGAGTCATTTAAATGCGGCATATATGTTAATATTGACCTCAACATGTTTTAATTATATGAATCTTTAACTTGTAGAATGATAAATTCTACCAACGATATATACAACTCTTTGTATGAATTAAAATTTCCCTCAAAACAATGTAACAGTGATTGATTTGTTAATATGTTACAATGATTTACTTGTTAATGATGGCGATTTTCATAAAATTTTCATTTAAGAAGATAAATATGTTTTACGTAAACCTGATATTTTCAGTCAGTCAAGTTGAATGAATTATATTATATAGATTTATATTCATTTCTTCTTCTTTTTTTTCTTTTTCTTTTCTTAGAAAAATATTACATTTCTAATTTGATTATCTGTACTTTTCTTTTTGTATATTATTTCTAATCTTTCTTACTTTGAAATAATAAAAAATAGCGACTGGTTTTTTTTTAATCATATAAATATATAAATGTATATTTCTTTCCATTAATTTATAGTATTTGTACTGTGTAGTTAGTTATTATTTATTATTGGATATAATTTTATGATTAGTATGATATTTTATCGTGTTATTATAAATGTTTTACTAGTCTCTTATAATTCAATGATTGAATGGTCATGTACTTTTTTGTGTTTTATGTTTGCTTATGAATTTTATTTGTGTATGTACATGAATGAGACTTAATTAAATAAATAAATAAATAATAATCCATTATATGTTACAAATAATTTACCTTTATCTTTCAATATCAAATATTCCATTAAATAGCACTAGTACTTCAGTGTTTCCCAAAATATTCCTAAATGCAATGTAATTACATATATTTTATATCTTTATATGTAATATAATACATTTTTTCGGCGCTTCCTTGTTTGTTTGATAATAGATCTTACATTTTATCGCTATAGTGTATAATTGCACATTCCCTGAATGTAGTCGCGTAAAATGGGGGTTTAACTTTTTTATACACATGTCAAAAAGGACGTTTTCTTTGCGATTTTTTAAACTGTAAATATTTCAGTTCCTAACACCAGTATACTTTTATAGAATATAGCGAAATGTTCGTTTGTCTGCTATTGAAATGCTCATTTTTTATATTTCATTTGAAGTTCCGATTTTGATGTAAATTAGCAAGTGTAATTACTTGGAAGAAAATTGCGAACCTGGTTAGTTTAATTATTTTTAAATAGACGTGATACATACTAATGGACAGGATTCAGACAACTACAGAATTATGTAAATTAAACATAAGCGAAGAACCATTTTTTCAGTCGTCTAGCTATTGTTCTCGTCCCCCCTACAACGCGTTGCGGTATTCAAGATACGCGCTTGATTGAAAATCTATCTAATCTAATCACTTCATTGCTCTTTTTCCCTTAAAAAGAATATAAAATACGACAGTATATTATGGCAATTACATAATTATATAAATCTTTGTGTGTTAGAATTTATAAAGCGGTTACTGACATTTCACTTCAAATGATTTTGATTATTTTAAATAATGGGTTGCTAGTAAAATTGCCTTTTTGACACCAATTTTGTTCTCATTTATCATTTTAATGATAAAATTTAGCTATTGATCAGTAAGTAAATAAGAATAATCAAATTTTTATAATAATCGAGTACATTTCACGCTAATTGTTAGACGGACCCTAAATGACGTCAGTATGGGCGCCGCCATTTTGAAATGGACGTCACGTCAGGTTACAACGTAAGTCAACGGAGAAAAATATAATTTTAACATTTTTACCATATTACTGACTTTATGGAAAAAATGAAAAACATGCCTAGAGATATTGGCGTCAGGGTTAACATGACACTAATTTAAATGATTTTACTATTATATTTAATATTATAAAATGGAATATTCAAATTTGGTGGGAAAGACTATTGAATAATTTAAGGTTTAAATTCATGAAATGTGTGTAAGCTATCGATGACAATAAAATAGTCTCTTATAAATCTGTTTAGAACCACCATATATTTTGTTTTAATATATGGGGTCATTTTTCAATGATTTCAAAACATTTAATGTTACACTGGCACTCCCATGCAATCTGATCCAGGATGTTTGATCTTCCTCCAGTACATCTTAAAAAGATGAATGGCTTAATTTTTTTAAAGTACCTTTAAGGTAGACCATGGGTAATGGGCACCATAAAGAACTGTAAAATTGACAACATAGGACAGTTATATGTCTTCAAGGTCACCTGTATGCAAAATTTAAATAAAATTTACCGTGTGGTTTATGAGTTATGGATATATTTCTGAACTAAGACCTTGCCATTTGAAGGGCTTATTTTCAGAAATGAGGAAACTGTAAATAATCTGTAATATCATCATTATAAAAAATGTTTTTCTATTGCTCATTGTTAAGAAACAAATAATAACATTCAGGTAACACATCACACAAACAAAATGTTTGTTTCTAAACAAAATGTTCTTAATATGTATAAAAATGTTTCCCTACCCCACCCACTTTTAACACTAATTTTACCATTTCCCTATCTAAAATGCCTTATTCAAAATATCCCTAAAATTTACCGAAATGAGGGTCTGTTTTCAAACTTTGCCTAAATTTTTTCAAAGGTATATTAGTTGATCATGCGAAATATAAAATACTTTTACCGTGTAGTTTTTATTTTATCGAACTTTGAAAATATCTGGTATCATATTTGTTATAAATTTTGGCATTATTTAACAAAAAAAATACCTAAAATAATTATATAATTAAAATCAAACTTTTTTCTTCCATAAGGGATCAGAGAGATACATAAATAATGTTAAAAAGAAAAAAAGAAAGAAAAAAAAAGTTGCCCCTTCTGGGGTTTGAACCGACGCCCCTCAATTTCAATGTAGTTTACAAGCGATTCTAGCCTATTTGAATACCCTTCAAAGTGGAGGTAATGCATTACCCATGGTCTACCTTAATATATAATCGAGGTAATGGTTAATCAAACAACGTATTCATTTTCCGTCTATTTGCTGACTTTGCCTTTTGATAATTCGATAGAAGGGTTTACAATTGTCCTACCTGTAGGTTTTATGGGATGTAAAAATTACCATCCTCGTCTATGTGTACGTAAAAACTTTTGTTAAACAGGGCTCCAACTAAATTTCCTCAAAACGAACACTGAATTGTTGTGAGGCCTCCAACAAATTGCATGATGATATAATAAGTGTTTTGGCTTCCTTCTGAAAAACATATAACAAGAATGTTTTGCGTTCCTTCTTTTAAATTATTAATTTAGGTGAATTAGATGTTATGTGGTCTCAGACCATGTCCTAAGTTTATTAACTAACTCTTTTAAAAAATAGGAAACAATATGTTAAAAAAAGTTCTTTCAAAGGTATTTATAAAGGGGTTCCTCAAGGTTCTCTCCTAGACCCTGTATTATTTAACATATTTATCAATGATGTATTTTATTTTGTTCACAAATGTGATCTTTATAATTATTCAGATGACAACACTCTATCATGCAGTGATAGAAACATTGACAATATTGTTGAATTATAGAGTCTGAAAGTCAGTCATTTATAAAATGGTTTTCGGACAATCATATGAAAGCAAACCCCGACAAATTCCAGGCTGATCAAAATATAAGTTTCAATTTGAATGGTAGTACAATCCCATTTGATGAATCTGTTAAAGTTGTAGGGGTAACTTTTGACCTTTAAACCTTCAAATTTGATAAACATATTTCTGACATTTGTAAAAAAAAAGCCTTTTAAAAAACAACTCAACGTGCTAAAGAGAATAGGTAAAATTTTATGTAAATTAGGAAAATTAAACATAATTACATTTATACTAGCAAACTTTAATAACTGCCCCCTAACCTGGCACTTCTGCGGAGAAAAGTACAAAAAAAGTTAAAACTACAGAAAATTCAAGAAAGAGGACGACGATTCATTTATAATGATTTGTTTCTAAAATAGTTCATTTTTACAAAGTGTTGTTTATAACTAATCAAAAACTTTAACGGTACCCTTTCCATCTGAAGAAAACTTAAATCAAAAGCTTATTTTCATTCAAAAGACAATAAGTATTTTGATACAAATCGCCGATCGCTGGTAGTTTTAACTCCTTTGGAGTTTATTTTATTCTTTGGGGCAATAGTTAAAAAAAATCCGGATAGAACGCGGAATTTTCAAAATATTTTCATATATTTATTGGGTTATTATCAAATTGAAAAATTATATTAATTAAATGATAAATAAATCTGAAAGAAATTAAAGAGTAGGTTTCTTGTGTTAATTATCTGTTATAGTAACATGTATACACATTAGATAGAACATATTTAATTGTCACACATTTTCGCGACAAGTTATGCTGAATTTTAAATTTTTGATAGAAATTACTCTTTATGACCGAATTAACTAGTATATTTACTAGCAACATGACGTTAATAAGTTATTTTCATGCAAGTTTTTAGGCAGGTCACATATTGTATATTCTTTACAAAATAGGAAATATGATTATGATGACGTGTTTCAACAAGTTTGTGTTTCTCTTTTTAATTCTATGTAATTTAATTGTCAAGGTTCAGAGAATCCGGGTCAGCTCGGCCCTAAAACATACTCGGCCCCCGAGTCAGCTCGGCCCTATTCCAACTCGGCACGGGTCAACTCGGCCCACTTTTAACAATGGGTAAAGGACATCAAAGGACTCCTATTGTCATGGGCTATTATTATTTATTATCAATCAATGTGTATGTTAAATATACCGATTAATTATTATTAATGATAATTATGATTGACTTATTCATTCAAATTTGATTAGTGACCACCTGCAATTAATTAGAAAAAATATGAAGTAATTTTATCAATCTGTTCATATTTTTTCTTCCCAGGTTCGATAATCGTGCCTGTGTCTATATTAATTTTATAGAATCTGCAAGACAAATAAATAACTTTTTTTTTCTAAATATACTTTATTTCAGCAGAGGTACAATGTACAATTATATAATAATAATAAGATATTTCTTATTATTCATTTACCTTAACAACATGCAAAGCAAAGTAAATACGTTATAGGCCTATATATTTTTGTAAAGTGGGCCGAGTTGACCCGTGCCGAGTTGACTCTTTTCCGGTTCAGAACTTTTAACTATTTTAGGGGAGATGATGTGTAAGTGGCTGGATAGCTCAATTGGTAAAGCTTTGTATGGCATTATGAGGGTCACGGGTTCAAGTCCTGTCAGGCTGCACATTTTTCTCGCCCTGTTACATTTGGCGCCCAACAGGGGATCGTGGCTGAATATTGCACAGAGATAAATTTACATTGCTCTGTAACACAGGGGTGTGTTAGTGAAAGGTGTGAGAAAAAGTAAAAACCTGAAAATGAACATGATCAGGACAGTAAGAGACATTGAAACTTCAAGTCATTGTTAAAATGTTTTTATTAGTAAGGGTGAAAGAAAGATTTAAAAGTAAAAACACAACAAGTCAACTAATACTGTATCTTAACCACTACCTGTTTGTATTGATCTAGATCAGACAGGGTGACAATGTTCATTGGGAGTTAATTCCAAAGTGTGAAACAGGGGGAGGGGGGAAAGATGAGAACTTATGGTAGTCTGATGTAACCTGTATTTTCCTTAGAGAGAGGGGATGCATATGTCTAGTAAGCCTAGATGGAGTTTTAATGTAGGTGGGAAGGCTAAAAGCTACTAGATTATGGTAAATTTAAAAAAACATAATAAGTCTGAAGTCTCTTAGAACTTTGCGATGCTCGAGAGAACACCAGCCAAGATCTTTCTGCATGTCTGAAACTGAAGACAAGGGGGAGTAACCCTGTTTTATCCAGCGTATTGCTCGTCTTTGGACCATCTCTATTTTTATGCTCCCCGAAAAATTTCGGGGGAGCATATAGTCGACGCCTTGTCCGTCTGTCTGTCCGTCCGAGCAAACATTTTGGGTTTAGAGGCTATATAACAGTAAAGAGAACAATAGGTTCATTCCGTGATCAAAGGGTTTATGGGCTAGTAGCCCTTAAGAAAACAAAGAAAATAACAATGAAAATAGCCCCTTAACCCTAAATGTTGGAACGTCCGTCCGTTGTCTTGTCCGGAGCATAACATGAAAACCCTTGGAGATAATTTGTTGAAACTTCATACAGTGGTAGAGGGCATTGAGGGGGAGTGCAGTGTCAAAAAACCATAACTCTATTTTGCCCGGTTTTTAGCTCGACTATTCGACAAGAATAAGTAGAGCTATTGCAGTCACCCGAGCGTCGGCGTCGGCGTAACCACTTATGTTAAAGTTTTTGTAATAGTTCAAATATTTTCAAAGTCCATAGACATATGGCTTTGAAACTTTGCACACTTGTTCACCATCATGACCCCAACCTGTAGACAGGAGGAGGTAACTCTATCAAGCATTTTGACAGAATTATGCCCCTTTTTCGACTTAGAATTTACGTTAAAGTTTTTGTAATAGTTCAAATATTTTCAAAGTCCATTGACATATGGCTTTGAAACTTTGCACACTTGTCCAACATCATGATCCCAACCTGTAAACAGGAGGAGGTAACTCTATCAAGCATTTTGACAGAATTATGCCCCTTTTTCGACTTAGAATTTACGTTAAAGTTTTTGTAATAGTTCAAATATTTTCAAAGTCCATTGACATTGGCTTTGAAACTTTGCACACTTGTTCACCATCATGACCCCAACCTGTAGACAGGAGGAGGTAACTCTATCAAGCATTTTGACAGAATTATGCCCCTTTTTCGACTTAGAATTTACGTTAAAGTTTTTGTAATAGTTCAAATATTTTCAAAGTCCATTGACATATGGCTTTGAAACTTGGCACACTTGTTCACCATCATGACCCCAACCTGTAGACAGGAGGAGATAACTGTATCAAGCATTTTAACAGAATTATGCCCCTTTTTCGACTTAGAATTTACGTTAAAGTTTTTGTAATACCTCAAATATTTTCAAGGTCCATTGACATTTGGCTTTGAAACTTTGCACACTTGTTCACCATCATGACCTTAACCTGTAAACAGGAGGAGGTAACTCTATCAAGCATATTTTTACTATCAAGCACTAAGAATATATTCGAGCGTTGCTGTCCTACCGACAGCTCTTGTTGAATAATCTCCCCTTATAGAAAAATCTTGTCCGTGGCATAACTCTAAAACTATAAGAGATATCAAGATGAAACATTGTAGGTGAATAGATCTCAATGGGTAGATGTGCAGTGCATAAGAACAATAACTCTTTTTGTCCTATTTGTGGAGTTATTGCTCTTTGTTAATTTTAACACTTTGAACTTTGTCCGGAACATAACTCTAAAACTATAAGAGATATCAAGATGAATCATTGTAGGTGAATAGATCTCAATGGGTAGATGTGCAGTGCATAAGAACAATAACACTTTTTGTCCTAATTGTGGAGTTATTGCCCTTTGTTAATTTTAACACTTTGAACTTTGTCCGGAACATAACTCTAAAACTATAAGAGATATCAAGATGAAAAATTGTAGGTAGATAGATCTCATTGAGTAGAGGTGCAGTGCAAAAGAACCATAACTCTGTTAAGCCTCATTTTTGAATTATCTCCCCTTTTAGAAAAATCTTGTCCAGGACATAGCAGTAAAACTATAAGAGATATCAACATGAAACTTTGTAGGTAGATATATCTCAATGGGTAGATGTGCAGTGCACAAGAATCATAACTCTGCCTAGCCTAATTCTGGAGTTATTGCCCTTTGTTTATTTTTACTTTTTGAAGTTGTCCGGGACATAACTGATTAACTCGGAAATTATAAGAGATATCAAGAAACTTTGTTGGTTGATAGATCACATTGATTAGAAGTGCAGTGCAAAGAACAGTAACTCTGCCTTGCCGAATTTTGGAATTATTGCACTTTGAACTTTTTCAAGGGACATAACTCTGAAACTACAAGAGGTGTACTTTCCTGTGTCCAAAACCTATTCGGGGAGCATCACCCGGCTCAAACTGGGCTCTTGTTTTTGGATGTTTGACTGTTGAAAATGCTTTTCCATTTGCCCTGCTTACGTTCCCTTATGAGTGAATCTATTATTTTCTGGTCTAGGTATTAAACAGTGAACGATGTCTGGCGAGGTTGATTTAGCTTCAAAGTTGCATACATGGGCAGTGAAGGAGATGCATTTCTATTCACAAGGAGCATCAACAAGTAGCAAAATACCAACTGTGGAAGACTTTAAAATGTAAAAGATTTGTTGTAGATTTTGTTGATTAATGGTTAAATATAGCTACATTTTTGTGCCCCCTTTTTAGAGGGGGGGGGGGGCATTTAGATTTACCCTTGTTCGTTCTTATGTGTCACACATAACTCAAAAAGTATTTGACCTAGGGTCCTGAAACTTTACAGGAATGTTGATCAGCATGTGTACCTGGGTATTTTCGTGTCAATATTTTTAGATTTATTGTCCATGATTGACATAGTAAAAATTTTGCAATTTTCAACTTGTGTCGCACTTAACTCAACCGCCTCCGTGGTCAAGGGGTTAGAGTCGATGACTTCTAATCCAGTTACCTCTCTGGCGTAGGGTTCGATCCCCGGGAGATGCTTTGGTAGTTTAGCGCGGAGGAAGGTAGTCTAGTACTGGTGTATTTAAACTCTCTATGAACGACGGTTAGGAAACTACCCGCCTATATGACTGAAATTCTGTTGGGGAAAGGCGTAAAATGTAACAAACAAACAAAAAGTATAAAAAATTTGACCTAGAGTCATGAAACTTTAAAGGAATGTTAAGCCACAGCATTAGATGTTGTGCACCTGGGGTTTTGCTTGTGGATTTATCCATATTTGTAGAGTTATTGCCCTTGATTTAAGTTACTAAAATTCGTTTCATTATGTTGTGTTATTTGTTCCTTGAGTGCTTGAGTTAGAATCAATCAACTTTGCAGGAATAATGAGCAACATCACTTTGAAGCTATGCACCTGGGATTTTGCTTGTGGATTTTTTTGTAAAATTTTGTAAGAGTAATTGCCCTTGACTTAGTATAAATTTGCAATTTTCAACTTGTTCATACATAGCTCAAAAGTATTTGACCTGTAGGCCTGAAAGTTTACAAGAATGTTGGTCAGCATGTGTGCTTATGCACCTTTGGTTTGGCTTGTGGATTTATTCAGTATTTGTAAAGTTCTTCAATGCCCTTTACTTAATAAAAGATGTTTAGTTTTCAACTTGTGGCATATGTAGTCCAAAAAATATTTGACCTAGACTAGAGTCATAAGATTGACAAAATAGTGGAGTGTGGGGGCACCAGTGTCCTATGGACACATTTCTAGTTTTGAATAATTTAGCCTGCAGATTTGTATTAGTTTTTTCTGTACTATATCTTCCCTAGTTCATATGAAAGGTATTTACCTCAACTTAATACTTATTATCATATGCCTTTTAGCAAGGTGCACAGCCCTTTGCACAAAAATTTTAAGAATAATACCTATTTTGATAATTGGGGTATGCCATATTCAATATGGTATTAGAAATTAATTAGTTGAGCATGACGTCTCCAATGACAGCATTTATGTTATAACAATGATACTGTTGAACAATTCCTCTGATTCTGGTATCTTGCTTAAGAGTCTTAATCTGTCTGTGTTGAAAAAATTAATTGCCATGCAAAAAATGGAATTCATGAATATGCAGAAATCAAAAGTTGCTTAATCTTTAGCGGCAAGCTAAAAAAAAAAAAGAAATCAGTTCTTCAACCTTGTTGTACCCCAGACAACAATGACACAAATTTGAATTATTTTTTTCAGGTTATGTAAAGGTCCAAATGCAGCTATATGGAAATGGGTAATTGCACATGTGTATTCTACTGAGTAAGTTACTTTTAACATTGTTTTTTGCTACACGATATTGAAGTTTCCCACAGTGTAGGATTACGTGATATTCCCAAACTGCGTCAATTTGTGATAATTGATTTAGCTGGGCTTTGTGTTGAACTTGTCCTTTGGAGATCTTAAAAGATTCAATAATAAAGTTAGAAGTTGAGCTCTTACAACAGAGTATAGCAGTCTGGTCAGACAATGTATATGTGCACGCAAGCTTTGCTTCATATTGGTGACAAAGCATAATTGCATTTGCTTCCAACAGAGTTTTAATTAAACAAGCTAACAGTCTTAAGTGAATGGCAATGCAGGCTGGTCTGGCTTTGGTGTTTCTACTGATTGCACAGACAAAATATTGTCAGTTAACTTTCACAGAATACAATAGAAGACTATAATTACTCACACTGTTTCAAATAAAAATGTTGTTGGATCTATAAGAGAAATTAGATTGTTTTTGATGAGTGTTGGCATATTTATGGGGGGAAAAGATCAGCATCAATAAACTGTATGAAGTTCTCCCAGTTGCTACATAGTTTTAGAGTACAAAAATGTAGCAAAGTTTGTCATTCGGATGCCATCAAAAGCTGGTTTTACCCATTTACCATACCAAGTTTGGTAGTCTGACATATATATTTGAATCTTTACCAGTGGTCCAAATTGCTCAGGTTTTACTTGTGCCAGGAATGTTTAAGGCTGGCTTTTCAAATTTGTAGTGCGAAAAAATTGCTCAAAAAATGGTTTAAACAGTCATTTTTGTGGCACATAATTTTATTGAATGAGTTAAAATAGATTTATTAAGTTGAGGTTAAGAAATTTTCTTATTTCAGCGTTTTTTTTCCCTCTACTTTGGGAATGGTGCCAGTACCAGATTGATTAGGAAAAAAATGCTTTATTTTGACTTAAATTGGGGAAGGGGAATTTATGCATTTTTCAGCTTCAAATAAGATTGGTCATCATGAATAAACATAGCTAACAGCTCCCATTGTCCAGGTAAAACTATTGAGTGGTGATTTATATGAATATGTTGAATTTAAATGATTTCAGAGAAATCACTTGGCCTTGTGGGAATTTTCAACAGCCATTTTGGGAATTAAAACATTAGAAATTGGGAATTTTAATGTCTATTTTCTATTGGGAACAGTACCCATTTAGGGTAGTAGTTATATATAGAAAAAAACACTGAATTTAAAAGTATTGGAAATTCAACGTGTTTTTCTTGTAGATATAAGAATGCAAAAACAATAATGAAGTAATTAATCATTCTGTTGCAGGACTGTCAGAACAGTGAAAGGAAATCTTGCTCTGTATCCTTTACTAATATATAAATTGTGTAGTTAAGTATTTACAGTTGTTTTGGAATTTATTGTAATTCAGAACTGTATAAGACAAATATACATGTATTTATAAATATTTATAAAGTTCGTGTTAACTTTTATAGATTTTCTGATATTTGTATTTTCCCCGTTTAGAAGGAAGGGGCATATAAGTTTTTCTTGTCCAGCCCTTTCGGTCATGCTTTTTGTGTTTACACTAACAACCAGTGGAATGTTAGGGCATCAGTCTCCTATGGACATGTTTCTAGTTATCTCAATTTCAAACTTTGTGTGCCTACTGTAAATCCTTAATTGCCCCTGTTGTAATAATGTTACAAAAATTATGATTATTTTCAAAATGTATTTTATTATCTTTTGGGGGAATGAAGCATTTCAACTTATCTTGAGCTAATTATTTGCACCAAATAGGCAAAATATATTTATTTGGTGTAATTCTTTGCCTAAATCCATTATGAAATCTTAACATAGTAATCAGGAAAGCAAAAACTTCCAGTCAGTCATATAGGGTGAAGTATGGAGAGAAGGAAAGTCAGTATGAGCAGACCAAACATGACTTACTGGCCAAGAGAGCTTCTCTATCAGGGGAGATAACTACAACACTGAGAGATATTGGCCACTTAGAGCATGAAATAGACAGAATTACCACAGATATATCAGAAACAGGTACAGGAAGTTACATTTAAATTGTGATTTTTTAGTAGAAATTTATTATTATTCTATATGATATTAAGACTGATGGACATCAGGAATGTAGTACTTAGTTCATGATGTGACAGTTATTATGACTGTGGTCCGGTGCCTATTTTCATTAAAAGCTGTTTGATTTCGCACCCTACAGTTGCTAAGGTATAGAAATTATTAAACAAAAAAATAATAAGAAATAAAAGTTATTTTATAAATTTTTCAACAATAAAAAAACTGTCTTAGAACGGATTGTATCCACATCAGTGCCCAATTTATCATTCTTGTATGTTTGAAATAAAGTCAGCGTTTATGAATGAGTTGTATGCTTAGGATGACGTCATTACGCAGCTTACGGATTGGCGCCGTTTTGTCAAATTATTTATTAACTGTTATGGATCAAATCTGTGGCATTGAGTATGTGCGATATCATTTCGGTATTGTATGAAAAGAAAACATTATACGAACTGAAAATAATAATAAAAATGCTTTTTTATTTTTGCTTTAAAAGGCTTTGTAAACTATATAATTGACGGAGAAAATATAACAGCTGCATATTCAAGTAGTCCCTAACCAGTGTTTATTGGCATTTTAACACAAGTTTTTTTCTTCTTTGTCTATAGTGACAAAATCATGAGGATGGTTAGAATTATAATTAGATGATTGCCACACTTTACAGTACAACTTATTATTTAAAACTTGTTTCAGAACATAATACCAGAAAAAAGAAGGAGAAGTAAAAATCCGACAAAGAGCCCTTTTAAGGCTTACCCAAAGTTGTACTGATATGATGTCACAGTATGGGAATATGGGAATTTTTAAGTGAAACAATGTGCAGGGGCCCCCCCTTTTTGGTTTTTTTTTCAACATTTTTTTTTTTGCTTAACCCGTTAATTGCTGAAACCAAAAATATTTGGGCTTTTATTTAAGTATTCGCCTTTGCCCCTATTATTCAGGGGTGTCTGTCATTTGTGATTTCAATATAGAAAATTTTTAATATTAAAAGCAAAACCATGTCTAAAAAGTCTAAAATGGGAAGGATTTATTCAGAGAAATGCTAACTTGTTTATATTAGAAGAATATTTTTGTTTGACTTCATTTATAGTTAGTTATACAGCATGATTTAAAGTAGGGATGGCAACGAGTAACTGGTTAACCGAGTACTCGATCGAACGTCCGAATATCGGTTAACAATATTGATATTCGATTACTCGTAAAAAAAATATTTAATTTCTACTTTTTTTGCGCTTTAGAAAGATTAGTTCAGAAAATCGGAAATGTACACATATCTGTACAAATACTTGTTAAATGCAATCAAAACATCCTTGCAGAGGTGTGAAAATGATATCGTAAGTTTAACGAGGCGATCAGCAGTTTGACACGCATATGGGATTGAACACAGTCCTGTGTCGTTTACGTCATTCGGCCTCTTATGATATTTAATCACCTTTAAATATTAGACAGTTTGTAGCCGAAACTTGCTAATTTTAAAAACGTAAATATATACGGAATATTATGTTGTAGCTTTGTATTTTTCTACGAGCAGCGGTGGAAAAATTGATATCTGGCAAGACCGAAGGTCGAGCGAGATATCAATTTTCCAACATTGCGAGTAGAAAATTGCATAGGCTCAGAAAGCTACTACAACATAATTTTCCTTTTATTATATACCTTTTTGTTTGAATTATAAATGATTTTCATAATACTACACTTCTATAAGAAATTTCAGAAAATGAAATGAACCTGTCAAAAAATAAATATATGACCGACAGATGAATACATAATTTTTGCAAAACCAGCCGCCACGCCTTTTATAATTTTGGTTTCCGTTTCCAAATGCTACGTTTATACACAGCTAAGATTGGAACCAACGTCAGAAATAGTCCGGCACTTCCATATATGGCACCGTATTTGCCACTAACATAAATACGGAATTTTCTATCCGTTGAAGCGTATTTGCACTTCATGTTCATCCTGTATTTTAGGGAGAAAATTTGTATTCTTATGTTTATATTTATATATGTATTTCTTGCAGTTCTATCTATAGTTACTAATTCTATGAATTAAAATAGAAAACGAAAGTAGCATGCAGATGGTGTTGATATTGTGTGATAAAACTTTAAAGATCATTGGAAATCATCCGAGTAACGGAGTACTCGATCGGAAAAATGACCGAGTACTCGAGTATTGATTTTGATATTTGTTGCCATCCCTAATTTAAAGCAATATGATAAAAAAAGGATCTGTATCAAGTTTAACAAGCAAGAACCTAGCTTAAATATATAAGAAAATGTGTATACTTTAATGAGGCCAAATGAGTAGAGCTAGTCTTAGAATGTTTCATTATATATCTTCATGATTTAAGTCCCAATTAGTTTTACATGTTATTAGCAAAATAGTAAACTTGGCAAGTAAAAATTTTCAAGTCCATTTAAAATATTAAATGTGGTAAAGGTTAATGTTGTCAAGCAGGGTTGACATGAACATGATGTTAAGTATTAAAATTAAGGAATTGGTTTGCAGGGTTTTACATCTCTTTGAAATTTTAGGGGTCCAGTGGATGCACAGCCTAGAAAAGTAGGGGTCCAGGCCTGAATTTTAGGGGTCCAAAATTATATTCACTATAAAAGACTATGAAGACCACTCTATTTTGCTTAAAATCGTTTATTTACTCTGTAAGAAATATGCATGTATATTGTACTGTTTTCATAAGAAGTATATGATTTCAATATCTTTTATCACTAGGTTTTTTATAGCATTTTAGTAGCCCTTTACAATAATATCATGTGCTATTTCCAAGGCTTATAAGTCTTTGAGCGGCTGGAATGTCAAGTTTTAATAGTAGCATATTTTGTTATTGACAAGGTGATTACACCAAGAGACTGAAAATTTGTACTGATCTATTTGTAAATATTTTAGCTGAACAAGTAAACACACAATAGATATCTTTACAGACCAGTCAGCTAAATATGTTGCGTTTTTAAAAATATCATAAAACAAAAGGCTGACAAAACCGCTTTTGCACCTCCTCATAAGCTGGGACATACTTGATGTCCCAGTCATAAGTTAAGTTCGCCGAAACCATTATATTTATAACACCAACGATAATAACATACCCAGTGACTTAATTTCTAACACTTTTTCATATAACACTTTGCAAAAAGCACTGCATTTTTTATTATCGCTGTTCATGTACAAAATACAATCGCCGAACTGGTAGATCGACATTGGATACGCTAACAAATAGTAATTGCTTGTTATAAATAGTCCGTCTAAATATAGCAATAGAAAAACCAAAAACAGCTACAAAAAATAGATTTTACGGTAAACGTCATCAGTAACTGTAGCTTGCACGTTAAACGTCATCAATTTCTGCAGCGGGCACTTGCAAATAGCATGCACAGTAGATTTCAATTATGTTAACTTCCGAATAAACAATGCAAGCATTAGGTTTAAATGGAATTTTATGAGCTTCGAGAAGAAAGAGATAAAATCATGTCGGGTCAGAAACAATAATATCTATTGTCTAGAATTATTTTTGTGCGTACACTTGGACGCAGGTGGATAACTTATATGCGTACATGTCAAAATTTATGCGTATAGGGACGCAGAATTCTGCGTCCCGTAAAACCCTGGGTTTGTTTTCAGTTTAAGGCCATATAATGTTCAATAATAAATTGTATTACAGGAAAACATTAGAGAGAGAAGAATATTACAGTAGGGAAACAGCTGACCAAGATCCTGACAGTGACTCCGATACACCAGCCTTAGAAACAGCTTCATGTGTATGTAACTTATCCTTTATCTTTTTGTTTTCAAAAAACCCATCACCTGCTGAATGCATAAATTAACTAAAATTAATTTTTGGGATATCAAGATGAAAAATTTAGTCGCAGTCATCAAATTTAAGATTTTGAATTCACTGGCCCGAATTCGAGTTTTGAATTTATTCTACTATATATTTAACTAAATTTTCTTAAAATTTACATTAGCACGAACTAATTTACACTGGCCATGGGCCACTGGGCCAGTGCTAAATTGGATGACTGTAGTCCTTCTGATAATAGTCTAGTCTCTTTACTGGCTAGCCTGTCTATGCTCGTGACAAAGGCTTGTTACTTTCACTTTACTGGTTAATGTTTTAATCCCACATTAGGGAAATTAAATAAAAATCTTTCATGTGATTAAGCTATATAATTACATAACAGAAGGTCACTGATTCGTTCTGTCAAAGTGCTCATTGTTTCAGGCATAATATAATACTTATGTAATATATATCGTGGGTCATCTTTCACAGATAGATGATGTAGCCACCATTATATGTAAATCTCCATGATTCTTCTGATTAAATGTGCCGAATGTTTGGGCAACACTTACATTTTAAAGTACATATATCGGTGATGCTTAGTTGCTTTCTGCACTTGAGGTTTTAGTTTTAAAGATTATAAATAATGTTTGTCAGAGTTGATATTTGCCTGTAACTGATCATTTTAAATTAGAAGTACACTGATTTGATCATTGAATACCTTTATAATCTATTTATAGAAACATGTGAGGGAATGTTGTGAGGAAATTGGAGGGTTTCTACAGGACACATTAAAAGGTGCTTTCAGTGGAGATAAATCTCAATTGTAAGTTTGAGTTTGAATTTTGTTAATTCAGAATTATACATATTGCTTATATCCTTCCAGATGTACATTTATCAGTAGTGTTAAAATGTTATTAATGAATTTGTCTTAATTTCATGTTTTTGAATGATATTTTGCAAGATTAAAATTATAACCTCAAATATAAATAAGATTAATAACACTTTTGACTACAAATAGTTATATAATTGTCCATTGTGAGTGTTATGTTAGTAGCCCATTGTGGAAAAGTATGTTGTAAGTTTTTAATGTCTTTACAAAGTAATATATCTGGATTTATCAACATGGACATTAAAGACATGAATTCACATCCGAGACGAAACATGATAATTAGCCCTCTATTTACACATTGTGTAGAAATTGGTAATAACTGATTAGTTATCCTGAAAAACTGGTCAAGTGGACAGACTACTGATATTTGACAAAAATTGAGTTTAAAAAAATAATAAATTGATTAATCAAACTAATGGGTATTTTATTTGTAAGTCCACACTCATACTTTTGCTTGACAAGTAAATATACAGACTTGTCGGCATAACATCCATAATGTTTCATCATGATTTACTTAGAGATTTTATAGGGAGTAACGGTGTATTGTGATTCAGTCTTGATACAATTTTCTGCCTTCAGTCTCTGAAAATACATTATAATAATCCAGATTTTTCATGCTTTAATACTTGGGGGTCACTAGATATATAAAGACATTCAAGTCTTATTCTGTAAAACTACGATGCACAGAACTTAAATAGTTGGTATGTAGCATTACCTTGTGGACCACCACAAAACTGATTCATGTCATATTCATACCCCTTGGGTCAATATTTGCCCCTCTGCTGGGGGTCACTCAGTAACTGATTTATGATTTACAGTGCTAAGAGGAAAGAACCATTATGGCAGAAGGTAGAACTGGTATCAGGGACTTTCTCTGCTGACCAAATACTGACCAGTCTGTTACATAACACTAGAGATACAACAGCCACCTTGAAGGCAATGACCAGTAAAGTGGACATCAGGAGGGATGCTCAAAATCTAAGGTATTACATTGTATATTCTAGAAAACTTGTATACATTGTAATTGTTATTGACATGGTGGATGAGGATCGGAAAACTCATACTTCAGAACCTGTCATACTGTCTAAAACTTTATTAGAAGAGTTCATTTTAAAATATCGTAATACATTTTTTTTTAAATTCATAAATTGTTAGGATGTTTGCTTTATCAGTTTATTCATGCACTAGGTATTCACTGGTTATTGTACATTTTATGTAAATAATCAACCAGGCTTGTAATTTCTAACATAGTTCACTTCTTATTCTGTCCTAGTTTGAGGAAATAAGTGCCATTTTATGACTTTGTGTAATAGAAATTTTGAATCTCAATGCCATTCATATAGTTGACAAGTCTCTTAAAATGACATAAAAAGAGTCAAAGATTTAAAAATATACTACATCACATTTTGTTTAAAGGAGCTCAACTGGGGTCAGAAATACTAAAATCATAAAATTTGAAATTCTTGCATAAATCAAGTGATACACTTAGATTGGAAAAAAAAATGTGCAAAGATAATAAAAAAATATACTCAAGAGTTAAATGAAAATTAATTTTTGCATGATTTAAGCCTGCTTTAAGTAAATGGTGTTCATTTCATGGTCATTTTACACAATATAAATAATTATTCTTGGAAGACAGAGTGAAGGAATGATCCTAAATATTGCCCTCAAAAAAAATATTTTCAGTTACTTCACCTCAGTGTGGTCCTTTTAAGGTTCTATTTTCTGACAAAATGTTATATATCTTTCCAGATTTAATACGAAACAAGCAAATTATTTGAGGTAACATCAAATATTAGAATGTTTATATGACATCAATATCATAATAATAACTTTATTTGAAAAGATGACATATTAAGAGGACATAGTAAACATACAACTTGTTTCCAATATGGCCTTCTATACATACATGTATATAAATAGAAAACTAAAATAACAATAAACAGCATTATAGTTACAACAAAGACTCTTACAAAAATACATAGCATTTGTATGGAAAGTATATACGTATAATTAGTAGCTTTATATAACTTTGGATATCCATCAATGTTAACAAAACAAAACAAAAGCACAAAATTACTATTGAAATCTTTTATAAAAAATTTTATTTTAAATTTTGAGTGCTTTAAGCTGTATTTTTTATTCACTACTTAGTTTGCTTGAAAATTAACTTCTTAAAACTCTGTATATAACTTATACTAATATATGTCACATCTACAGTTTCTCAAGATACATTTCCTTTATCTCATTAACGTTTTAAACACATTATTCTTATTGAAGGTCTTGATTTGATTTCAGTCCATGAAATATGAACATTTTATTGTTATTGTAAACAGTTGTGTGATGTAAACAATAGTTAGATATTGTAAACAATTGTTAGATATTAGTGTTTATATATTTCAGGTTTAAGTATGAACCAGGAGGAGATGTTAAGGATCTAGCTAAACCACCATCACTTCTTAGGAGTGTCCATCAGTTACTACAGGTATAATCATTGTGACTCTCATTCAGCTAAATTAGTGTATTGAACTTTTTGAAACCATCTATTTTTAGTATAATGACTTTAATATCAAAACTATAAAAATTGAGCCACATACATGTAAGAAGCCTGGTCAAACTGCATGACATATGTCTTTATTGTCACTGCTAGTATGTACATATTTTAATTGTAGGTTTCATATACATAATGATATATTTATAAGAATTGTTTTAGCTGTTGAAAATCTAATGGTCATAAGTAAATGACTGAATACACAAATATTAGTTTAATTATGTTGAATTGTAAAGGATAAGGTGGATGCTTATTTGTCTTAGGGGCACAGCACTGTTCTAGTTATACTTGGAAACAAGAATTTACAAGATGCAGAATCCGTAATCCATATATCCCTTTTACGGAAGGTTTGTGGTTCGACAATGTTGATATAACTTAAAATCCTCCAACAAAATAAATAAATATATCCCTTAAGTGCCTACTTGCATAAGAATCGTTTAAAAAAACTTGCTTAACATCATTAAACCCATAACAGTACATGAGTATTTGCTACATGTAAAATATTTGTTATTAAGTACTTTAGTAAGAAGTTGGCGTGCTTGAATATGATGTTTGCCTTATGAGTATACCTTGTTCATTAAACAACCTTCATCAATTTGACGTGTGGAAAGCAAAAGTGATGTAACTTCCTGGAAAAGCATAATCTTTTCACAACAGGTGTTCATTATTTATGTTTCCTCTGTAAATCATAAATAATATATTATGTACAACATTTGTAAAACATTGCAGGAGAGAACTAATGAGCATCTTCAAAGATTTATACAGTCACAGAAATATACAAATGAGGCGAGAAATTTAGAAGAATCTATTGTGGCTTTAAAAGGGCAAATAGAGAAACGATTGCAGAAACTGTTCTCACAGAAAAATGCAGATTTTGCATTAGCAAGGTAAGTTTGGTCTAAACTGAAAGTGTTCTAACTTTTGCCACCAGTATAGAGCCAGGCCAACTATGCAGACTAAACGGGTTTGACATTCTTGGTGGCTCTACTTTCATATTTTGATAATGAAACCCCTAAACTTTGAATGGTTTCTTCCAAATTCAGTCAAGCAAATCCATTTCACAAAATACATTGAAGCTGGTTTAAGGTTAATAACTGCTGAAAATGATTATTATTTAATTTTTATGCTCCCACAGAGTGGGAGCATAAAGCGTTGCACTTGTCCGTCCGAGTGTCAGTCCGTCAGTCCGTCCGTCAGTCCGTCCGTACGTCCCGAAATCTTGTGAACGCAACTCCTCTTAAACCGGATGGCAGATTTTGCTTAAACTTACAGGGATGAACAACCTTAATGTGTAGATGGTAGTAAAGGAAGGAATTTTCGCTGCGACCAAATTTAACAGAATTATGGCCCTTTGTTGATTTTTTCACTAGATACTATGAAGAAATTTTGTGAACGCAACTCCTCTTAAACCGCATGGCAGATTTTGCTCAAACTTACAGGGATGAACAACCTTAATGTGTAGATGGTAGTAAAGGAAGGAATTTTTGCTGCGACCAAATTTAACAGAATTATGGCCCTTTGTTGATTTTTTCACTATATACTATGTAGAAATTTTGTGAATGCAACTCCTCTTAAACCGCATGGCAGATTTTGCTTAAACTTACAGGGATGAACAACCTTAAGGTGAAGATGGTAGTAAAGGAAGGAATTTTTGCTGCGACCAAACTTTACAGAATTATGGCCCTTTGTTGATTTTTTCACTATATACTATATAGAAATTTTGTGAATGCAACTCCTCTTAAACCGGATGGCAGATTTTGCTTAAACTTCCAAGGATGAACAACCTTTATGTGATGATGGCAGTAAAGGAAGGAATTTTCGCTGCAACCAAATTTAACAGAATTATGGCCCTTTGTTGTTTTTTTCATTATATACTATGTAAAAATTTTGTGATTGCAACTCCTCTTAAACCGGATGGCAGATTTTGCTTAAACTTCCAGGGATTAACAACCTTAATGTGTAGATGGTAGTAAAGGTAGGAATTATTGCTGCGACCAAGTTTAACAGAATTATGGCCCTTTGTTGATTTTTAGTTTTCAACTTGTGGCACATGTAGTCCAAAAAAATATTTGACCTAGAGTCATAAGATTGACAGAACAGTGGTGTGTGGGGGCATCCGTGTCCTATGGACACATTTCTAGTTTATATTTATTCTTTGGGATGGGCCATATAGATAAGCCATGGGCCATATAGATAAGCCATTGTCCACCAGTCTTGTTGTAGTGCTGTCTGACAGTAGAATGTGTGTGCCCTATGAACCCATTTTCTAATTCTGAACTAATTTGTGAGATCAGACTTTCTTTTTGAATGAATTGTATATTAAACTAGTTAATTTATTTTGATTTCCTATTTGGAATTCCTAGAAAAACATGCAAAGATAAAGTAAAATTTGTTATCTAAATATTTAACTTGTTTATTAAGTGAACATTATAATTGTCTTCATATGAGATTTTATACTGAAATATTTCTTGTATTTTATGTAATTTTGAATTCTTCTTTTTTCAAAAACCACACAATTGTTTTTAATTGCAGGCAACAGATATGTAGCTAAATATACTTAAATATTTTGCACACAGTTTTATATCAGATTAACTGCCACAGTTTTTAACATGAGGCTTGACACATTAATAAGTGTCCTAATGGTAAATTATTGTTTTCTGCCTTTTAGCATGGAATTTAACTATATGTATTTTAAAAATAAATTCTTTAGTAACACAACACTATCTCTATAATGTATATCTATTGTAACATTAATGTATATCCATTGTAACATAATATTCAGGAATTTGATAGAGGCAGAGCTAGAGTTAGATGGATACAGGGCATCTCTTCACTGTCTAAACAGAGAGGGAGAAAGTTTAAAAGAGATTGTAGAGTCTAGCTTCAGAGAGAGGCAAGAACTTATAACAAAATATCACAGAATACAAGAGTTCCAGGAACTTACTGTAAGAATCTTACTTTAATTAACTTAATCATAATAGAAAATGTTAGAGTATATCTTTTTTAGCTCAACTATTCAAAGAATAGTGAAAGCTATTGTACACCTGTTGCATTACACTTTGCTAAAGATTTTGAGTGCAAGTTGGTATCTCCAAAACATTTGAAGGAAATGGGTTGAAACTTTGATTATTATACATATGGGGCACAGGTCATTTAACTCTGATTTACCTCTTTGCAGAGTAATGCCCCTTTTCTTACTGTCGAGCACAGAGAATAGTCTACCATGTTGTCTTATTAGTTGGCAAATTCATGGATCTGGGTCATAGAATTGAGATGGAGTACAAAGATAAGAAATCTCTACAATTGCTGATGATAGTTACTTGAAACTTTACATATGGCATTGTAATTGTAGCTTAGTAATCAAAACTCATAAGGGGCGTCCGTGGCCAAGTGTTTTGGGTCGTTAACTTCAAAACACTTTCCCCTCACAGGGTTCGAACATTCCGCTCATCGGCTTGTATTTACAAGTAGACATTGATGCAGGACGAGTACAAAATCGTTGTATGCTCGTCTGACAGGACGAGTGGAAATTTGCCATGAAATAGAAAGCTAGAATTCTTAAAATCAGTTTGTTTACACAGTGTTTCTTCCAGCTTTAATTTTCTTGGGGTCATTTCTGGCCCGCTGTATAAGGTTTAAGGGGTCACTTGAAAGTTTTGAGGGTCATGCCAAACCATTTATTTTATTAACCAAGAAATACATAGGAGAACTAGAACCACTATTTTATCAGCCCCTTCCCTGTAGTTCATTCAGTCATTGAAATATGAATAGATAAATAGAAAAGAAAATGTAGCATATAAACAATTTTGAAGAATCTCAATAAACAGAAAAAAAATCTTTAATGAATTTAATTACACCCAGTTAGCTCCATTCACAAGCCACTGTAATACATGTAGCTTAATAAATACATTACAACTTAACTTTTAATCAGCCAGTCAATTGTTTACACAGTTGCATTATCCATTCCATATTTGGTAGTATACGCTATATCACTAGCTGTACTATATACAGGTAAAATGTGTAATGAATTGATTGAAAGAGGGTTGTGTAAACAAGTTTGTTTTGAAAATTGGATAATAAGTTGATAGAAAAGTGGACAGTAATTGGATACTTTTGGGGTACATGAAAGGAATTTTGTATGATTGACGGACAATTAAAAGGTTTGAAGTCGTAAAAATAAAAGCAGTGCAAGATTTTTATTTGAATTTGTATAACAGTTTGCCATGGATTTGAAATAGTCATAATTTGAGATTTACTGTAAATTAATGGAGAATAAATTACTGGGTCACAGGAAACACACTAATTGAATCTCATTGTGTCAAGGTAGTAAAAAATGCGTCAAAAACTTGCTCTGGGAGAAACACTGTTTACATTCAACAATGAAAAACAGGAAACAAAGCTTGTGCCCTAGGTTATGTATAATTTGCGCACTTTATAAAGCTCTGAACGCATTGTTAATTGGATAAGGGTGTGACTTGAATGTGTTCGACAATGCTCTATACTGTGCACTTTTTATACATAACCTAAAACACAAGCTTTGTTTCCGGTTTTGGTTTGTTAAATTTATGCAAAGAAATTATGAGAATTTTTAGCGGTCTTTTGCATCGGCAAGGTACTATTGCATTGGCAAAGTTTATCTTGAAAATCGAGGCAAAAATACAGGAAGAGTAGCAAAGCATGCAGGACGTGGAGCTCTGAAAAGATTCTTCAATCCCTGCTTTAACGCTGTGGGTCCGAATCACGATAGGGACTTTGAATTCTTTCATGTTAGGAAGCTATCCAGCTAGCTTAAGGAACGTTGGTGGTTCTACTCAGGTACCCATTTATGCCTGAAATAATGCACGGAAACTCACCTGAGGTCTTCCTCCACCAGTAAAGCTGGAACGCCGCCATATGACCTATACTGTGTTGATGTGACGTAAAATCCAATAAAACAAAACAAACAAGACACATAACTCTTGTAGCATAATTACTGAATAATTCCCCTTTGTGAACTTATGGCTGTTTATTTTACTATCAAGCAAGGAGAATAGTCTTATATGCTGTAGATGGGATAACTCTTTGTAAAACATCATTTTATATGTAGCTGATAAGTACAAATGTAACTTACAAGTGTAAAGACTGTTGTTTGTGAAGATCAGGGACTATTATGATGATTTATTTTATATTTTCCAGGATAAGAAACAGAATGTTATACAAGTGTTGGTAAAACAGAATTTAAACTCTCAGTCCAGACTTGATTCTCAGATAGATGAGGTATATATAAATTCTGTATCATATTATGTAATTGTTATATAATTTAAATGGTAATGCCTATTCAAGTCACTGTTGATTATTCTTATATATTTCTGATTACAAGAGAAATAAAATTCTGCAAATTAATCTTTATTGATAAAGCATGTTCTCTATACATAATTACAAATTTTAGGGTAATAAATTTTAAAACGAAGCAGGCAGAAATATATGATGATTTATAAACTTCTGCTCGTTTTATAAAAATAAATAACATTCTTGCAGTTTATTATGTGACTTTAAATTTTCCAATGTTGAAATTAGTTGAGATGAGGTAACAAGACAATCCATAGAAACTGATATTGACCTTGATTCTAGCATTTCTAGGTGATATTTATGTACAGAAATCCTGATCATTAATCTGAATTTAACCATCTATGCTTCTTTAAATTGTTATACTATACAAATATGTTCCAATATAAATACAAGCTTGCATGAATATAATCCTTTATCACACACCCGTGCCGACTTTGCGACTCCGTAAATATGGTATTGCACGGCTGTGCATATATTTTGACGTGACGTCATTAGCGTTATGCAAACATAGTGTAAAGACGCGCTAAATGTTAGCATTATACTATAGGCGCGTCAATGAAAAATGACTCTTTTATCACTTTAAACGGTCTTTATTTTGGGTATGTGATAAAAAGAATATTAAATTCGTGTAAGTTCATTACTGATTTTATTGCACTTGTTGAATAAAATAATATTAAGCTCGCCACAGGCTCGCATAATGTAATTTTATTCAACTCGTGCAATAAATTCAGTATTTCAATATCCTCTATATATTTTGTGTTTGTATGATATAGCGATCCCATGCAAACCTCTGATAACGACTGAAATGTTTGAAAAGGGTTCAGAATGAATCTAGCAGCTGGTCTTATGATTGCCATTCAAATATATTTTTGTATAATTGTACATAACGATTAAATTGGGCTGTCATTGAATATCATGGTATCAATATTTCATTGATATTCAACATTGGATTCAATATCTATTCACAATTTAGAAAACAGGTACTATTTAAAGCCCATTTCACCCTTGTGTTTCTCTTTCCTTTTCTTGGCTATTTTATTTACAGATGACAGTGAAAAATAATAACAAGAAAACATTCATTTACTATGTTGATCTTATGATGACTTAAAGAAGCATGCACAAGACCATGATGACTTTTCATATGGTTTCCACTGTACTATTATATTGATATTAAGAGGATATTTTTTCGTTTGAGTGAAATATGGAATATATTTTCTCGAAACATGATAAAATGCCACATATTTTCACGAGCCGGTACAGCGAGTGAAAATATTTGCCATTTTATCATGTTGAGTGAAAATATATACCATATGTCACGAAAAATGAAAAAATAACCTTATTTTAATTTCATTATCAAAGAAAATGGTAACGAATCCCCTTGCTTGCTGCCAACTGCAATTGAACAGCGCGCAGTAATTTATGCGTAAGCATGCGCTGTTTGGCGCAACATTGTGACGTCATGTAAACAACTCTTTAAACGACTGTACAGCGTTAATTACTGAATTAAAGATATTGGCGTTCGGATTAATTTTCTTAGTTAAACCATTTTCTATCATGCTAGAATTCAAGAAAAGGTTGTTTTGTATTTATCAGATTTTTCAAACAAATCGGCGAAAGAAGTCCCTTAAAATAAATATGAGTTTTGACTCCGCCCACTTTCATATTTATATTTCATATTTATTTAAGAAAAAGAAATATATTTGACTGATATAGCACCATATTTCATGGGTAAAATTAAATAAATAGAGATATTGTCATTACTTGCCATTCAAGATTTTCCATTGTAAAATAACATAATAATATATATGATTACAGATAGACGAGTATATAGAGAGATCATTGATGTCACATCAGACACAGATTAGTACAGTATCTGGCAAGCTACAGGATTGTATCACACTAGAAGTGAACGAGTTTGCTAACTTAGCTCTACCATACCTCATGTTCTCACAGATAGAAAAGTAAGTAATTATGTTACCATTAAGCCAATATGATCGACCTTCAGGGATAGACATAATATTACTATAAAATTATGTCTAACCTTTTTGTATGTACATTGAAATTATGCATAAGATAATGATGTTAAATTTAGTAGGTTTATCACATTAATATACAATAAAATATTGATATACAATAAAATGTTATTATACAATAAAATATTATTATACAATAAAATAATATTGAACTAAAAGAAGGAAAAGTATGTTGACCAATCAACAAGTGAATAGAAGGCAAATATTACTTTGTATAATATATTTAGATTTTAGATTATTCGTAGCTGTTGTGAATGATTCAATTTATGGGCAAAATTAATGCAAAACACATGATTTATTTATCATCTTAGAACTACATGTAGAAGTAAAAAACATCTTAGAAGTAAAAGTGTAGGGATATAAGTTATATTTTCATTTGTGTTGAACACAAAATTGATCAAAACAAATAAATGTGACGTAAATATTGATATATAATTGCTATAAGGCTATGTTTTATTGTAGACATTATCTTGTTATTGTTTCAGTGCATTAAAGACAGCAGTATTAGATCTATCTATACATCAAACAAGTCCAGCGAATCTTAAACCTGCATTGATGACTGTACTACAATGCTTAAACTTTCAAAGTTTCCAGGTAAATTCAGTAACCTGTTACATACATAAATATGAATTTTCGCACCAAGACTGAAAGGTAAACATTGTGTATTTCTATGAGATGTTCAATTATAATTGATGTTCTCTGAATTGATGAAATCTTAGAATTCCAGGGTTCACACAGGTCTTGAAAAGTGCTTGAAATCTATCTTTGTCTTGAAAAGTGCTTGAATTGTGGGGGTCCTTGAAAAAGTGCTTAAAAATGGTTTGATTTCGGAAGAAGAAGAAAATCCTTAATTAATTAAAGAAGAAATTTAAATTATTTTAATTGAAAGGAAAACTCTGCTGAAAAAAACTTATTTATCCGTACATAATTATGTTACATATGTTATTGGGTACGAAATAAACAGAAAATATGTTCTATGTCATCGGTATTGCTTTTTAGCTCGACTATTCGATAAGAATAAGTAGAGCTATTGCAGTCACCCGAGCGTCGGCGTCGGCGTAACCACTTATGTTAAAGTTTTTGTAATAGTTCAAATATTTTCAAAGTCCATTGACATATGGCTTTGAAACTTTGCACACTTGTTCACCATCATAACCCCAACCTGTAGACAGGAGGAGGTAACTCTATCAAGCATTTTGACAGAATTATGCCCCTTTTTCGACTTAGAATTTACGTTAAAGTTTTTGTAATAGTTCAAATACTTTCAAAGTCCATTGACATATGGCTTTGAAACTTTGCACACTTGTTCACCATCATGACCCCAACCTGTAGACAGGAGGAGGTAACTCTATCAAGCATTTTGACAGAATTATGCCCCTTTTTCGACTTAGAATTTACGTTAAAGTTTTTGTAATAGTTCAAATATTTTCAAAGTCCATTGACATATGGCTTTGAAACTTTGCACACTTGTTCACCATCATGACCCCAACCTGTAGACAGGAGGAGGTAACTCTATCAAGCATTTTGACAGAATTATGCCCCTTTTTCGACTTAGAATTTACGTTAAAGTTTTTGTAATAGTTCAAATATTTTCAAAGTCCATTGACATATGGCTTTGAAACTTTGCACACTTGTTCACCATCATGACCCCAACCTGTAGACAGGAGGAGGTAACTCTATCAAGCATTTTGACAGAATAATGCCCCTTTTTCGACTTAGAATTTACGTTAAAGTTTTTGTAATAGTTCAAATATTTTCAAAGTCCATAGACATATGGCTTTTGAAACTTTGCACACTTGTTCAACATCATGACCCCAACCTGTAGACAGGAGGAGGTAACTCTATTAAGCATTTTGACAGAATTATGCCCCTTTTTCGACTTAGAATTTACGTTAAAGTTTTTGTAATAGTTCAAATATTTTCAAAGTCCATTGACATATGGCTTTGAAACTTTGCACACTTGTTCAACATCATGACCCCAACCTGTAAACAGGAGGAGGTAACTCTATCAAGCATTTTGACAGAATTATGCCCCTTTTTCGACTTAGAATTTACGTTAAAGTTTTTGTAATAGTTCAAATATTTTCAAAGTCCATTGACATATGGCTTTGAAACTTTGCACACTTGTTCACCATCATGACCCCAACCTGTAAACAGGAGGAGGTAACTGTATCAGGCATTTTTTTTACTATCAAGCACTAAGAATAGTCGAGCGTTGCTGTCCTACCGACAGCTCTTGTTAGATCACCTGTCACAAAGTGACAGGGTGAGCTTTTGTGATCGCTTTTCGTCCGGCGTCCGTCCGGCGTCCGTCCGTAAACTTTTGCTTTAAATGACATCTCCTCATAAACCACTGAGCCAATTTCATCCAAACTTCACATGAATGTTCCTTTGGTGGTCACCTTTAAAAATTGTTCAAAGAATTTAATTCCATGCAGAACTCTGGTTGCCATGGCAACCGAAAGAAAAATCTTTAAATATCTTCTTTTAAACAACCCTAAAAGCTAGAGCTTAGATATTTGGCATGAAACATCTTCTAGTGAGTGTCTACCAAGTTTGTTCAAATAAAAGCCCTGGGGTCAAAATTGGCCCCACCCCAGGGGGTCATTGATTTTCCCTATATGCATATAGTAAAAACTTAAAAAATCTTATTTTAAAGAACCCAAAGAGCTAGAGCTAAGATATTTGGCATGAAACATCTTCTAGTGAGTGTCTACCAAGTTTGTTCAAATAAAAGCCCTGGGGTCAAAATTGGCCCCGCCCCGGGGGTCATTGATTTTCCCAATATGCATATAGTAAAAACTTAAAAAATCTTCTTTTAAAGAACCGTAAGAGCTAGAGCTTAGATATTTGGCATGAAACATCTTCTAGTGAATGTCTACCAAGTTTGTTCAAATAAAAGCCCTGGGGTCAAAATTGGCCCCGCCCCAGGGGGTCATTGATTTTTACCTATATGCATATAGTAAAAACTTAAAAAATCTTTTAAAGAACCCAAAGAGCTAGAGCTAAGATATTAAGCATGAAACATCTTCTAGTGAGTGTCTACCAAGTTTGTTCAAATTAAAGCCCTGGGGTCAAAATTGGCCCCGCCCCGGTGGGGTCATTGATTTTCCCTATATGCATATAGTAAAAACTTAAAAAATCTTCTTTTAAAGAACCCAAAGAGCTAGAGCTAAGATATTTAGCATGAAACATCTTCTAATGAGTGTCTACCAAGTTTGTTCAAATAAAAGCCCTGGGGTCAAAATTGGCCCGCCCCAAAAACTTAAAAAATCTACTTTTAAAGAACTCAAAGAGCTAGAGCTAAGATATTTAGCATGAAACATGTTCTAATGGGTGTCTACCAAGTATGTTCAAATAAAAGCCCTGGGGTCAAAACTCGCCCGGCCCGGGGGGTCATTAATTTTCTTATATGTGTATAGCAAAAACTTAAAAATCTTCTTTGAAAAAACCCAAATAGCTAGAGTTTAGATATTAAGCATGAAACATCTTTAAGTAAATATCTACAAAGTTTGTTCAAATAAAAGCCCGGGGGTCAAAACTGGCCCTGCCCCAGGGGTGTCATTGTTTCTAACTATATGTGTATAGTAAAATTTTAAAAATCTTCTTTTAAAAACCCAATGAGCTAGAACTTAGATGTTTAGCATGAAACATCTTCTTATGGGTGTCTACCAAGTCTGTTCAAATAAACAAATAAAAGCCCTTGGGTAAAAATTGGCCTGGGGGTGGGGGCCTATATACAGGTGAGCGACCTCAGGGCCATCATGGCCCTCTTGTTTCATTACCGATTTCACAAATATAAACAAATTAGTAACATTTGAAAAATAGGTTAAAAGGGTTAATTTCCTCATAAATTACACCAGTCTTTGTTTCTTCAAGCTCACTAAATCATGATAAAATAGGTTTATTATAGAAGTATCTTGATCTGGAACTTATATTTTACTGGAGTTGATTTTACTAGGAGAGAATTTTTGTAAAATCCATGAGAGCCAATAAAAGTAATAAATTAACATACTCCTGTAATAACCCTTTCATTGTATACTTTGTCAAATTTAAACTACAAAATTAACAATAAAGTAATTGGTATATGTAATTGCCATATTGCCAGCAATGTATTTTTGGATCAAACTTGACTGTGATACAGATTTTGAATCAAGTTTTCTATTTTGAACATTGCTTGTATTTGTATTCCTGCTACAACAAAACTTTCTACAATGGTGATCATTATTAACATGGTTTCATGGCATTGCACTTGGTGTTCTCTTAGTTTTTATTTTTGCATGTTATACATGCATAAAATGTAGAAAGACATGTAATGGTATATGATACTTGTAAAGATAACTTGCCAGAATTTGTTCCAAAATCATCTTAAATAATATGTTTCAACTAATAGAATAAGATGTGCTATACCAGTAAAGCTGGAAAGTTGTTTTGTAAACCTCTACTGTGTTTGTGCCTTTTAAAACCCATCCATAAAAAAGTCTAAATATGTATTTTACATGTTTCTACAGGCACCAGAGATGGTGTTACGACAGTGTTTACAGATAAAGACAGATATAGAGGAGATTGTATATAGACTAGATAGAGAGAACTGGCAACAACAATGGAGAACAAATAAACAAGGAGAGAAAGATATAGTGTCTGTGATAACTGGTAATAAGTTACAGAGTTATATCCCTTACATTTAAACAGATTTGGTAAATGAACCGAGTTCAAATCAGAGCTCCAGATAAACTTGCAGAGGTAAATGGGTAATACCCACCCCTTTCAAATGTTTAAAAATTGAATTGGGTAATTATTTACTGGAAAGATTGTCTTCCCCAATTAATATAAACAACTTACCCACACATAAGTCATAGTTTCAGTTTTTGTTTGCTGATAATAAATTCATTTTCATTGACTAGTGCTTCAAAAACCAAGGGAAATTTGGGGCATTTTGAATGGAATACCCTCCCTTCCCAAAAATTTTGGGAAACATTTCAAATGAAAATAAACAATTTACTTTTTAAAATATTTTCAACAAAAAATTTCAAAAATGTGCATATATAATTCTATAAATCATGAACTGTTTTATTTTAAAATGTATTAAAAATTTGACCCAAATAGTGTTTCCCTTTTTTAAACCAAATGGCCCCCTTTAAATTCCAGGGGAAACACAAACGAAAAAACCCCGTTGAATTTTCAGCATTGTTTGCCCAGTTCTCTTTTAAGAAGAGTTTTCAAAATTAGGATAGAAAAACTCTGGGCCAAACAAAAGGGTTTCAGATGCCCCCAAATTTTTAATTTCCTGATGAATATCTAAAAAATTTTGGGAAGTTTTTTACAGTTACTATAATATTTTCACAAAGGGGATTTTATCCTAAAGACATTTTTGGGAAGATTCAGACGGGGGGCTTTTTTCTTTTTCATTTTTGGGAATTTTTAAAAAAAATGGGGGGGCCCACAGAATTTGGAACTACTTATTTGTATTTCGGTCTGGTTTTTTATAAAATTATATTTTTTTTTACTTTTAAAACCCTTTAAAGGATTTTTTTATTTATGTAAAAAAAAAATTTTGAAAACCCTTTTAAATTTGGGGCCGGGATAAATTTTCTGTCTTATCATATTTTAAAATTAAGGGGAGAATGTATTTTTTTTCTGCGTAATAAAATTTTTTTTCTTGCATATATTACTTTAAAAAGGGGCCCCGAGTTTTTTTTGGGACCGGTTTTTTTTTAAATTTATGAATTTTTAAATGTTATTTCAGATATTTTATTTTGGCTTTTTAAATTTAAAGGGCCTATTTTTGGTGTTTCCCAAAAAGGGGTTGGGTTAGAATTTTTAATTGTTTTTTGCTTTTATTTTTTTTTTTAAATATTTTTTTAAAGACTGTTTAAACTGGCCCCAAAGTTTAAGCCGGGATTTTCTTTGGGCCCGGGGGGAAACCCCTTTTGTACCCTTTCCCAAAAGTTTTTTTAAATGGGGGTAAACTGTCGCCCTTTTTGGGCTTCTTTCTTTTTCAACCGAAAAAAACTTGAAAAAGAAACAAAGCAAAAAAAGCTTAAATTTCCCTTTAAAGCCTTAAGTCGTATTAGGGGGTCTTTTTTATATTTTATTATATTATATCCTGAAAACCATTTTCTTGCTTATTTTATAAGGTATCTACAAATATAATAGATAAATAATAACTTACCTTAAATTTGGGCTGGTCTTTTAAGGTTTTATCCAGAAATATGGTAAAACCAACAACAGTTTACTTAACAGAAGTTCTATTACAAATTATTTTGATGTTTGGAAACTAATATGAATTAAACCCACCTTTTAGGGGCAAAATCAAAAAAGTTTGAAATTTGGTCTTAAAAAATTTTCCAACTTCCCTTGTAAAAACTTTACATTTTTTTTGAAAACTAAATGTTTCAAAAGCGAAGAAGCCCCCCCATTGCTTTAAGCCTGGCCCTTTTATTGTCGAGTATTGTAAAATCCCGGTTTTTTTAAAATTTTCCAAATCAAAGGGAAGAATTTTTAAATTTTCCCGGGGCCAAATTTTTTTAATTGCCGTTTTTTATCGATAGATCTACTCACAGAAAGACCCTAGGTTATCATATACAATATTTTTTAATTGGGGAGATGCACTTTTTTTAAATTTTTAAAATTGATGTACAATTTTTTTAATTTGACGTTTACATTTTAAATTTTCGGAGTTAAAACATGGAGGGGGGTTCTTTTTTTACCCAGTTTCCGGGTGTTCCCCCAAATTTGGCAGGATTTTTCCCTTATATTTGAAACACCCCAAATTCCAAAAAGGAAAATGGGGTTGTATAAATCCGGGGTTTATATAAATATCCTGACAAGATGACCAGATATTTTAAAAAAGGATCCCTTGATGAAACTATGTTTGTCTCAAATTATGATGTGACCCCTACCTCTTAAAATGTAAAAATTTTAAAAAAAAGATGATTTAAAGGATGTGTTGAAGTTTAATTTTCGAATTTTTTAAAAAACGGGCCCAAAATTTGGGAAAGTGTTTAAAGGGTTAAATAGGGAAAGTAGAAAGTTTTGGGGCCCAAAACACTTATATTTAAATTACAGGGGGGGCGGGGGGGTAAATTCCTGATTAATTTAAATTGGATTTTGGGTTAAATACCGCTGGGGGGTTTGGGTCCTTAAAAATTTTGGTGTCAGAAGTGGGTTTATGCTTTTTTTTAAACAGGGAAACCCAGAGACGAACTCACCTTGGAAAGACATAGTTTATTTCCAAAAGGGGTGGGAATTTTGGGGGATGAAAAAGAGGGGCCCGGGTTCCCAGACCCCATATTATCCCCTTAACCTATATCGTTTACTTAAAAACCTTTTTAGAAAATTAGATGTTTTGGGTTTGAAAAAATATTTTCCCTTGAGAAAAGGTTAATGGCAATAGAAGGCGTATGCAGTGGTATTTTTTTTTTTCTTTGGCAAAGGGAACCTTTTTTCAAAAGGCACATAATTTAATGTTTTATATGTTTTTTTTCTTTTTTTTTTTTTTAAGATCAAACATGGAAAGATTCTGACCCTTTGAAAAAAACCAATTTTTTTTTAATTACAATGAATAGTGTGTTTAAAAACAATGGGAGGCAGCACAAAATTTGGGGGGAAAGTGGAAAGGGAAGGAAAGAACAAAAAAAAAAAGGCATTTTTAATACTTTACCATCAGCAACTGCCCATTTGCCCGAATTTTTGAGGGAAAAACCCAAAGGGACAGCCCCAACAACTTTGGTAATACCCCCTATGGGGGAATAAATAAGGGTAAATAGAAGCTCTGGGAGGGAGAAAATCCCTAAAGAGAAATAAATTTGGAAACCAGAAACAGAAACTAGGAAAATCGGGAAACGAAGAGTCAATTTCGATGGGGAAAATTTGGGTGATAAAAGAAAACCAATACCAGGGGCCTGAAAAATAGACAGGAAGGCGAAGAAAATACCCGGAAAAACCCTGAAAAATATTGAACAAAAATTTTTTTGGTTTCCCGATGAAGAGGGAAAATTGACAAAAAGGACGCGGTAACAAAAAACCCGTAGACAAATTTAAAAATTTAAAACCCGGGGGGCGAAAAAGGGTTTAAAGGAAAGAGAGCTTTTAAAAACCCCGGGGGGGAAAAATTCAAACCCGGGGAAATTATGAGCTGGACAAAAATGATAAAAAAAAGAAATTTATAAGTAATAAAAGAAAAAAACCAAATTTTTTTTCCCTGAAATTTAAAAAAAAATTTTATGATGGTAAGGGGAAGGACGGGGGGAAAGTTTTTTTTTCTCATTTTTCTAATTGTGCAAAAATCGGGGTAGGGGGTCTAAATAAAGGAAGAAGGCACTTACTTTGGGCTTTTTGTCTGAAAGGTTCACCCAAAAAAACCATTTTTTTTTTAGGTTTGGCCCAAAAGGGACCCAAAAGATTTTTAATGAAATACGGGAAAGAAAAAAAATTGTCTGAAAGATTTGGAAGTAGTAGGCAAACGGGCAAGGAAATCAAACAAAATTTGAAAAAGGGAAAACCGAAAGGCATAGGTAAAAGGCGGTAGAAATTTCATAGGGTTTGTTTGATCTAAGTTTTATTTAGCTCGAAGGGCGTATTCTGATCTTGGGGGCAAAAGCTCAAAGTCACTTGCCTTCCCCCAACTTTTTTAAAAATACCCAGCTAGATTTAAAAAGTATAGATGTTTTGGATAGAAATTTTTAAGCAAATAGAAGAAGCCGGGGAGATTGGGGAAAAGATCCCAAATTTAAAATTTTGGGGGGGCCCAGAGGGATAAAAAAGCGATCAACTGAAAGGGCAAAAATGGGAAAAGGCGGGCGAAACAAGAAAGGGAAAGCCGCAAACAAGATTTTTAGTTGAAAGTGAACAAATGGGGGTCAAATGCACAACATTTTTAAACGGGATTGAAAAAATGGAAAAAAAAATTGAAAAAAGGCAAGTTTTGGGCAAAAAAAGGGGACGCCCAGAAAAAGAAGGGGGTTAGATTTTGCCCGAAAATTTAGGGGGTTTTTTCTTATGTAGCGGAATGGCCCCAACTATGCGAAGGACTTTTTCCAAGGGGGGGGTTTTCAAAAGTGGGAAAATTTCCCCCCCGGGGCAAATTTTAAATTTGGGCCCAAAAACGCTACCCGGGTAAATTTTTGGGGAAAAGATAAAATTTTTTTAAAAATTTGTAAAAAGAAAAAGAAAAGGAGTTGGTCTTTTATTTTAATTCTGGTATTTGGGTTTTTAATGGTTTTTAAAACTTTTTTGTAAAAATTTTTTTGGGTAAAAAAGGTAAAACAGGGTTAGTAGAAAATGGTTATCGGGCTACCCCAAACTTTCAAAAAAATATTTATTTGAAATTAGAGCCCTAAAAATGGGCCCAGAGCTTAGTCAATTGAAATACAAGGGGAAAGGTGCAAACGGTCTTTGGTATAAAAAAATTTGGGAAAGGGGTTAATACAACACTTCTTTTGGGGAAAATGGCAATTTTTGGGGTTTACCCTATCATTTTTTTTGTAAATTTTGGGTTTCCAGAGGGGTTTTTCTTGGGCCCAAGATTTTTCTTCTCTGTAATGCTCAAATATAGTTTTATAAAAATCTATCATATACATGATAAAACACCATATCTTGTTGGATTGGGGGGGGCAACCCTAAAGAAATTATGTGGGAGCCCTGAACATCCC